ACCATCACCCTAGGTACAGTAGCAGAGGAAACCTAGGCCAATTCCCCGATTTTTCGGAGGGTTATGCGACGAGGGAACAAAATTACAGGTTGATTTTAACACAGAATAAGTCTTCCTCGAGTCACAGTTCAGGAGATGTTACATGGGTAAATTTTTGGAAGCCGCCCCAAAAGATGTGTGGGAGCCCTTATTTGGATGATCTCTTGACTAACTAGATGAGATATGATGCAATTTCCAAAACGATACGTCCAAGAGCAAAGTGCTCACTACCATCGCAATCATCGCAGATGCTGCAGAAACCAAGTTTATCAAGTACTACGACACCCTTATGCCCCTTTTAACTGATGTGCTCAAGACTGACATGGGTACTGAAAACAGGATGCTCAAGGGTAAATGCATTGAATGTGCTACATTGATCGCACTTGCAGTCGGCAAGGAAAAGTTTGCTCCCCATTGTCAAGGAACTTATTCAACTTTTGGGCAGTCTTCAAGAGTATGCTCTCGAGGAAGATGACCCTGTGAAGTCATACTTAGAACAAGGATGGAGTAGAATCTGTCGTTTGATGGGGCCTGATTTCTTACCCTATTTACCTGCGGTACTTCCTCCATTGTTAACTGCGGCAAAGGTGGCACAAGATTTGGCTCTTTTGGAAGAAGAAGATGTTGAGGAGTTCAGAAACAATGATGAGTGGGATGTAATCAGTATTTCTGGAAAGAATATTGCAGTTCATATGGCATCCTTGGATAGCAAGGTAGTGGCGTTAGATTTGTTGCGAACCTATGCTGTCCAATTAAAGGGTTCCTTCAATCCGTGGGTTAAGGAGATTGTCACGGATATTTGCATTCCTGCCCTCGACTTTTTTATGCATGATGGTGTACGTGGTGCCGCAGCCTTAACTCTTGCGGCCATGTTACGCTGCTCTGTTTATGCAACTGGTTCTGAGTCTAATGATACCTTGCAATTATGGAGGTTAATTTCTGACAAGTTGATAGTAGTCTCCGAAAGTGATCCGGTATCAGAAATATTAGTGGCCTACTACTCTTCTCTTGTTGAGTGTATCAACGTGTTAGGTCCCAATTCGTTGGAAGAGTCTCAGCTTCAAGCTTTGGCATCATCTATTAATTCCAACTTGATGCGAATTTACGCCAGACTCAAAAGTTTCGAGAAGGATGAAAACGAATACACAGAAGATGTGGATGTTGAAGATGAAGAATATTCCGACGAGGAGCTTTTAGATGAGAGTCATTCCTTGATTACTGCTATTTTCAAAAACGCAAAATCTCACTTCCTCAAAGCTTTCCAAGAATTGACACCCACAATTGCTACCTTCATCAAGGATGAAAATATCAACGTTAAAAGTGTGTGGTTTGTGGATTGTATCTGACTTGTTGGAGTATGGCGGAAGTGAGTCCGCTGCTTGGAAGGATATATTCATGACCACAGTTGCAGAGTCATTGAACTCCGCTCATGCTAGTGTGCGCCATGCAGCATTTTATGCCGTGGGTGTCGCTTCTCAAAATGGCAATGTTTACTCTGATTTCTGTATCGCTTGCCTCGAGCCTATTTTCAAGATGGCCTCTATTCCAGACGCTCGTGCAGACGAGAATGCGGTAGCTACTGAAAATGCGGTTGCTGCAATTGCAAAAATTTGTCACCGTTTGGGAGCCTCAGTACCAAACTTGGATGTGCTTTTGCAACAATGGGTATGTCTCTTGCCCGTAGTTCAAGATGATGAGGCGGCAGCATATGTTTACACCTTTTTGAGTGAGCTTGTGCGAAACCGACATCCCTCAGTTGTTCATCAGGTTCCTAAAGTGTTCGATTCCGTTGTCCAAGCTCTCGCTCAAGGATCAATTGCTGGCGAGACGGCAGAAAGAGTTTCTGTAGCTACTAGGGAACTTTTGGGATCTATGTCCCAGGCTGATGCCAATGCATTGCTACTGAAGTATCCTTCCGATATGGGCATCATCAAAAAGTGGTTTTCATAGTGAATTTCATAGTGCTTTCAGTGATTTTTCTATCTCGACCTGCATGTAGTTCATCAAATATAATTAATTGTGAACTGTTTGTCTCTATTTCAAACGCAGCATAAGTGAAACGGAGTCTACTGTTCATCTTTGACCCATAATGTCTGATGTCACTGGTGCTCAAGAAGCTGTGGATAACAACTCCAGACGTTCTTCGAGACGGCTGTCGTCTAGCACCATAGAATCCAGTGTAACGAGGCTTTTAGTGTCAACTAAACACTTGTTAGAGAGTTTGACTCAATGGTCACGTAAAGAAGCTGATGATAAGTACGTGTCGGATGCTTATGTCAAATTAGGCAATGATTTCCGTGCCGCTTCTCGAGCGTTCACCAACGCTGGTGTGGACTTCTCTGATATCGGCGACGTACCACAAGCATTGCGTATTATTTTAGAAGCCGCTCTCAGTGAATCACCAAGTCCAGAAAATCTTGATAGATTTTTACCTAATATCAGAAATATCATAGTGACCTTATTGCAGAATTTGAAGAGCAAGCAGATCAAAGCAAGGAGCATTGCAATTGAAAAGCCGAGATTGCAGGAAAAGTCTGAAGGTACGTCTAGAGCCTCCAAGCTGTTATCTGCGGAATCAATAACGCGTCATTTGAATTCTAAGATAGAGACTCCCTCCACGTCTCTGCAATCCGATTCTAGCGACGCCTTGAGTCAACTTCAAAGTGGAAACTTTTTGCAAAGACGTGCCTCGAAGAGATTTAGTGCTTATCAGTATGCCAAACTCACTAGTATGTCTCCTGCATCGATACCAACTGCCTTACCGGTATTGGAAACGACTGAATCAACTACAGAGAAAGAAGCCATTAGAGAGAAGCATGCAGATAAGCGTTCTTCTTCACCACCACAGAAGGTCAACAATACTAAGACGATTTTTCTTCGATTGAAGGACAACACAAAGAAAGCTCAAATACACGGAAGCGTCACCTTCGCCTCTTTACGGTTATTATTCGTCGAGAAGTTTGCATATTCTCCGGGCCTGGATTCTTTTCCCAGCATTTATATTACAGACCCCAGCACATCTGTTGCCTACGAGTTAGAAGAACAGAGTCTCGTAGATATAGAGGAGGGAAGTATTCTAACATTGAAATTACCTCTGGAGAGTGATCTGTCCAACCAGGAATTATTAAAGGCCATAAATGCGTTGAGGCAAGTTCAAGAATTGCAGTACGCTGATCTTGCTGCACAAATAGGCAACTTGGCTCTACAGCCCAAGAAGGTCAACGAGACGACGAAAGAAGGCACAACTCAGCCCACTAATGTGTTAGGTATCGAAGAAATAACTTCCTTGAAGCAACAATTCACTTCTCTTCGTCTGATGCAAGCTCAATATAAACGTGACGTTGAAGCGGACATTTCTTCTGTTATTGCGAAAGTGAAGGCATTTCAGGAAGGTGGCCTTAACGTATCAAAATCATCTAATCGGGCATACATGGAAGGTTGTCACTCGAAACTTTCTGAAGAGTCAGATATATTGCTTACTAAGGTTGATGATTTACAAGACCTCATGGAAGCTATGAGGAAGGATGTTGCTCAGCGTGGAGTTCGAATAGGGGAGAAACAACTAAAGAATACCAACAGGGAGATTCAGGCCGCTAAAAATTCCCTCAAAGAAATGAGTCAGTATATTACAAGGGAGCGCGTAGTTTGGAAACGGATTTGGGAATCAGAGCTTGACAAGGTTTGTGAGGAGCAACAATTTTTTAATCTACAGGGAGACTTGACAGTTGATCTAGAGCATGATTTGAAGAAGATTGAAAAAACCTTCGATCTAATAGAACAATGTTCCCTTGAGCAAAGCAAGCAAAACGCACAGCGTCGCAACAAATTCTTCGTGCCGCTTATGGAACCAGGAAAAAGTCTAGACAAGATGAAAGACGCTATCTTGACTTCCGTCGTTGCCCTCAACCCTGACCATGATCGGCGTTTGGATGCTATTACACGAGCTGAAAAACTAAGGGATAGAGAACGTGAACTAATGAGGAAGGATCAATTTCAGGAAGAGTTGGAAGACTTTGTAGGGGATAAAAAGTTCAAAAATGCTGTGGGAATTGATGAGGTGGAGAGGCTACGTAGGGAACGGGACTCTGAGAACTTGAAGAGCTCTCTCAGTGTGCCATTTACTTGACGGTGATCTAAAAGTATGCGATGCATACTTTCAATATCACAATACAGCCTTATTTGATTGTCGACTAGCACAACTTTGATCGTTGAAAGTGATGCGAACGTCATATATGAAGATTTCATCTTCGTTCATCTACACATGAAAATAGCGAGAGGCTACTTGAAGCTTCATACGACACCACACGAATTGACTGGATTGAACTGCAATTCAAAATAGTGTTTCATACAGAGATCAGCATTCTACGGAGCGTTTGATAGCGCTTTAAATGCGATGCAAACTGGATTGAAGAAGCCATGACTAGCAAGCTGCAAAAACACAGTTCTCCGAAATTTAAGGCTGAAAGTTGCGACTTGTTTGAGTTCATAATGTAGTGTCAAGACCCGTTCTGATTCATAAAGAAGTTCCAAGAGTAAACGGCTTATTTGATCTAATACTTGTTCTTCTCGGTCTCCCTTTAACACCAAAGTCGTTTGGTCCCTTTTCATTGTCTTCAAAATCACTTCTAGTATATGGATCAAATACTCGATCATCATGCTTGCAGAATATAGCTCACGATGGGAGATACAGCTCCTAAGACGGAAAAGATAATGATTTTTGAGGATTTGAAGGTTGCACCTCAACGGCTTGCTATCAATTACGCCCCATTCACCGACTTTTGGAGGGTCCAAAATGAATTCTAGCAGCTGGGGCAGAAATTTAAGGCCCAAGAAATGCATTTCTTCATCAAGGCACTGTCCCGAAACCGTTGATTTGGAGCTATTGAAAAAAGCTCCATAGGATTCGGCCTCGCTGCTGCGGGCAGCTTTCAATGTACGGAAGCACATATCCTGTTTAGACGTCACTAATAGAAAATCGTCCACCACTCTCAATAAGACGCTTTTGGAATCGTCCAAAATGAAACCGAAAATATCATGCATCATTGCTGTATAAACTATGTGGCACAAAACTGCCAGTAACGGGAAGCCTTGAAATACTCCTTGGGTACGCGTATAAGACTTTGGAACTTTTTCGTTTATGATAACAGTCGCATTTCGTATGTGTTCCTGGACGAATTCTAGAACTTGCTTTTTTGTTATTCTAGTTGTGGATCCATAACGCTCTTCGTAGCGTATATCCTCAGACGTCAAACCTTCATGGCTGTGAATTCGAGATGGATTAATGAGTCTTGCATCGAGAGACTCTACAGAATCAGATTCTATCACTCTGACGACTCTCCTCTGGGAAGAACTATTCTTTGAACTCAGGGGACGAACAGATTCTCTGACAAAGTACTCAGCTGTGTCATCATCATCTTGGAACAATCTGCGCACGCATTCCATAATCTTTCCTTGGTCTAAATTATCATAGCATTTAGTCATGTCAAACTTCGCCATGTAGTAACCGCCAGCAGGTTTAGCATTACGCAGCTTGTACGTAATAATTTCCCGAAGGACGTCTTCATTAGACATACAGACAGCGTGCTTCTTCAGCCTGTGTTTGAGGAACTTGCGAAGTTTGTGATACAATAAATCTCGAATCGGTCCAATGATATTTTTTGCATAAAGATAGTAAGTGTCTTCTGTCCTTAATTCACTCCCTTCTGGTCCTCGTAAAGGAACGCATATAAAACGAAAGTCATCAGATTTTGGCAACACTCGCAACCTACCAGAATTTAAAAGCTTACCTTTCTGCACTGCTCCACCGTAGGTGGATACCCTCAAGTACTTTAACGTGTACTTACGAATCCAAGGATCGAGAAGATAATTCAACGCTGAGTGAGGATAAAATGCAAGGTAGTCACAATCTGAATTAGAATTGGGAGGTCTTTGTGTGACGTACCAAAACTGAGATACAATTCGACATATGACATTCAGTAAGAGCCAGTTAAGTACTTGGCATACGAGATTCTTTCTGGAATCGAAATCCTGTCGTGATGTGGTTCGACTTGAGCGACCGACCCATGTAAATGAATTTAAGCTCATCCCTTCTTGGATGTAGTTTGCGGGCATACTTTCTGATCTTGGAGAGGTTATAAACATTTCGATTTTCAGCTCTAACAGTATTCGGTTTGTCGTCAGGCCCCAAAACGAACTCGGGAATATCAGAGTCAAGATCTCAATAACAATCATAGCGACTACGGAGGGATTGGTACCTGTCACTGAGCTTATGCCCTGAATTTTGGAACGGGTTACGGAATAATCCATCTTTCTGTCATTGATTAGCATTGTCTTTAATACGTTCTGTAGTTGTCGAAGCCTTTTTGGAGTCCGCTTCTGTTTGGATGCGACAGGTACAATCTCGTTCAAGAGGTCGTGAGAGCTCTTTGTAAAGATTCGACACATCTTTTCGGGCTCTCTCTGTAATTTGTACATCATCCTCCCTCTCGATACCCTATTACTTGAATTTCTTGAAAACGAAAAACTTGGTCCAAAAAGTTGAACCATAGATTCAGAAGCTAGAATATAGCCACAACAATCAATAAGCAAATGAAGAAACAGCTCTCGCTTCATAACATTGTAGAGATATTGCCACCCAGGTAGCTTCATGTAATTGCTTCGAAAACTCACATGCGGAGAGAAAAGATTTGCTGGACTGAGAGCATTGACGAGTCCTTTTCTGTATTCTTTCACTAGGACGTTGTCTTTTTTTGTTGATATGAGGTATGAAATCATAGAATTGAGGAATTCTACGTATTCCAAGGAGCCCTCCTTCAAGTTGTTGGGAACCTTCCTACCTAATGCACTACGGTTTGGACATTTGACGTAAACGTTAGCTAATAAGAAAGCAACTTGTTTCGAATACTGAAGATCTAACCTGATGTGCTCTTTGATATTAGCATAGCAAACCGGATCAAGCTTGGATAAGTAATCCTGAAGCTTTTCATTAGGTTGTCTCATGTAAAAATTCTTAACGCGCACATTAATTGTAAAATCTCAAAGAAATACCAATATCAAAATTTGTATGAATGCGTTGAGATTAAAGGTTCAAAACATCGCATCAAGCATACAACTTCTGCTCCGCTTAATGAAGAACGCGAATCGACAGATGAAAATACAAAATGATAGAGAATATAGCCATATCGACTTCGAGAACGGAATCATTCATGGTAAATTACAGCAAATAAGAAACCTGTCGAACTTGGACTTCGATTCCAGAAACCCGTCATTGACGTCTGTTTGGTGTTGTGATATACCGGCTCACTTGAGTAAAACATTGATTATGTTTATAAGAGAGTACATCACTCCTTTCGACACTAACTCACTTCCACATATAAAACGTTTCGACAAACTTGGTAAAAATGAAACTAAGACATATTTGAGAGCAATTGTTTGCAGTCAAGACTTCATAGACGAAAGCGGTCTGCTCAAGGAGTATATTGAACAGAACATAGAACGCAACGACGAATTCAAGAATGTCAAGTTTTACACGAAAATGGTGCCCGTGCAACAGCCAGGCACTAAGGAAATTGCGCAAGAGTGGTCTCAACTATACTGGCCAATGTCATGGAAAGGTAACCCTTACTATCAGGAGCTCAAAACTTGTAACATGGTCTTGCGTAAAGAACAGGATGCTATGACCACATTATTAACTGCAATGGAAAACGCTCCATCCGATTTACCAATTGTGACTATGTTTGCTCGCGAAAACCCGGGGAAGGACACACATGAAATCATCAAAATATTTTACGATAACCGTAATAATTCCTTTCTAGAGCACAGTATCTTGAACGCTATTGCGGGAATTGCAGAACAAGAGAAAAGTCGACGTTCAAAGGACAGCACCATTGCTGACACAGGATACTTATGCCAGAACTTACTAGTTTATACTTCCCATGAACCATGCATTATGTGTTGCATGGCACTTGTCCATTCAAGAATTTCCAAAATTACATACATCAAGCCAGTTCCCAGCACAGGTGGGTTAGAAAGCCATTACCAGCTAGGCGACCGCCCATCATTAAATTGGCGATTCAAAATTTGGAAGTGGATAGGAGAGGAGGAGATGCAAAAACTCGAAAGTATCGACACTGTTGATCGTGCAACGAACTTCCATGCATGATTTATTTATTCATAATTTTATCTTGACACTCATATGCAATAGATGTCAAATGGCTGTTGAAAGAGGAGGGAGAATCGTCGGATGTCGTTGTCAGAGTTTTCAACGTCAGATGAAGTAATTCAGTTTTGTATTTGATCTCGCTTATTATTTCAGCTGAATGCATTTCCAACTCTGCAATTTTCGGTTCCATGCGTTCAGCAAGTTCATCGAGCTTCGTTATTAAATCTGTGAAGGGAACAAAGTCCACTTTCGATACATGAAGGGATTCCTCTATTGTATCGCTGTCTTTCGGTACGTCAAAGTCCCTGTGAATGTAGTCGGATATAGCATTGGTTTTGATTCTTCGCTGCGTGTCTAAAGCCTCATACAAGGCCTCAATTAGCGCCCCATTTGTTCCTGAAGGAAACAAACGCAGAAAGCTTTTAAGACTCAAGAAAGAGTTTAAATTTGACCTTGAGCACGCGTACTCTTTGATTATTTCAATGCTCATAGTGTAATGGTACTTGTGTCTATCGATATTACTATGCATGATAGTCGTGTCTAAACAAAACATAGTTCAGAAAATGAACCGTTGTGGACGAGTCTGTACATTCATAATGTCCTCATTGAGTTACAGCAGTAAAACCTACCTCCCACAAGCACTTGCATCCGGCATATATTCTAGGATAAATAAGGATCCGGACAATGCCTTATTGGTAAATACTGTTCCGCAAGGGCGATCTGCCAAGCGGAATGCGCAACAAATAAACTATGCTGAGTTTGACAATTTTAACGACGATTTTGACCAAGACGAGCACCAAACGGCCACAGCCACTACCAATGCAGTTGCAAATAATCAAATGAGTTCCTCGAGTCTGAAGATTTTGCTTCGTACCGCGCGTCCAACTGGGCACATCCCAGAATTAGACGATGACCTACGATTGCTGGAATTAACTCACAAGAGGGAGGACTTATTGATTCCTATCAAATTGAATATGGAATACAATAGTGGCTCTTCCAGATTAGTTGACTTTTTCATGTGGAATGTTAACGAGAGTTTGATATCCCCGCAAAGGTTCGCTGCCATTCTCTGTAATGATTTAGAGTTACCAGGCTCCCTTCAATCCGAAATCGCAGACTCAATATTGAGGCAAATCGAAGAATACAATTTCCTTACCAGTATACAACTACCAGAACACCAGGAATACTTTGTTATTGTGGATCTAGCCGTGAGTGTGGGCAAGAAGTTGTACGAGGATAGGTTTGAGTGGGATTTACAACAGACAGATGTGGCTCCCGAAGTCTTTGCGGAATCTGTGGTGGCAGATCTCGGTCTTGAATTAGAGTTCAAACCTGCCATTGCACATTCGTTATATGAAGTGATCTACAGGTTGAAAAGAGAGATTCTGGAAGGTACATACAATCATGAATTACAGAAGTTTCAGCAAACAGGTGGCCTTCTCTTCGAATGTGGGATCCGTATTACCACCGAGGTGAGTATACATAACGGCAACGATCAATGGCATCCGATGGTAGAGATTTTATCTCCATGGGAGATCGAAAAACGTGAGATCGAAAGGGAAAGAAACATAAGGCGACTCAAGCGAGAAAACATGAGACGAGAGGTAGATAGCCATTACGGTGCGAAAAGGAGAGCTTTGAATGGCAGAAGACGAGTTGATGAACTCAGCAATGCCTGGAATGTCTGACTTACGAAAGTTGTACTGTATAATACAATAATAATTAGAAGATAAAGCAATTTACCAGATATCAATTGAGCCTTGAGCTATCTGGCTCCTTATTTAAGTTATTTTCAGGGCCTTGCTCCCCTCGAAAAATCATGCGCATAGAAAAGAGGAAATATAAAAAAGCTATCATAAAATGGTCCACCTATATAGCTTCAGAGCGTAGTAAGTTGGGGAACCAAAACCGCTGAAAGATACATATATGAATCAGATACAGGATTCGAGTGGTGAAAAGTAGTCCTCAACATTGCAGGTAGGAGCAATCAAGAAGGTGTGACTGCGACAATGTCTTTACATGGAAATAACTATCTAACTTCTTTTTCTGAACTTGCTTCCATCAATGTCATACTCCTTTCTGATACGGTAAACATAAATTCACTTAGTTTCAATCATATATTTGTTCGCATTAATACTTGAACGTTTTGCCACGCCAACGCTAGACAACCACTCGTTATCTGGCAACCTATGAAAGAGACAACAAGAAAGTAAACCATAAATTAGACAACTAGGGTCTGCTCTTAGATAAGAGAACATAGGATTAAAAACCGACAAATGCAGTTATTTCAAGATACACAATTGAGCCGTGATCGCCCACATACTAAAAAACACTCTTGTAGAAGGCGCTGTAAACAGGCCCATGACTAGTTGAAAACACGGGACATACTGATTCTCAAATAGAAATCATCTCATCATTATAGAGAAGCTTGAGCTATATGTTGATACCGAAAAGCATTAAGTTGAGAGTTAAAGTGAGCAAACTTCATTACCTGGCAATCTACTTGTACTTTACTTCAAATAAATGAATTGGAAAGTCAAATGGCGCATACAACAATAGCAAGAATACAATGAATACAAACATACTAGCAACTCTGACCGTATTACCACATAATAACTTATCTTGTAGACAACAAACTTCTGTAGGTAGAACGTACTTAAAGTTGCCTAGTAGGTCTTCCTTAGTTTGAACTCTCAACTTTAATAGATCAACGATTATTGGCAAGCAATCTTCCTGCAAAAGTTCATTTAAGGTGAAATTGATCTGGGAATGAATCACATACATGCAGCCCATCATAAAGGGAAGCTTTTGAATACATGGAAAGTCATCAGCAAGTGCGTATTTTTTTCGATCGCTCACCGTAAATTTGTCGCGGGCAGTATACAAGAAGTAACTCACAAGAAGAAGCGGTGTGGTTATGTATGAGAACAGCTTTTATATCCGTTCGTATATCTACTTAGAGGAGGTAGTCTTGAGGGTATGGAATAAAGCGTACTTCGTCAGCACGTCTTGAAAGTTCGCAGAATTGGATCATTCAAGTCATTCCTAACATGCTTGCAGCCCCGAATGCAAGGTTTCGAATGAATCCAATGACTGCGAACGCTGGACTCAATATATGTTACAATGGTTAAAACTAGGCGAGACGCACTAACTTTGTTTGTTGAGCTTTTTTTATGTATATAAGAGCATTATTTTCGGGACATATAGCTTTAAGCCAGCAGCTCTCATAGCCGCTACGCTGAAGAAGCGTTATTCCTACAGTAAGCGATAGTGGAAATTGACGAGAATCTTTATACTCCATTGACGTAGCTTAACCCCTCCAACGATGCTGTTGTATGGCACTTGACATGAATAGGTACGAAGCGTGGTAACGAAATCATGAACGTTAAGTTCACTTTCAGAAGACTATCCAGCGAAATGAACCCTAGTGCTCGTTGGAAGAAGCAGTATATTGTGGACCTTTGCAATGAGACAACTTGGTTTCTGCAAATTTGTCTCCTTCCATTGGAGTGGAAGTATTTCATTCAGATTTTTTTGGCCCTGTTTTTTTGAAGCCAGTTCTCTATTGAGCAAGTTTACACTTGAATGAATGGCTACTCCCCGCTACCTGTGCGATTAGTTACATACATGAAGAGTACCGAGGTGTCATAGTCTGAGCCCTTAAACGTTTGCTAAGTATTGATATGTGTTGTATAGCCATTGTGAAGACCTTTTAAGTTTTTGGTAATAGTTCATTGGCCGTTGCAGAATCTTAATACGTCTGTACAAAAACCACGAAGGGAATTCTGTTCACAACTTCTTTCATCTTAGAGGTTTTTCGAACCCGTAATTCGGTCGAGAAAAGCATTGAAGATTATATTTATTTTGACCTATGTAAGCTCCGAGACGTACCTAATTTTTTTTGTTGAAACAATGTAGGACCTATATCATTTCGTGATATGCTTTATTCATAATGTTGAATTATTGAATTTTTTATATTCGCATGTCATAGTTGATTCTTGGAAATACCCTCAGATTTTCCTTTTAGTTAAGCGCAAGATCACCCGGTCGTCATATGACCTATGTTCAATGTAGATGATACCATTCATGTTCGGTGGCCTGAGAGGGAGATACATTGGCGGCTAAATCATGTGTTCTGCTCTCGATTTATGTCAGGTGGAGATCTACTTTATTTTAAATGCCACCTTAGTAGGTTAAGGGTACGGTAGATATATTTATTGATTTCTTCGTTACGGTATCTTACATTTCTATGTTCCTGATGTTTCACAAATTTCTTAGTATCAAAGGGCCAGACACGCGATATTTACTTATCTATATATTTCGCTTGCATGAGGAGCTCCGAGTTATCGTTGTCCGTACTGAGAATGGATCGGTATCCTATCATGGTCTCCCACCCATTTCAATCGAAAGAAAATCAAACGTGAAACCATGTCATAAAACATAATACTGTGGAGCATTACATTGGTTTGCTTACTACCAGCCAGTCTTCATGATGTAGATGGGTCTTTCTCAACATTTCTTACTCAGCACTATTATATTATGTTCATTAAGAATATACAGATATTTCCTACTGCAACCTGTGTTTACAACTTTTGCATAGCAGCAATGTCAGTAGATTGAACGTGGTCCTCATCCTCTTCAATGTACGCTTGCAAGTCTTCCAATGAGACACTGTCTTCCACAACCAAGTTGATTTGCAACTTCTTGATTCCGAAACCAACTGGAATCCATTGGTGAGCACCCCAGGTTAATCCTTCAGTCTCGTACTTCTTAACATTGGCCAACATCTCCTCCAAGTCAGTTTCATCATCCCATGGCTTAACATCCAAAGTAACAATGGACTTAGCAGTAGGCTTTGGACCTTTAGCAGCCTTCTTAGCAGCGTATTCTTCCAATCTCTTTTGCTTCAACTTCTCGGCCTCTTCGTCGACTTCATCGTCATCGGAGCCGAACAAGTCAAGGTCGTCATCATCGGCAGCATCAGTGGCACTGGAGGCGGCAGCACTGGCAGCAGGAGCCTTTCCAGCAGGCAAGTCCTCGAACTCTTCGGTGAACGAGGCGATGTGGTTCAACCATCTAGTGAATTGAGGATAAGTCTTTTGAAATGCCTTGTAGACAGTGACATCAGCCTGAGTGGCAGAAGTGCTAAGTTAGTACATAACATTTTGTTATACGGTCACGAAAGCCTCATCCAGAATATTCAGAAACGATTTTAAATCCTCTTTGTCACTCACGCGGTGGGTCTTGAGTCCACCTCATAAACACGGACCAAAGATTGCGATCATCACCATATCAACTCATCGTGTTAACGGTCGTTGGCTTGGGCCACGTGGTATTAAACGCATGATACTTACCCATCAATGTAGGACTTGTCAGCCAAGAACTCGTTCAACGACTTAACAGTTTCGACTTTGCTGAAATCAGAGAAGGACATATCTAAATTGTAATTTGATTAGTCTATTATAATTTAAATAGAAAATTTTTCTAGGCGAGAGAGCCTTCACGCAACATACTCAAATATATGCGGGCTGAAATATACGGGGGAAACACTCGTGCGGGTAAGTTGTATGTTCTAAATGGGTATTAAGTGTTATGATTTTATAAACTTCCAATAGTCACTTTCAAATGTAGCATAGCACCTGAATTCATTGCTTAAGCCATTCTTGTGTTCCGGAAAAAAATCTGTGATCTCTGTATCCGGATAATTCGTTTTGACTACAGGACCCATGCGTTCACCAGTCGAGGTTATTAATCGGTACTGAAGAGCCCCCGATATTGTCTTTTGTGAAAGATCTTCTACGAGCATGTTTCTCGCTGCAATTGCCGATTTGTTTTGACATTCCTCTTCGAGAAAAGGGGGATCAATTAAGATTCGATGACATTTGTGCAAAACTTGAGCTGGTAGATTATGGGGCTCATTGTAATCGTAATAAACAAAGTTTTTCCCAGCAAGAACTTCAAACCGACGGTCGAACTCAAGACAGTAAATGTGCTCTGTAGGTACTTCACTCTTGGGAAGTTTTTGAATAGCAGCGTACACTGAAGGAGCAGATGCAATCGCAATGACTGTATTTTCATCCGCATCTTGTAAGATAGCTTTCCCCAAGATCTCTGCTGTTGAATCATTGTACCAAAACTGAGAAAGCTGCCAGTCCTCCTTAAAGTCGTGAATGGTCATCTTCCGCTCCTGATCCTCATCTTCTGCCCTCTTCTTCAACTCAATGAATTTTTTCACGTTCTCTTCCTCTTCCTTTTTGAACTCCTGTAAGGCTGCTAATGTCAGAGCAGACAAGGTCAACGGTTCATCGTCAGAACCCATTCTCGAATATGACGTACTATGTTCTCATCGAGATTATTCCCAGACTATGTCGCAAAAATGTCGCTCCTATTAAGTTTCTGGTGTTTATCTTGTTGTTTAGTATGCTGTTTACATGTCCTCCTAGTGAATTGGTAGCATTTGTATCTGAAACTCTTGCTTTCTCAGGTAGACAGGGTGTTCTGCTCCCGCAGCTTTGGATAGCTCTTTCTGAGAAGCTCGGCTGCTCAGAAATCGACGCTTTCCAGAAAAGTATTATATGGAGGTGGATGGTTCATTCGGGCCAAAAATCTGGGGCTGTTGATTTTTTCATTATGAAGGACCGTGAAATGGTGTCTGATATTGACTCCTATGAAAATCTCATCTCTAATGGTAATTCGGAGTCTGCATACATTGTGCTACCAACTGAAGAAGCTCAATGGCAGCATTTAACTCACCAGCGGTACTCAAAAAGGCTAAAATTACAACTAGGAGAATTTCCTTTTCAACTTCTCTGCGAGATTGCTAGTCATGGCAAGAAGGGAATATTTGCTTCCGAATTGTCAAAGGTCACAGGGCAGGACCCACGATCGATGACCCCCAGACTTCGAAAACTAGAAGAGTCTGGCTACATTGTTAAAAGAGGTGTGTACAATGAAGCTGCTAGTCAGCACACTAGTGTGTGCATTCACATGAACTTTGCGGACACCGAAGTAGAATCCGCTGCTACAGATTTTGATGATGACTTCGAGTCATCAAGAAATGTCTACAAACTAAAGCAATTTATAATTCTGTCCCTAAAGAGTGCACCTAACCATCTTCGTGGCTTTAAAGACTTGAAAATTGAATTGAATCTTCACAAGGACAGGTCTTCAGGGAAGTTTTTCAGAAGCATCGTGGAAGCATTGCACAAGAGGGGTTATGCGGAGAGGGTTTTGGTGAAGAATCCAGACAAGACCACACCAATATATTGCATTCGCTACATCAAGGACCTTCCGAAAGATACTGACGAGATATCAGACTTCGTCGACTTATCTCGAAGTATGAAGGAAGAAACTCAAGAAGATGTCGAAGATGACCTTGACGCGTTACCGTCACTCAACCAATATTTTCCTTTGGCAAATCAGCTCATACTGATTATCAATACATCTGGTGAGGATGGCTCTACCTCTATGAACCTAGTACGAAGATTAACGGGGACATCTGATTTCCGACCGATAGTAAAGATTTTGGATGTGTTTTCTACCTTTGTTATCGCAAACAATGACAAGAAGTTGCTTAAGCCAACACCAGATCCCTTCCAAAGTATGTCCATATCTCGAGCATACGACTTTGCAGGGAAGTTCAAGTTCTACAGGTACTTTGTTGATTCTGTAACACTGAAAAGCATTGGTGAGCCAGCCTATGTGACGCCCCATACAAGGAACCTCAAACAGATTAACAAATCCAATTTTAGGGCCATTGGCCGTGTACCTCCGGGGCCATTACTGTCAATCAAAAAGCGGAAGATCTCAGAAGCGAGAACTAGTACTAAGCGAACGAAAGTCAACCGACAACCAACTATCGTAAAACAAGGTGCTCTGGAAATTACAATTCATGAGCGAAGTTCACCGAAAACTAAAGAGTCCGTTCACATCACTGGAGGAAGCTCCTTGAAAGCTTCCAGAAGAAGGACGGAACTTCTCAACATTATAAAAGATCTTGGAGGAGTTGCTTACACGACAGCAAATTTGTGCCGTCAACTCGACTCAAGATTGGGCAACACTACAGTAACAGATAAGAAGACTCTAGCTAGAGACGTCTCTACATTAATTGCCGACGGTAGCATTTACGTCGAGAACGTTGAGTTCTCCAGGTCTGGCCAGAACATTTCAAGAAAATTGCTTATATTAAAACAGCCAGAATTTCAACCATCCGAAGATCAGATAGAGAAAATGAAGCAAAAGTGCATCGAAGATGTCGGAAACCGAACCTCGTCACAGATGAACAGACGAATTATTGATGGTGAGGTAATCATGAAGAACAAAAAGGAAGGGAGCCGTCTTTCTTCGCTATCAAATGACGCGAGGTCAGTAAAACTTGAAGCTGAAGACACCACTCATGTTGACGAACTGCGCAATGGTGTATCTAAGGGGAAAAAGGAAAAGAAAAAGGCTACACTGATTAACTCTGGAAAATCAATTGAGACACAAAGGCACTCTGCTCGCAAAGCTGGTCCCATCAAGTTTGACAGTGATGATGAAAATACACTTTTTAGGGCTGTCGTCATATCGAAAACGTTTCATCGATCAATCGATTTCAGCAAGATAGCTTCACTTTGGGGAAATCCGGAGGAAAAAAGTATCCGTCAGCGTTGGTCCACACATAGAAAAGCTATCGGTGGACAGTCCACGGTAGCGAGAGGTATCAAAACCTTTGAAGGTATTGTTATGAGTGGTATCGAGAATGGACTTATAGGAAGCGAGGAGTTAAGTTCAATCAACTTAAAGTTTTTTCTTGATCTATGGAATGACTATGACGTTACAACAACCGCAGTAGCGGAAAAGGAGCCTTTGTACTACCTGCTTACGGAAAACCTTAGCTCTTATAAGTTTGTCGACACATCAGGACTGCAATCTGACACTTTTGAGCAAATTGAAGACTGCTCCATGCGGCAGAAAGAGGCAACCCTAGCAAAGAGACCATTCTATCAAAAGATGACAAGCTCGCAGAATATTGAAAATAACACACTAAAGACAGTGATCCGGGCAATAATCTCAACTGATGGCGATAAGTTTGACCCTAAAATGGTCGCAAAGCTACTCGAAAAGTTTAATAATTCAGACGTCGAGAATGCGACTGCTGAGATGTTGAAAGAAAAGGAGATTATTTTCCAAGAGAACGCCAATTTCAAGTTTCTGTTCTCAGAAAAGTTTCAAATGGCTTTACATCCCAAGTCTTTTGGGGTTTCCTTTTTGGATGATGCTGGAGAGTTTGCTAATAGTTTGTGCGAGTTGAGCGACTCGTCCAAAGGTTTGATACTTTCACAAGCAATTAACGGAAGTAATATGGCTGTTCTTTTGACTTTACTATCGCGCAATAAGTTGAGCCTATGGAGAGTTGATCGGCCATATAAGTTGAACGGATACGAGTCACGATTGATTGATAAGAACAAGCTTTCCTGTGACTTAATTGTCAAAGTTCATGATTCAAATCTGCTCAAGGTAAAGCCCAGCACTAAAGTCCCGACAGGTAAGGCAGGTTCCCATCTTTGGCTCGGTATTGATGGAGGCATTAACGTGAATATGTGGAAAAGCTTGATTGCAAGCCTATTATCGCTTCTTGTATTTCGTCCGGGAATTGACGAGACGGCACTATTCAGAAAACTCAAGCACGCGCTTGAAATTGAAGATGTCAGGAGTGTGGTGAACTGGCTCATTGCAAATGATTGCCTTAGGCGACTGGACCACGGATCATTTTACGTTTCGAAGAGGTGGATAATGGTCTTCGGATATTGAATAACTATATACAGGTATCATATATTTTCAAGCCGCGATGCTCATCGCTCATTGTAAATGGGCCTCGCTGGTACTAAAGTTAAACAAAGATTTGGACTTGATCCACGTAATACGTCATGGTCTAACGATAAAAGCAGATTTGGTCACCGATACTTAGAGAGTATGGGGTGGGCTCCTGGAAAGGGTTTAGGGCTTGTCGAGCATGCCACTACCACACACGTAAAGGTTTCAGTAAAGGATGATACAGTTGGTTTAGGGGCTAAACTTGCTAAAAGAAGTGGAACTGATGACCTCGAGACAGATAGTTCCGGCCTTGATGACTTTCAGCGAATATTGGGTAGACTCAATGGTAGAGGCCGTGAAGTAGATGAAGCCCTTGAGCAGAAAAGAAAGGATAATATAATAAATGGTAAATGGGGAATGCATTTCATCAAGGGCGAAGTGCTTTGCAGTACGTGGGATCGGAAGTCGAAAAGCCATATGTTGAAGACAGCTTTGGAGGACGAATCTGAAGTAAACTTCAAGTCTAGTAAAAAGAGAAGACAAAGTGGTTCTGAACCATCCAGGGATCTGACACTGCATGCTAAGAGAATGAGGGGTGATGAGTCAAAGAAATCAACGAGGGACCAAAGTAAACAAGAAAGGAAGGAGAAAAAAATAAAGACGGAAAAGAAGGAGAAAAAGGAAAAGAAGGAGAAAAAGGAAAAGAAAGAAAAGAAGGAAAAGAAGGAAAAGAAAGAAAAGAAAGAAAAGAAGGAGAGAGATTATGGCAATAGAGCCCTGCCAGTTGAACCAAGAAAGCACGACCAGATTTCAAACGTAGGAAGATTATCTGCCAGAGCTAAATACATTAAGCAGAAACGGGCATCTGTGATGGACGCCAAGGCATTGAACGAAATCTTCATGATATCAAAATGATTCATGTTTATTTAATATAACGTACTGCTTATTCGAGAACAACAAACGACAATCCACCTAAAATACATGTTACTACTCCAGCAACAGCAAACAACTCGTTGTGCGAGACAAATTTGATATTGACGTTCCCCGACAGCTTTTTACTTGAGGACGCACTAGAACCCGAATTCGTTGAAGACCCTGAGCTTGAATTTGAATCGCCACTTGAGCCAGACGAACTAGAACCAGATCCACTAGAACTTGAGCCACCTTTTGAAGCTTGCGAGAGCTTCGATGAACACGTTTTGTCAGTTGATGCATTCTCATTCAACGACGCAGACCCTTTGAAGTCACATGCTGACTTATCCTTCCCTTGATCTTCGTAGTAAGCATTCATAACGTAAGACAACTTGTCTTTGCTAGAACAGAATGAAAAACCTCCGTATTTACCTTTTGCACCATCTGCATTGATGGAATCACAATCGATTTTGTCACATACAACACCAAACAAATCACCATAGTCCTTCTCGTCAACATCATCTGCCACAGTACAAGCAAGGGATTTAGACATGCAGTCACAAGTATCCTTATCGGGGGTTGGAGGCAACTTGGTAGAAGCCTTCCAAGTGCTAGCAGAGGCTGGACATGAGCCGGTCTTCGAAGCTACCAGCTTTTCTTCTGAAGACTTGGCGTATGAAGGGGAGATCTTGTTCATTTCCAGCGAGTAATATTTGTAGTCATCCAAAGTCAGCACAGTATCACCCTTGACGGAAACTAATCCATATTTGTTAGCTTCTTCAAAGTACATGTAGACAATACCGCCACTCCAAACATCAGTCATTTTATCAGAGAAAATCGTCCCCACCTCAGTGAACTTTCTTGGTCTGTCAGTGTTACACCCGTACTCAGACATAAAGATTGGTATAGTCAAATTCAGGTACAACTTTGTACGAGCTTCGTATCCAGAAGTCTTGAAGTCCGAGTTTCCACACCATTCGTACATGTTTACACCAATAAAATCAGCTCTGTCTTCATCAGAGCCGCATGCGAAGTAATCGACTACTGCATCTCTGGTGTCGTCACTGTCGTCTGTGGAATAACCCACGGGAAGGTTTAGTTTCTTGCCTTTGATGTACTTTTTTGAGTCTCTAATGGCAGCCTTCACAAACGCCGCAGCATCGGTGTTAGATTTATTATTGGTGACTTCGTTACCGGCAAAGAACCCCAAGACGTTATCGTACTTTGAGAACATATCAATGACACTGGTATATCTATCGTAAAGATCCAAGCTCCACTCTGGCGAGTCTCTGTTGATTGACGTCTTTGGTTCTGACAAATCAGCGATAACGTAAATACCAGCGTCGGCAAAAGTCAGCATACACTTGTCGTGATCTTTTTTAGGATCAACAGCATAGACTCTGATGACATTTGTATTGGCATCTCTCAAGTACTTAACGTCCCTTTCACAAGCGTCTGCATCAGCGAGAGGGTCGCTGTAACTTTTGCTTTGGTTATCTTCATTATTCTGTTGGTATGCAACACCTCTGATCAAAAATTGAGAACCATTATTTGAGTAAAAAAATTTGTTGCCGACAACTTCAATCAGCGGAAGATCGGCTGCAAGAGATTTGGTGACGTATAAGCATAGAACGAGCGCAAAAATGTGATTGAACCACATACTGTTATTCAGTTATAAAGAAGGTATTCTTGCAAGTAGTAAAAGTTGATGGCAAAGTGGATATTTATATTCGCGTGGAAGGTATAAGGGCAAATTATGCACGAGGCCCACCAGCAGGCGATCGACACGCCAAAAACTGGAAACAACAATAATCACAGCATAAGAATTTTGAGCCCAAAGTAAGAGTGCAACCAATTTCACTGTAATGTTATGAACACTGCACAAAGAGCCCAGAGCTTGCAACGGCTCGCGACGCGAAATATCCTATCTATATGCAATCTAAAGTGCAATGCAGGTACAAGTGGAGGCGCAGTCGTTGACGTGAGTTTGACGCTATTTTTGACAGGGGCTTGGCGATCTTCCCAAATAGCCCGTAATGGGTATATTTAGATGCTGGCTGAATTCCGTGTGCGCTTATGTTTGTCGAACCCTTATTCTCCTATAATAGAAGAAACTCTAAATGTATTACATAAGCGACACAGCCATCGACATCAACTATACTATAAATTTGCCAATGAATCTCGAACAATTCTCGTGGTGTGTATATGGCAAGAACCTACAGATCCAGTAGGCCTCGACTTTTCGTCTAATTTCAGCAGCGTGGCTTGACAAGTGCCTCACGTAATCAAATTGTTGATACTCTCGGTTTAACCGTGCTCTTTCCAGGATTGAATGATAATATGTTGGAAGATATAGTATCATTTCATGTTGTCATCTCTTAGACCATATTTGTTCCCCCTATTCAGTAACTGTAGTCCAGCAAAATCGCCCAGTAAAAAAAATCAATTGAGCGTCGCTAGTTTACACAGAAGCGTTTGTGCACAAGTTATGACAGTGAGAGTATTGTGAAGCAAGTTTACAATGATCGCACTAGCTAGAAACAGATACCCATTAGTGTTTGTGATATTACTAAGTCTCGTGTCGGCCAACAGTGAGTATGGGTCGTATAGAAACCCAAATCCCTTGCCTCAAGATGTTTGCGAGTCGAAGGATCTTATCAAATTAAACTCATGCTCGAATGAAATGTTAGGTCGTCTCCAACAATGCAAAGCAAACGACAGGGCATGTGAATGTTGTGCGTTGCAGAGCTTAAAACCAACCTGCTTCGAACTTTGCCCCGGCAGTCCTGCTAGCAACCTTCTTTCAGTCATCATTGACGATTGTGCCGAATTGGGTGAGGTCAATGCCTGTGATTTGCCTTTCATGAGAAGTGAATCCAGCTACTTGAATACAGAGGAACCCAGTGATGACTTATATTATTCGAAGTATACTCGAGAATTAATGGCTGCAAATGAGAAAGATGTGACCGAGTCCACGAGTAACGCGACTATCAATGATATTGGCAACTTCACGGATATCGGCCACGCGGATGTGGAAGAAATCCCACTATTACTTAACGTGTCGAATCTGTCCAGTCATACTGGTAAGTTTTATTTTTTAATTTTTCATTTTTTCAAAATTTTACTAATTCGCAGTTTTTACAAGTGACAGTTCGTTCAGATATCCCCGTCACTATATTCTTCCCATCATTTACATCAGCTATCTCTTTTTACATTAATCAAGGTACTTATCAGTTTCTACTCTCGTCCATCCAATCCAAAGTGTAGCGTATTCCTTCGTCAATACTGACCTCGGGTTTGTAACCAAGAACTTCTTTTGCTTTCAGAATATTATGATACCTGTGAGCGCACGCCACTTTCACTCTAAATGGCGTCAAGCCGGCTTCCTTCTTCAATATGCTTGCAACTAGTTCAGAAATATAGCCAATGCCTAATGCGATGGTGCGCGGTAACACAATGTTGTAGTTATCCACATGGCCATCAGCTTTCCAAACCGTTCGCGCTAGAGTCCAAAAGTAAGTAGGCTGATCGTTAGTAATCAAGAACACTTCGCCTGCCACTTGGGATCTCGTTGATGAGCTGAGGATTTTTTGAGCCGCCAAAACGTGTGCGTCCGCAACATTGCCAACATAAGTCCAGTCAAAAAGATTATTGTTGTCACCAACCTGAAACTTTGTCTGTTTCATCTTGAGGACTCCTCGCAAGCCCGGGATAAGCTGACGATCACCAGGTCCAAAGATTCCCGCTGGACGCAAGCATACGGTTGCAAGGCCGTCAATATCATTGCATTTTAAGACTTCTGTTTCAGCAATGGCCTTTGTCTCATTGTAACCGTCCATATGCACTTCTGGGTACGGCCAAGATTCATCTGCATTCATTACGTCTTGACCATTGAATATAACACCTGCAGAGGACGTGTAAACCAATGCTTTAACGTTTTGTTTCTTGGCTGCGGATATCAAGGTTCTAGTTCCCTCAACATTGACCTTATTATAAATCTGTTGAGGAGCACCATGCATTGGTGATGCGGAGTGTACTATGACATCGCATTTGGAACCTTTAATAGCATCTGACAAGTCGTCTTCCGATGTAATATCTCCTCCATGAAAGGTAACGCTTTTGGGATCGAAGGTGAAATATTTTGAGATCTTTTCTGGCAATGGCCGCACATCAAATACATGAATCTTGGTATTTGGACTACGTCTAGAAAACTGCTCTATCAAGTGTAAACCAAGGAAGCCAGATCCTCCAATCAACAAAACTGAATTCATCGTTTGTAAGACCAGCTGCCAACGCGGATTCATCGTATAAGCAGGTGCAAGGATGTATATTATGGGTACTACTGGATTAAAGTTAGAAGATGAAGCCAGATTTAAAGCTCTCTACTTTCGCAGAGTCAAGGTCAGCAACCTTCAAATCAACACCAGGGAACGTGTAGTCATATTTTGCCTTAGATTCGGCGCTAAAGGGTTTGGCCTGAGGCTGAGGTGCCAATGCCTGACTGTTCATGTCAATATGACCAACTGAAGAGTCGGCAGCACTCGACTTAAAGGAGCTAGAATTGGCCTTCACACTTCCTCCAAATTGACCGAAAGCGGGTGCTGTTTCTGTAAGAGAGCTTGCCTGCCCACTATCTGTACGAATGGTAGATGGAAGCGGCGCAGACTTTTCAGTAACCTTAGTTTTAGCAAATGAGAGATTAGGTTGTGTCTTTTCAGGTTGTGTCTTTTCACCAGAAGGTGTGTTCTCGATTGGTTCGGATTTATCGAACGATGTGGTATTGACAATATCCTTTGCGCTTATTGGTGGAAATTTGGATTTCGTCAGGGTTGTTTGAGTAGGTTCGGACTTTTTGGCTTTGATAGAACCCGCGGAAGAGTAGGGGTTAGAAAACTTTCCAGCTTTATTATCCTCTTTAGATGCAACTTGGTCCTTGGTCTCCGAGCCATCTATGATAGACAATAAAGTACCTGCAGTTGCGCTCATTGGTTTTGAAGTGAAGTCAAATGTCGTTGAGGGAAGAGCGGCAGGAGGGTGCAACTTCTCGTCTTGTAGCACCTGTTTTGCTTTCGCTGAACGCATGGGCGCGGTTATTCTTGTACGATAAGGTGACGGAACACCTGAAAAATGATACACTCGTTTGACTGACCGTATGCTGCGCGGGTTAACGCTATGATACGTAGGCCTGTAATCCGGGGTTATGATTTGTGATGCATTGGGATTACGCAGTAACGTTTGCTTTTGAGGAGTAGAGTAGAAAAAGGATCCGTTACCTGTCAAATTAGCCAATAACGACCGGTTCGTGACATCTGGAGCCTGAGCCAGACCACGCCTTCTTTTGTTCTTTCCTTCGAGCACAGAGGAATCACCGAGAAATGTATCATTGTCTCTTGCTTTCGCCAATAACGATTGCACGCCTTCATACTCTATATCCGTTAAAGGCTTATCTCCTTTTTCACTGAAAAACTTGCTCAACACCTGACTAGGTGTTTGTTTAGCATCACCCACCTTCGCTTCGTTCATAGGGGTACGTGCAGAGATATATGATTCATTACCACGAGTCTGCTGTGAATCTTGGGCGCTATTATCAGACATACGAGAACCATCAGGATGAGTCCCCCAGCTGAAAATTCGTTTCACCAGCGACAAGACATTTTTTGGCCTAGACTGAGATTGTCTCCCATTGGAACTGTCCTTCTTCGATAAGAATAGCTGCCTGGAATCCATGACAGTTATAAATGTTCCGAGCAGAAGAATTTACATTCACATAATATACAGGAATCAGATGTGAGGTGCGTGCAGACTAAACATCGATTTATATACTTCGATCCTATAAACATTTTCAACCCCAACTAATACTAGCATCGAGAAAGGCAGGCTTCGTCCACCAGCATCTAATACCGAATCACCATCTCGTTGCCCATTACATCACTAGCATAAATTACATCGCATATTTGACATCTTCTACCAGTCTCATGGATTGAGCTGCTTGCAACTATTTTGAATTCACTATGGCCGATTATGTGTCTGATTCCGATGATGAGGCGTACCCATTGACAAGCGTTCACGTACGCCAAGAGGACATAGCCAATGCAATCGTCAGTTTTCAATCAGACGCGAAAGGTCAACAAGACGCGTTCGATTATCTTCGAGATCGTGGATTGATACCTTCCGCTGGCGTCGTTGAGAGCGATGAAAAACGAGACACAGGCGATGCCGAGAATCTGGACCTATTGAAGGCGTACTTACAAGAACAGATGAATACGCAAGGCTCGCGACGGTCTTTACGAAAGCGAAACTTTTCAAGTACACATCCCTACTTGGCAGACCAAGCGCATTGGCTCGGTTTGATGGATGTGGATACATTGAACGAGATATATTCCGAAACGCAAGATGTGGAGTCCATTGTGAAACTTCTAAACTCGATGTACATGAAGAAGAGAAAGAGGTATCCAAGAGAAGAGAGATATAAACCGAAATCTTTCTATTCATTTTTGGGAAGAAATATGCCACCTCAAGAGAATCAAGATGAGGCCTTCCAGTCCTCACAATTGTCATTAAACTCACAAGGTCAACAAGATAACGCTGAGCCTCAAAATAGCGACCTAAATGATTTCTCGTACCTGGAGCTGGAGGATGATCTAATTGTGCCCCATTCAAACAGAAGGAAAGCTAATTTTGCGTTTTTAGATGAGGAATTAGAGGCAGAAGAAAATGACGAAGAGTCCATGCAAGTTGAGTTTCCATCATCAAGCACCAAGTCATATTCAACGAAGGAACGAATACTTTATCACTCCAAGCCCAGGAGATCCGAAGGTTTGGAATCAAAAACAACCTCAACCAGGCGGGGCTTGGCCATCAAAAAGATGAGAAGAAAGGCGCATAGAGCAAACAACAGAGGTGTTCTCTCATTGAGCAAGTTCATTGACGACAATGAATATGATGAAGAGAGCGTAGAAACACGGTTGCCTTTGCCCCTCATTCAAGATAATGAGTATCACGAAGAGAATGTGGAACCACGGTCGCCTTTGCTTCTAGCTCAAGATAATGAACGAAGTTCAGACTTGTTGATTGATTTGACCAGAGATTACGACTGGTCGACGGATGCTCAAAGTTCGAGTGACGAGGAGAGTGCAAGCGAGAGCGTTCACTATTATTCGAGTAGACCAAAATTGAACTCATCGAATCACATTAGCCCTCTGAGGGAAAATGAACTTTTTGCGGTCTACAAAGATCAACCCAGAAAGTTCACTGACGACCTTGTGAATACTAATCAAAGGCACTTGCCAAGAAATAAGCCAAAGACAAGGCAATTTGGACATCGGCCATCCCAAGCTAGGCTCGGGCCATCTAGAGTTCTTCGAGAGAAGCATCACTCGTCTTTGAATATAATCAGGAGACGAAAAAGAACTCCAAAACGAACAGGAATGAGAAATGGTCATGCTCTCACTTCATCAAGGGCCACACAGGCTAACATAGCAAATAGGGGAAAGCAAAGAAAATTAACTATTCAAAGTGACGAATCAGCAGCACCAGGTACAAAGTTTTTGCAAAACGTATACCAGAGAACCCCGAATCAATCTACAACGATATTTGAAGCGACTAAAACTGTGCATCAGAAAGAAAGAGATCACGGCAAATATGACAGGAATTCTACTCTCAAGGAATTCGTAGGCTTATCTATGGCACCAGAGTCCGTACTAAATCCTATTGTCATGAACGATCAGAACATCAAAAAGCTTGAAACTCTTGATACGGAACACCATATATTCTTCGATAAAGACTCATTCAATATTGTACTCTTCGGCCAGAGCTTTTCATTCTCAATATTTGACACCGATGGATCCAACAGATCATTCGCCAGGGTTGTTCATTTGATCAGAGCGAGATCAACAGAGCAAAATGCCTTCTCAGAATCCTCAGCAGAATTTCGTGAGATGAGCGAAGCTATAAAGGTACTCATTAAATGGTCATTGGTTATACAAAAGCCCGATAACCGCCATGTCCACCTCGTTTCGGATGTAATTGCGGACATCTTCAATTTGGAGTCTATCAATCTTCTGCATATTCAGTTGACATCTCAGTTCCTTCTATTGGAGTTCATTATGTTAAAGATTTGCCAACGAGTCAATGAGTTTGAATGCCAGTCTTCGCGAAGGGTATTGGAGAAGCAGTGCTCTTTTCTATTCAAAGCATGTTTTCAAAAAATTGACTTTTTCCAGCTTGCAAACGGTGAAAATGTTGTCTCCCTGTATGGCCCAATTCAAATTGCTTCGACGATACTTCGCGGCGGTTCCGACGTTTGGTGGAGCTGCATTACTGATGCAGTATTAGAATGCAACGATGAACTGTTCATTGATGGAAACATATTATATGGTTTATCATGGCTCGCAATGACGTTCTCAAGAACTCCCAATTGGAGTGCATTTCTTGCATATTATAGAACTTTTTGCAAGAGAGGCTCTAATCTGGAAGGCAGCCATTTATTCTTGGACGTCATATCGTGCGTCGGAAGTAAGCTATGCTGGCCCTTTGATGAAAGACTTGTTCTAGAATTATATTCATCTATCGGCATAAGAAAGTTTGCAGACTACGAGAATGAAAATCACAGTGATTTTGTGCTTGGGAAAATAAACACCAGAAGTGATATTCCCGATTCTACTTTTTTTGAGAGATACATGCTATTTCTATATTCATATGTCTCTGCCCTTCCGTTTGGCTCAAACAAAAAAAGGCTAATCACTAAACTATTAACGTCAAGCCGATTTCACTACACTTCCGGTTCAGCTCATCGAGCAATGTTCTTAAACAGACTCAACTTCACTATTCTACTTTGTCAATTATCCGACATCACCCTCGAGTCGCAGCTTCTAGATCTTATAAGTCAGGTTGACGATTCCAATGATGTTAAAATCTACAAATTGATCACTGAGGTTATCACATCGTTGACAGAGATATCTCTCGATAGGCCTGAATTATACCCGTTTCTTTCGCTCGCGCATATGGTCGAACTCGTTTCAAAAAAGTACGGTATGATGCCGGAGATGTTCAAGTTGTGGCCATCCCTTAATTCCCTGGTTCATGCAGCACTAAAAATGTCAATGAACGAGTCATTGTACGGATTCTTGCTCCAGATGGCAAAGATTTATAACAGCCTGCTTCCTGATGATATCACTTTAGATATCACTACATTCTTATCGCATTCTTATGATTCTTTTCCTGAATTATACCTTAGGAGCGATTTTATTGAGGAAGTGTTTCGCAATAGCTTGCACCATTTGAACTATCATATGGGTAGGTATCCGTTAACCAATCCCAACTTGGAGCACCGAACTGAAGCTCTAGTCGAGAGGTTAATTAGTCTTTGGGTGAGAAGCGCTCTCCTCAAAGGCGATCAGAGCTGGGATGTTTTGATCTTGCAAAGTTTTCCATACATCGGTAACCAAGATCTGAGAGAGAAGTTCCTGCTTTATTTCTATGCCAAGCTCCTTGAATCTTTTACCGCCACAGGAAGTTATGACACAATTATCGTCTCTGTCATGAAACAACTTGCTCGGTTCTCGATTTCAAAATACTTCGTTGGGCTACTCAATCAACTTATAAAGAATAAGCATAAGTTCTTTGATTTGAAGGGTCAGTGCGGTTTGGAGCTTGTTACGGGGCTACAGTTTCTGAATTTTCGAACAGCCATAACAAGTTCTATTCTCCACAACATTGCTTCAAGTGAATCCACCAGCGCAAGGTTAAAGCAAAGGTACATTGAAGTATTTCTTGAATCACTCAATCAGGACTTTGGGCTCTTCTTTCTCTCGCAGAAATATGTAACTTTCTGCAAGAAGACGACCCTTTTGATCCAGGATGTTTTTCAGAATTCTTTAAGCTCATCCCAAACATTGAACTCCCTATGTGTTCGGTTGGGAATTGCCCAATCCAAAAGCACAAGTAATTGGACCAATTTGAGCTTCGTACAGAGGTTGAAGATTGTGAATACCGAGCTTACCACTGCATTAAGCAGCGGTTCTGGTAACGCTCTGGTTCTCGATTCTTACGTAGCCACCTCAAGCATGGACGTCGTTTATCACCTTCTTGGCATATATTGTCAAGAGTTATTGCATCATAACTTGGACAAATGGCCCATTATGTGCCACCTCTTGCACTACGCATGGGAACGGTTGTCGCGGTTCAAAATCAATGGCTCTGAGCCAAACTTCTTAAAATTTGTAAAGATCGTTGGGATCACTCAAGCTTTATGCCGTCAGTCAAACTACTCCAAAGAACTCGAGGACTCTGTCAAGAAAGCTAGCATATTCCTGATAAAAATTTTGGACCATTCGCGTCGTATGTTCGATGGATACAGAGAACAAGAAACAATTTTGGATGTCATTTATGGAGTGTCACAAAACAGCAACTCATCAACTGAACTAGACTTTATGAACTCTAGTCTTTCCAACGTGCGTTTGTATGATATACAAACGCCAGATGCTAATATGGTGCCGATTTCGGCCGACAATTTGAGCATTGATGGCGACAGCAGATCACACTATTCCATTGATATCAGCCCTGACCACGAAGCACCAACTGACCAAGCATGCCTCATTTGTGACCTATAAGGCACATGTAATCTAGTGTACATTACTTGCATATAATGAAAGATTTCTTTACTACTATTCAATTCCCCTTTGGCTCTTTATCAACTTGATTTCCGATTCCAACTTGTCTCTAGCTCTCTTGACATCGAGCAATACGACCACCGACCTAATGAGCTCATCATATTTAGCCATGGTCTTACGAGTAGGCATTACAGGACGCCAGGTAGTACCCCCACCCGTGGGGATATCGAGTTCCTGGAGTAGAGTATTAACAGAACGTAAGACAGACTGACGCTGTTGCGTACCTGCTAATCTTTGTGTCGAACGCAACATCACCCCTGGAGTGAGGCGCTCATTGGCGTGGTAGTGTAATCCATAGGCTTCTTCCTCCTTAACTGTAAGCCTTTTCATTAAAAGCTGTTGTACAGCATTTGGCTCACGGCCATTCACCGATTGCGATTGTCTCAAAACGTTCGATAAGTACTGTTGAAGTTGTGTTTGGAATGTCCTATCTCTCTTATAAGATGAGGAAGCTGCACTAGGAATGGGAGGAGGGAGTGGCTCGCTACTGCTTGCTAATCTCAGCTGCTGTTGAAGTTGACGCTTCTTTTGATGCTTGTCTATGATCATCAAATTATTGTACAAGTTGGCCAACCCTTGTGAAGATTGGTATTGCTGAGTGGACTGCGTCACTTGAGGAGAGTCCAAAAGAGTCAAGAGTTGAGATCTCTCTACCAACATCTTCTTAGCAGCCAACTCGAACCGTCGAGCTTCGATAACTAGCGACTCTTCCTCAGCGATCTCGGCCGGCGTACGTTTGAGGAGTTTTTCAAGGTATTGCTTCCTTTCTATTTCTTTGACTCGAGAAAACGACTTCAATGATTCAATGAGAGCGTGACTGGCATTGGGTTGTGACTGATATATCTTCGCGCTAACCCGATAAAATTGATCTTTGAGGTCTTCTTCTCGCAAGCCTGGATACTTGAATCGGTCAAATATTATGGGCCACTTAAGCTCGAACGCATTACAAAGCTCGAAAAGGTGCACTGTTTCCTCATAGGTCCAATTGTGCCTAGGTGGTATCGACTGTTCAACATTTTTCAGTTCATCCGGGGCAGATCGTTTATTTTCATGTGTAGACCTCTTCTCTTCCTTGGTCCCCGTTTCTGTCTTCTCCTCATTCTGTGTGTCAGTTTTCTCGCCAGTAGCAGTTTCGGTTTTCGGTTCAGTACTGTTTGATTTCGTGCTTTCTTCGGCAACTTTCTTGCGTTCCTCTTCCTTTACTCTCGCATCCTCTTCATCCTGGAGTAGCTCTGACATATAGGTATCAAAAGTGGCCTCATCTGGAAGTTCTGGTATATCAAGACGGACGTTGAACTTTTCAAAAATGTAAGGCTTCTCCGGTTCTTGTTCTATAAGTTCTTTCGAACCTTTGACCCAATGAAAAAATTCAGCGCCCTTTTGATCTCCGCTTTGGGCAGTGAAGGACTGTCGCGTCCACGGGGAGGGTTTGAGGTTAAATTTGCTTTTGGTTCCAGAGCTTGTGGCATTGGACAAGTTGGCAGGAGGTGTATTAGGTCCTAAGAGACTATAGAGTTCTCGAGATAAACCTGTTTGTCGGTGAACTGCAGCCACATCATTCAGCACCTTTTGCTTCTTCTTTGCAGGGAGATCCAGACTATCTCTCTGCACGTTAAGGACATCTAGGATATCATTAGCCGACATTTCTACGGAATGCAGGTGCCTGACAAAATGTTCAACTAAAGTTGAATTGAAAAAACAAGGTTATATACAGGACCTCAATTATGAGAACCCGCCTAGATCACTGACACAGAAGCAGCACGTCGTCAATGAGGAGCTGTAAATATATATGTATTTAATGGAAATTGTACATTTGAGAACTGCCATACTAATCCCTGTACGACGCTAAACTTCATAATGTAGAACAAAACCAGTAGCAATAATAATGGCCCCAAAAAATGCTCAAAACTCACTTGGTTGATATCTCCGTACTTTGCCAAATTTACGTTTGTGTCAATTGCGTTTGTACCCAAGTATTGAGAAATAAGGCGTTTGTACATCTCTTATTCTTCACAAAAACTTGAAACTCCTTTCAGAACTTTGATATTTTTGCCAGAGGTACCCTTCTTAAAGAGTTAATCTGACTACAAATAGACAAAGCTTTTGATTCAACAAAGTCGCAAGTACAAGAAACCCAGCAACTTTTGAAAAAACCTCAAGAGGTTTTCGAAATGAGCTCTTCCAGCGAGATGACTACTCATCTCGCTTCCACCCAAAATGGGGTGGCTGAACCAACCGCCCACGAGATTGCAGTTGCAGAAGTCAATGCAATTGTCCATGCAGTGAAAGTTGCAGTGGGCGTCCCCACGCAGATGGCTGCAGAAAACGCATCTTTAGTGGCTGCAAAATCCGGCTCACCACAGTCAAGCCAGGTTGCAACCGAGGGACCAACACCCGAAACCACGCCGGAGACGACCCCTCCTTTATGCAAAAAGGCAGTTCTTCCAAACCCTCAGACTGGAGCTGGAAACGCTAGGAAATCTGAGAAACAGAGAGCCAAAAGAAGAAGACAAAGAGTCAAAAAGGCCAAAAAGCTGGCAAGAATTGAAGCTGCTTATTCAAGAGCTCCATCTTGCGAGCCGAATACCACCTTAGACACAGTCAGGGAAAAGGCACCCAAGGAAAAGGCACCCAAGGAGAAAGCTGTCTCAAAAAGTTTGGAGACGACCAAGGTCCCCACACAAAAGAGACAAACTGTTTCGAAGTTGGCTAAGCCTGAAATTGAGGTCCAAGATCAAGCTGAGGAGATGTTTGACTTTGAGGTCAACCAAAAGGACATACCTTTTATCGATGACTGGGAGAAATTTGTTGATGATGAGGAGGATACTCCATCCACCCATCACTCGAAGGAAGGCCCGGCTTGCGAAAAAGATATTCCAATTTGTTTGTCCCCCAAAGAGAAAACATCGGAAAGCTTTACTGATTTGGCTGCTGTTGCCTTGAAGGAAAAGGAAGTGACTCCAAGCCTTGAGCGAGAGGAGACTACCTCGAGCAGTCCTATCGAATTGCCTGGTGCTCCCTTGATGGAACAGGAAGTGACTCCAACGCTTGAGCAAGAAAAGAGTACCACGACCAGTCCTATTGAATTGCTTGGTGCTCCCTGGTTTCGAGAGGATGACGAATTGAGCATTGACCTGGAAGCGGAGCCCGCTTCAACCCTTGAGCAAGAGAAGAGTACCTCGACCAGTCCTATTGAATTGCTTGGTGCTCCCTGGTTGCGAGAGGATGACGAACTGAGAATTGACCTGGAAGCGGAGCCCGAATGTGAGGATGATGCTTTCGCAAGCTTGGCGATCAGTCTTCCGTCCACGAGGATCGACGTTGACTCGCTTAGCCTTGATCTGCTACTGCCAGAGGCTCGTTGGAAGGATGCTGAAGAAGAACTTTCTGCGGATGATGAAGTTGTTGAGGCTGAAGATCAGGCAAAGGAAACTTCCGCTTCTCTGGGAGGAAGAAACAACGGACCGGGTAGAACAGATGGACCAAACGGCTCTGATGGATCAGACGGATCAGACGAAACAGATGGCTCTTTTCACGAGAGCCACAATTCGCCAGACCCTGAACCACCTAAGAAAAAAGTCAGGTTCACATTCGCTGGTCTCAGTCCATTTTCTCCTAGGGAACCCAGGAAGCTTCGCCGCCGGAAGAAGAGTCCCTCAACAGCCAGGTTATTGGCAAGAGGAGTTAAAATGCTTGCCCACAAGATCAAGAACAAAGTTCGGCGTTTTGCAAGAGCCGTCTGGAAGTTGGGGGGAGAAGATACAGAGGAAACTCTGGACAAGGAACCCTCCCGGCTCCGCAAGTGGAAAACGATCTTGAGCCTTCTCGTATCCAAGTGAGAAGTGGTGACTCCACTCCTGAAGTTGCTCTAACTGATGAAACATCCATTTGGATAGATAGTTAGTAGTATGAATAAAAAAAAATAAAACAAAATGTAGACTGCGAGTATAGGGCCATACACTTCAATTCGCTCGTTCAATGCGATTAGATACGCCGCGAACTTCTCGGAATCTTATAAAGTCCTCATTTTCATAAATATTGTAGTTGGTGATTTGGGCGCTGCATGCAAATTTGACAGTTTCAAGGTGACTTGATTTTGAACATTGATTGCAATGTGATGATTTTTGGGAGGCTTCTTGCAAAGGCTGCAACGTTCTTATCGATCTTTCATGTTGATGAGTGAAAGCGCATCCCATGAACATCTTTGCTTGGGTTTCATATGATCTAACTTTAGGAGTAAGATGATGTCACAACAGTGGTCTAATTTTTTCTCATAATATCAATGAAGCTGATCTGACATGCATGTCGTATTGGTGTTTCTTCGGGTATTTGAACTTCTAAACGTACGATCACTTATTATCGTTTCCAAACGGATTGTATGATCAATGAAAAATTGTTAGATGTGTTATCGCGGAAACTAACATTTCGAATTTTGAGAAAGCCTAATTTGATTTCTCGCTGACTTTAGTTCAAATGAAGCTCCGAATACTGATGTGAACTAATGAACTTGTAGAGTATTAGCGTGAAGTAGACTTAACAAAAATGAACAAGCTTACAGTATCTGATATTTTTTCGTAATGCAACGATTAACCGTCTGCTTATCGGGCCTTTACACAATGTACTTTTTTTTTTCGTTGATCTAAGTATGAGTTACCTATAGTATCTAGGCAACGTAATGATAAAGGTTGCGTTCCTCCGAGTCTCTTCGTAAATACTCCTTGTCGATCAAATCTTCAATTCGTTGTTTCATCATTATCGTCAGCGGTTGGAACCGATTCAGCAATTGTTTCACTATTTCAGCAATTAAGTCATTATGATGAATTTGTTGACGAGACTTAAGAATGCGGACAATAGCAGCGTTCAACTCGAATTTTCGACCTTCGACAATCGAACTTTGGATATCTTCCATCTCCTCATCCTTAGCTGACTTCTCTTTCCCTTCTGACGCACTCTTGGACTTTGCTGGTGCAACCGACGAAGCTGCAGAAACAGTCAAAACTTTCACTTTCACAGATGGCGACTTGAAGTTACTATTAAGCCGAAAAGTATCGTCATTCTTCACATCCTTCGACATAGGTATCTTAACCAAGAGCCTCAGTCGTGGGGCCACAGCAATAGATTGCAATTGACGCTTCAAATCATTATCAGGAATTCCTGTAAGCTCTTTGATATCTGAATATGTCAACTGCCTATCATCATCAAAGGGGTTGCTTCCATCCAGACCAGGCGCAAATGCAAGCATGATCACTGCAGCATAAACAGACATATTGATTTCGTACGTCTTTGATGGGTAAGTTATTCTCATATCGACCGAGCCAAATTTGGGACTCCAATAGAGAGACTTGTTGTCGTTTTTCTTTCCTGAGTGCCAAAAATGCTCAAAGGATCCCATGATAGTACGCATTTGGGTGGGCCAAACAAAACCTAAAGAGTCAGCATCGCCAGCAGTACTAAACCTCTTGTAATCTTTTGTCATTGACTTGGGCCACTCTGAGACGTTACAAATCTTCAACTCAAGATCTATACTTGTTCCAGGTCGATTGTTTGATGAATAATTCTTCCAATCCTGAGTCAACTCTCTGGACAAGCGAATATCTTTATTCATCTTTATCACTTTTTCAAGCGAACTTGACCCTGTTTCTTCTCCGAGCTTTGATAAGACATAATCTTCCAAGTCAACACCCAACTTGTTTGTACTCAGTGCATTGCGTCCTTGTGACAGTTCCTTTGCATTTAAGAAACGTCTTGCAAAATGGTTTGCATAGTGAACTTCAAAAGCATCCTTATCTTTTATCGCTCTTAAGAAGTATCTGAATTTTGTAACAAACTGCTCAGTTTGATCAGCAGAATCACCATTCAGCTCAGACAACTTTGCTTGCCCCGAGGATTTGCTTAGCTGCTTAATGTTATGGTCCATATAAATAGACAAGAGTTCTGGTGCATTAATCTTGAAGCTAGGGTCACTGAAGGGGCTGGGGTTGTTGACAAGATCTCTTACAGCTAGTGCAACACATTGTTCAACACTAGGGTCACCGCTAAATGAAGCTGCGACGATGGATGCATATTGGTTTTGAAATTCTAAAATCGACTCCACCCAGTTCACAGTGAAAGTAGGATGAGATGTACTGACCGACTTTTTATTGTTGGCAGAATCAGACGCCATTTTATTCCGCAAGTGAGTTAAGATGCTAGTGCCCTGTTTGAAAATAATGTCACGAAGTCTTCTTTTGAGTATGGTCACTTCTGGATCTATGCGAAGGATGAGCTTGTACACAGCATTTAGGTCAAGTACTTGTTGACCAAGAGACTGGTCCGAGAAAGTCATCTTCCTCTCAAGTACGTTTCCCACCACAGGTTCAAGCAAGTAAGCTAATCCGTGAGACTCCAGTGGTAAATCCATAATGGCCTCGATTTTGTCTTTGATAATGATATTGTTCATGAGATCGATGACTTTTGGAGCAGTGGTTTCGGGAACGAACGTAGCGAGACGGTCTTCTTCGGCGAGTATAAAAGTACTTGCCTCGTGGAGATATACTGAGCCATCCTTTCTTCCAACTAATTCAAGCGAAAATTTGTTGAAGTAAGTTTCTGACACTGACAAAAAGGAAGGTTCATAGTACTTCATGTAATAGGTTTCGTTAAACTGAACATCTTTGCCCGCAACAGTTACATGTGAGGGAGTCTCAGGAAGCTGTTCGAACATTCCTATTAGACTGATTACGTGCAGTTTAGTTGTAATCAACTCACCATCTCGACATCGGGTAAGTTCATCGAATATGATGCCTATAAGTCTCAGGCCCAATTCGTTGTCGTTGTAAAGGATCACCATATCTTTAAATAGCTGGATACCCAAATCATAGATTAACATTTTCTTATTTTCCTTGACGTAAACTCGATTAAGGTACATCAAGACATCGCTGATAAACTTCATGGCTTTCAAGTGATCTTCCCACACGTTCAATGCTCTTTTCAAGAAGTCCTCGCGATCGATCAAGACATTTCCTGGATCAAGGCTCAACAACTCCTCTCTCTTTTCAAGGAGATGACGCAGCACTATTTGTGCAACGTTGTCGTAGAGCCTCGATCCGAATTTACGGAGCACTAAGGCATATGCTTTGCGATATAATTGTTCATAGGAAAGATTCGAGACGTTCTTGCTTTGGATTTGGCTAATTGCATGCGATAAAACAGCCCAAGATTTGTCAAAATCCACGGCTGAATCGCTCATGTCACTCCCCAGGCCTACAGCTAGCGGCCGCCTCGGAGGACGTATTTTGGACCTTCTGCTTCCCGCAGGCAACATCTTAGACAAGAATGTTCCGCGATGATTCTTGAAAGCACTAATTACATCCTAGCACCCATAGTATAGAAGAGTTACCAAAAAAACTAGAAGGTGCAATTGATCTGATGGAATTACTTCGTTGAATATATATGCATCTAGAAGATCTATTAAATAGTTGCAACTGGTGTTCCTTTCAGCCATTCTGCAACATTGGCGTAGTATCATTATTCTGTCGCAGGCATCTCAAATACCGCTTGAAGCCAGTTACGGTACATTTTAAGCTGCTTTTTTCTGTTCACGAGAAGTCGGCGATCAGTAGCTATACGATTTTCTGTGAATGGGCCATGTTTGGTGAATATCTGGCGCAATTCGTCCTCAGTAAAAAAGTAAACTCGAGTACCATCACCACGAATATAGAAGTTATCGTCCAAAAGCCTGCCTTTTTTGAACCTAACTTGCGCAAGATCATACCGTCCATAATCACGGAACAAAATCTGACCACCTGGCTTCAATGCCTTGGCCAAATTATTAATGGCGGTCGCCCACTGATTTGGGTGCAAAGCCAGAAAAACGAAGACCAACACAACCACATCTACCGAATGAGGCTCTAAACCTTCCGGAAGCTTTCCTTCAGGGTTCGCCAAGTCCCAAACTGAGCTAAATGCCACACCCTTCTCGTTATTTGGTGCAAATTCTGGATTCGAACGTACGAGATCTACCGCAACACTCAGATAGTCACATCCGAAAATTTTGAAGTTTTTGTTCTTGTTCTGACTCAATATGGGAAACATCGTATTTCCTGCTCCACACCCCACTTCAAGAACAGTACATTCTCTCTGGTAATCCTCCGAAGTGACCTCGTACAATCGTGGAAATTCAATTTGGAGCCACTTTCTATCCTTGAAAAAATTCTCTCGGTTGTTCTTGTAGAATATATCCCAATACTTTGCTGGGTTCTCGTTGTATAGCTTCTTGTCGAATTCTTTTACAGGATGTTCGTACTGTTTTGCAATCATCTCTTGGGCGGCTTCAATCTGTTCTTCGCCCCATTCCACATGGTCCCATGCGTTGTGGTTGAACACATCATTTTCATCCTGCAAATACCTCTGTCCGAAGGTAAACGGGCTGTCTTTTCCTATGCGTGACTCGAGGGGTGGCTTCGTTTCTGTCATCTATCAAGTTCTGAAAAATTCGCGATGAGCCGAATTCACAGAAGCCGCGATTTTGTGGGGGAATATGCATGTTAGTCCAATTGGCTACTTATTATAATTATATAGTTTCAGTGTAGTGCTTTGCTCCATCGAGGTCCTGAAGTCTCGCAGCCGCCTGTTCACTCGTCAAGTCTCTCTGTGATTCTCCGAGCATTTCGAAACCAACACAGAATTTCTTCACTGAAGCTGAACGCAACAACGGAGGGTAGAAATGCATATGGAACCACGAGGACTCCTTCTCTTCCTCCGAGCCCACCAACGGAGCTTGGTGTAATCCCATAGAGTAAGGGAAGGAAGTGTTGAACAAATTGTCGTACTTGATAGTCAATGTCTTGAGGATGCTGGCGAGGTCTGCCTTGTGCTTATCCGAAAAATCAGCAAGAGATTTCAAGTGTTCTTTGGCTATCAACAACGTTTCAAAAGGCCACAATGCCCAGTATGGCACGACGACAATAAAAGAATCGTTTTGTGCAACAATTCTCTTTTTCTCTGCGATTTCGAGCTCAACGTAATCGCCAAGCATATGCGACTTGTGCTGGTGATGATACTTGGACATGTTGGTGATCTCGTGGCTTACTTCAGTGGGAATAACGTCGAGACACCATGCTTGTCCATGGGGATGGGGGTTTGAACATCCCATAGCAAAACCCTTGTTTTCGAAAATCTGGAGATACTTGTATGGGGCTTTTCCTTCGACCAGATCCAGCTGTGTGTCAAGGTACAACTTCTGCCATGTGTCTACTACCTTGCCAATTTGCTGATTTGTCATGAGTGGTAACGTCAAACTATGATTTGGGCTAAAGCAAATGACAAAACATTGACCTTTGACACCCTGAACGTGCATAAGTCTCAGCTTGAGATCATCTTTACCATCTCCCGACGATTTTTCAGCTTCGTAGTCTGGCTGCTCCAAACGTACAGCGGGATAGTCATTTGGGAAAACAAAAGTAGACTCGTATTTCGGATTGGTGTCTCCGGTAGCACGAATATTGCTTGGACACAAGTAACATTTGGGGTCGAATTCAGGTAAAGCTATCTTTCTAACTTCTTCCTTGGCTCCTTGCCAAGGTCTTTTTGCTCTATGAGGAGAGCACAACACATAGGTATCAGTAAGCGGATTGTGTCTTCTGTGGGAGTGGTTGGTAAAATCAAATTCCGTCATTATGGTCGCCATGTTTGCGGATGAAGGACCTGCTTTTATAAAATTGGTCAACTTCGAGAAACGATGCAACGTTGCATTCCTTCACCAGCACACACCCACGCCGGGTTAGGAGCCCACATCACTTCTGAAAACACAGGTGCGTAACGCATAATAGGCCCACGGAGAAACCTCATACACGGGCTCGTAACAGCATATACGTGGGTCTCATAACCTTGCATATCCTGTTTTGCCAGGTTTTTCATGCACGAAAAATGCCGCAACGTTGCATCTGGACCAAAATTTGCACGATTTTGACTGTAACGTTGCATTGAAGGTATATCCTGTACTTGGATCCATTAATTGTACTTTTGTTCTAGCAAGTGGCAGGTATTTCATCTTCCTGAAGGCTAGAAATGACTCAAGATTCTGGGATCAGCGACGTTGGAGCTGAAACAGTGAATGAAGATGTTTTGGTGACTGGAGGTGCCGGGTTCATAGGTTCTCACACCTTGGACTATCTTGTGCAAAAGTACCCAGATTGCAAATTTACTTGTGTTGATAAACTTTCATATGCTACAAATTACCTGGAGAACAATCTACGTAAGGTTTCTGGATGCGATAACTTCACATTTATCAAGCTTGACTTAGCGGAAGAACATCAGCGGTTGGATGAGCTCATAAATCATTCTGCCAACAATTTCACAACCATTATCAACTTTGCAGCCGAGTCATGTGTGGACAAGTCTTTTAACGATCCACTTTACTTTACGAAAAATAATGTTTTGGCTACACAAAACTTACTAGAGTGTTGTCGTACTTTGTTAAATAGTAAACCCAACTTGAGACGAAACTTCAAATTCATTCACATTTCCACAGATGAAGTATATGGGGAACAAAAAGAAGGAGAAATCATAGACGAAGATGGCCCTCTCCATCCCACAAATCCATATGCTGCTTCAAAAGCAGCCTGTGACCTCATTATAGAAGCATACAAGCACTCGTATAAAATTCCCATCACCCTAATAAGGTCCAACAATGTTTATGGCCCTCGCCAGTTTCCCGAGAAAATCATTCCAGTGTGCCTCAAAGCATTGCAAAAAGCATCCCCGACTGGTATCGCTGAAAAAGAAAGAATACCAATTCATGGTAACGGAAGGCACACTCGCCGATACTTGCATGTACTAGACTTTGCAAAAGCTGTAGATCACATTTGGAATTGGCTTAAAAACACCTCAGAATCTAGCAGCGATTTCCTTGGAGAAACATTCAATGTTGGAACAGACGATGAGGTAGACAACCTCTCAATGGTAAAATTGATATGCACTATTTTCATGAGGAAGAAGTTTGGAGTAGAGTCACTTGATGCTTCCTCCTTCATTCGGCATACAAAGGACAGAAACTACAACGACTTCAGGTATTCCATCGATTTCACGAAAATCAAAAAAGTAGGATGGAAACAGGAAATTTCATTGGAGCAGGGCATTGAGGAGTTGGTAAAGGCTGAAATTGAAAATGAAAAATGATGAGGCACACTTTCAAAAATAGTTGCGTTTCAGCTTTGCGGTTCTCAGCGTAAGCTTTGCAATCTTTCAGTTTCAGTTTTTCAGTTCAGCTTTGCCATTGTCGTTATAATTATTGTACCATAGCTCGTACTTTAGAATCAAACAAGCCGCTCTTAATGGGCATTTCCAACGAGTAAAACGGGTCTTTCATCACGTAGTCAGAGAAGCACAAGTAAACCTGCTTGAAAAGCTCGTTGACCGCACTATACTGCTTATTGAGGTCCCCCCTGCCAAATGCTTTGGATTCTTGGACATTATGAACCACAGTGTTGGGCGATGTAATGAGAATAAATTTGTAGCCAGTCAAGGTTTGGAATAAATACAAGTTGAAAAGGTCGGACTCTATACTTTGCACTCCACTTCTGTTCGTGTTTGGATTCTGTGCTCTTTCGGTGCCAATTAATGTATTGTTAGAATTGTCAAAAGACTTGTTTTCTCTTGGTCCCATCATAGAATTGAGCTGTGAGCCTATGGCATGTACACCATGGAGAGTGCCCGCTAATACCAAGTAGTCGTTGGAAGTGAGCTTGTTGAGACCAGGATTTACATCCTGTTGGTAAATCAAACCGCCTGACTTATTCAAAATGTAAATCGAATACACCTTCATTTCTCACCACTTGTTCGATATGTGACTTGCTGGTTGGATAGATGATGCACTAAGGATGACGAGTGTGCTGATTCTTGATGCTGAGCTGTCGACCTTTAGATGAAAGATAAAAAACAAAAAATAAGCTTCCCCACCAGGAGTCGAACCTGGAATCTTCTGGTTCCAACCGGAAGTGGTTACGTAATCGTAGCCAGACGCCTTGACCATTGGGCCATGAGGAACGAAGCTTGGTAGGTTGACGAATAAGCGCACTATACTGGGACATATTCTCATCATTTAATCAAGAAGTTCTTATCATTACCTATTTACCATATTGTCACATTTTTCGTTTATATTTTCTATTTTTCATTTTATACAAACGAGTACTTCAACTTGGAGCCGTAGACTTCTCCTTTCCGCAAAACAACTTGCTTGGCCCATTCCGCATTGTTCACAGCATCGGTGAATCTTCCTGGCTCGATACAGAATCCACATCTTTTTTCGTAACCTTCAAGGCTCACTCCATCGCCGGTGTAAAACTGGAAAGCAGGATCTGTAGAATAGAACTTGATAGCAGCTTTGCTATTTTCGTGGCTGGCTTCAAAGATAGGACGTAATGGTTCGTTTCTCGTATCCAACTTCCAGTTTGATTGGTCTACCACCAAGCAATTGTCAAAGGAAGAAGACTCGCCAAGTTGCAAGCCAGTTATCAATTCCTTAGGGAACTCAGCTACTTTTCCTGTAGGAATATAGTACTTATCATCCACTTCCAAGTACTTGTTGGTGATGGCTTTGACGGTTGTTCCATTAATAGTTGGACCATTGGTCACATTGAAGTAGGAATGGTTGGTCAAGTGAACAGGGGTAGCATCAGCTTTCGAATCCTCTGCAATTGAAGCTTCAAACTCGACACTGACAGAATCTTTGTCAATGGTATATTTGACATAAGTCACCAAGTCTGCGGGAAACCCATCATTTCCATCTTTATCGACATAAACGAAGTCTAGGGTAGTTGCTGCTTGTCCATCTTTGCCTTTGACATTCTTCACAACAGGCCCTAAAAAGTAGTTTTTGTCGAAACCATTGTTACCTCCGTGCAAACAAGTAGCACCATTTTCGTTTTTCGTCAACGAATAAGACTTCCCGTCAATGGAAAAGCTAGCGTTGGATATTCTGTTGGCAACTCTGCCGACACTAGTGCCAAAAAATGGGTTATCCGGGTGTTTGTAGCCATCAAGCGAAGGGAAACCTTGGACAAAAGGCTGACCTTTTTTCTTGATATCTTGAATCAAGGCACCGTAATTCGCAATCGAGACTTCGAAGTCTGTCTCAGAAAATTTCACAGTATGCAAACGACTGAGGTACGAGGTGTCGTTCTTTGCCTGGAACAACGACCACTTGTAGGAGTCGTTCTGGAAACCAAAAGGGTTCTCTGTAGTCCAGCGCCACAAGTCTCGACAAGAGTCTTCGATAGATAATTCGGCTTTCCATTTAAGTTCAGTATTGGCCCTGGTTGGATTTGCAGTCAAATCCACAACGTCACCAGCTCTTCTTCCCACAACCTCGTAGGGCAATTGACGACCCACAGCCTTGCAAAAAGCATTGTAAACGTCAAAAACCGTAGAACCTTTACCGGTTCCCAAGTTCCATTCTCTATAAAGACCTTTTGATTCTTCGATTTGTTGCATGTAGTTCAACGCAGCAATGTGTCCCTTAGCCAAGTCAACCACATGAATGTAGTCTCTGATCGGCGTACCATCGTGGCTCTTGTAATCGTTTCCAAAAACAGAAAGCTTTTCTCTTCTGCCAATTGCAACCTGGGCCAAGTATGGCAAGAGATTATTTGGAATTCCCAATGGATCTTCACCAATAAGCCCTGAGGGATGAGCCCCAATTGGGTTAAAGTACCTCAAGATTGCAGTTCTCCAGCTACTATCGGCTGTTTGCATGTCCTTCAAGATATTTTCAATCATATATTTTGTCTTTCCATATGGGTTGGTTGGATCATTGGGACAATGTTCAGGAATAGGAATCATATTTTCAAACCTCGTAGCATCTCCGTAGACGGTGGCCGAGGAACTGAAAACAATTGTCTTGACTCCAACCTTCTTCATCACTTTAAGCAAGGACATTGTTCCTCCAACGTTATTTTCATAGTACTCCAAAGGTATTTGAGTCGACTCACCTACGGCTTTGAGAGCAGCAAAATGGATCACACCTTTGATGTTGTATGACTGGAACACCTTGAGAAGCTCGTCGTAGTTCTGGAGGTCAACATTGAAGAAAGGAATTGGTTGCTTGACGATATATTCAATTCTAGCCACAGCATCGTAACTGGAATTTACCAAGTTATCCACAATAATCACCTTGTATCCATGTTGAATGAGCTCAACCACAGTGTGAGACCCGATATAGCCAGCTCCACCAGTAACAACAATGTACTCAGACATTTTCAATGCAGAAAAGAGTGGTAATAGTGACGTTATATAGAGATTCAAAACGAGTGCAACGTTGCAACGTGGTTTATTTTTCGGAAACGGTGTTTTATCCTGTTTGAGAGACCTATCCCCACCGCACCACACGCGGCACTTTCTTTTGCTGACCGGAATAAACTCACAGCATGCAGATCCCCCGCCCCCCACTATTATGCACTTCGGTTCCCCGCGCTAAGCAGATGACATATTTTATCCGTTTTTATCCGTATTCTTCGCATGTATAGCCACGAAAAAAATATCGGTCTAAGCCCAGTACGTAAATCTCGGGTAATTGTTCTTTGAGTGACTGTTCCAATTTGCTTGGCTCTTTTCCAAAAATGCCGCATATTACCGACCAGCAACGCCACGGACTTGAGACGCACGTTGGTATTGCTCTGACGTTACGAGCACGGATAAATATGCATGCATGAGCTTGACGGCAAGAGATCGCTTGTGTACACCTGTAAAATCAGGACAGGACCGGAATGCAACGTTACATCGCGCGCCAAATTATTCGGATCCTATATAAATCCTCCACCATTCCAGCAAAACTACGGGAATTTAGACCATGCCCCTTGTTTCTACAGTGAAAGACTTTTCATTTTATTCTGACTCGGAGAAACAGAAGAAGAGATATGGCCTGGTTGTTGAGACTTTCACCAAAACTTTTCACCAGAAACCTGATTTCTTGGTGAGAGCTCCAGGTAGAGTGAATTTAATGGGAGACCATATCGACTACTGCCATTTTTCGGTATTGCCCATGGCTATAGAAGTGGATGTGATTACCGCAGTATCGAAATCAGACGACAATTCTGTGACAATAGCAAACACCGATGAAAAATTCACCACGCAAACGTTTGACCTTCCTTCTGACGGCTCGTTAGTCACCATTGACAAGAACCAGCATTCATGGGGAAACTACTTCAAGTGTGGATTGCTCGTGGCTCACAAGTACATAACTGAAACGTATCCCGAGAAAACAGGGTCTGGAAAAAAACCATTGAAAGGACTCCATGCTCTCTTTGATGGAACGGTGCCTACCGGCGGTGGGTTATCATCTTCCGCAGCATTCTGTATTGCTGCTACGTTGGCGGTGTTGAAGGCGAACGATATTAGCGACATTACAAAGGAAGATCTCACCAGAATCACCGTTGTATGTGAACATTATGTGGGGCTCAGTAACGGTGGAATGGACCAATGTGCATCCATTTACGGGGAACCCTCCAAGGTGCTCTTGATTCTGTTCAAGCCCAAGCTCGAGACCACTCCGTTCGAGTTGCCCAAGACAAAACCGGAAGCTGTGTTCTTGATTTCGAACTCTCTCGTCACCTCCAACAAAACCGAAACCGCACCCACCAACTACAATTTGAGAGTGGTGGAAGTTGCCGTCGCTGCGGACTTGTTGGCCCACAAGTTGGGCTTGAAGACGGACCAGGACTCCAACTTGAACACAGCGACTCTTCGTGGAGCCTTCGATGCTTATTTCACTCAAAAATTGGGAGAGCCTCACTGGGATGGAAAAGACATCAATATGGGAATTGAGAGGTTGACAAGAATTCTCGAGTACATTGAAACTGTGTTTAGCGATGAGGAAAAGAAGGGCTTTACTACCGAGGAAGCAGCAAAGGCCGCTGGAAAGTCTAAGGATGAATTTTCTTCCACATACTTGAGCGCCTTCCCAGTCCGCTACGACCTACTCAAGATATACCAAAGAACAAAACATGTCTTCTCCGACTCGTTGCGTGTTCTCCAGTGTATCAAGGTTGCACGCGACTTCAAAGGAGACTCCGAAGACTACCTCCAGCAATTTGGAAAGTTGATGAACGAATCGCAAGTTTCTTGCAATATTCTCAACAATGCTTCTCCTCCAAAATGTGAAGAGCTTTGCAGAATTGCCCGCGAGAACGGCGCCTACGGAAGCAGAATCACCGGTGCTGCCTTTGGTGGATCCATCGTACACTTGACCACCGTTGACCGGTTGCAAAAACTCATCGATGTGCTCACCACCGAGTACTACAAAAAGACATATCCTAACATTACAGAAACCGAACTTAACGAGGCGATTGTTGTTTCCAAGCCAGCGGAGGGCGCGTGTGTGGTGGACATATTGGATAAGATAGAATAGAGAAAGGTGTAAAATTAAGAAAAAAAGATTAGAACTTTTTTTGTGAGTAACTTTTGTTGAGTAGGAGATAAGGATCCGAAACCTGACCAAAAGTGTGGCACGAAACAATAAAATAGCAATAAACAAGCAAAACAAGCAAAACAAGCAATCTAGCGAGTAAGAAGAATCTTCAAATATTTTTTAAACTAGATTAACGAAAGAAATGTCTCACACTCGTACACCATAAAACTACAAACCTAAATTCATATCTACAATTGTCTGATTTCCTTGAATAACAACTCCTTCCGAGGCGTGTTGAATGACAAGCTCCAGACCTCGGAGTGCTTAACGCCACGCACTTGTATCGCCGAACTGACCATTGACCGATCAGGCGACTTCGGGCTTTGCCCACCGACATCGGCCGAGGACACCCATACACCCACACTGGGATACGGGACCGATACGGCTTGGCATCCGGACACCCGTGCTTTACGGCTGAGCTCCTCCGATTTCCGCCGATATCACGCAACCATAAAGGTTGTACGATGCTTTCAAAACATTTCATGTGTTTTTGCCATCAAATTTCAATATAACATGACGGCTGTGCTTCCGCTACTCAGTATAAGCAATAATAGCAACAACAAACAAATGTGTCCTTCGACACCTTACCAAGAACTCTTATCAGAATATGCCCTCGATGGGCTTTTTTTGTCACCCAGATTCCAGTTTACCACCAAGATTGGCGCTGGAACTTATGGTTTGATCTATGGCATCCGAGATGTAAACGCTGGAAAGCAATATGCTGTCAAGATGATCCTCAATAATCCTCCTATTCGCCAATGCTTAACCCGTGATGTTGCAGCCAATAAAATCTACATTATGAAAAGAATCCACCATTATTTCTCCATGTGCTATGATCAGGAACCACCAGCACAACTTGATCTCGAAACCATTCGTCAAAATGCCGTTCACTGTCCTTTTTTACGAGAAATAGCATTGCAGTTGGTGGTGCACGATCACCCCAATATCACCACTTTGCACCAGGTTTTGTCGCTCGGAGACGAGGCGGTAGCCATCGTCATGGACTACTATCCCCAGGGAGATCTTTTTGGAAACATCATCGAAAAGGGTCTATTTAGTAATCCTCCTCCTTACCAGAACAGACAAAGACTTATGGCCAATGTGATGCTTCAACTCGTGGATGCCATCAACTACTGCCACCAGCAAGGCATCTACCATTGTGATCTCAAGCCAGAAAACATCATGGTCCAGTATAATCGTGAATACCGTCGCAGCGAACAAGACTGTGGTCCCAACACCATTATCAATTACGACGAAATCAGAGTTCTGCTCATAGATTTTGGCCTAGCAATGAACTCGAATATCATCTGTTGCAACGCATGCCGAGGCTCGTCTTTTTACATGGCGCCCGAACGTATTACAAATTATAATACCAATAAATTGCTTGCAAAATTGGTAGATATGGACCAATTTTCCACTCCAGAACCAGAAAATGAAGACGAATCAAGTGCAAAGTACCTCCCTACCCTCGCAGGCGATATATGGTCATTGGGAGTTCTTTTCATCAACATAACATGCTCCCGAAACCCTTGGCCAATAGCTCTGTTTCTGCCGGAAAAATCCGCGAACGGAGAAAGCAAAGTTTTCGCAACCTACATGCTTCAAGACAAACTGGTACTTCAATCGATATTGCCAATAACCAAGGAATTCGATCGAATTCTTGAAACGATTTTTCGGCTAGACCCGAACAAACGGAGCGACCTCCCCACCTTGGAAAAAGAGATCTCCTCCTGCAACCATTTCGTCACCGATTGCCCCATTGGGGTATGCAGCGTTTATGCGAAGCAGCACCAGGATATGCATAAAATTTGTCCGATCAGAAACCCACAGCTTGCAACCCCGCCGGAAATATCTCAAGATTACGAGTGGCCCGACCACAAGGTGGGGAAACTCAACGGGGCTGAAGCACCCCCTACTACTCCCACGTCATTGAGTCCTAGTCCAGTACCGAGTATAATGTTAAAACAGTGCCCAGACAAGGTACGGCTCTTTGAATGTGAGGGTCATGCATTATGATGTAATCACGGAATAGTTTAGAGATTAATAGACCAGTCGACAGACAATACACGATTTACGAAACCGACTGGCCGAACGGCCCATTAGCAGGAGGGGATACATTGTGCATTCGCATTGTGTATCGGTAATGTGAATGGCAACTGCCGTTGGATGAAGGATCTGCAAATACCGATGCAACATTACATCTGTATGCAGCTCATGCGTCTAACCTCCGCACATATTGTAAGCCACGGAGCCGGGGAGCTGGGGGTGCGGGGAGTCACGGAAAATCGTTATTCCGATTTCCTGATTAGTAGAGGTGTGCGGTGCGGACACGACCAAATCCAGATTTTAAAGGTGAGGACGGCGTACGGTTTGACAATATCGCGTTTTTCTCCATTTTTTATGCATGACTCTATGCATAATATTTTTTTTTTCGGAAAATTGCCCCACATGAATGCAGCTGGCTGCCTGAATTCCCCAGTCAAAAATTTTTTCCTACTTCGGCTCCGGCCGTTCCTCTTACTATAAAATAGCTGGGTCCCTTGCTCTTTTTTTCTTCATTAAATTCCATGGGTTACGAAGACAAATTAGTGGCTCCGGCCTTGAAGTTTAGAAACTTCATCGACAGGACTCCAAACACATACAATGTTTATGTTATTGCATCCATCTCCTGTATTTCAGGTGCCATGTTTGGTTTCGATATTTCATCGATGTCGGTTTTTGTGGGTCAAACACCATACTTGAACTTCTTCCACAGCCCCAAGTCTGATTTACAGGGTTTCATTACTGCTGCTATGTCTTTGGGTTCATTTTTTGGTTCTCTTCTTTCGTCATTCGTTTCTGAACCTTTCGGAAGAAGAGCTTCTTTGCTCATTTGTGGTTTCCTCTGGTGTGTTGGTGCTGCTATCCAATGTTCATCTCAGAATGTTGCCCAATTGATCATTGGTCGTATCATTTCTGGTTTTGGTGTTGGTTTCGGATCTTCTGTTGCTCCAGTTTACGGATCTGAAATGGCTCCAAGAAAGATCAGAGGTACCATTGGAGGATTCTTCCAATTCTCCGTCACTCTTGGTATCTTCATCATGTTCCTCATTGGTTACGGATGCTCCAAAATCGATGCTGTGGGCTCATTTAGAATCCCCTGGGGTGTCCAGATTGTTCCTGGTCTTTTCTTGCTTTTGGGATGTTTCTTCATTCCTGAGTCTCCTAGATGGTTGGCTAAACAAGGATACTGGGAGGAAGCCGAAATCATCGTCGCCAACATCCAAGCCAAGGGAAACAGAGAAGACCCCGATGTGTTGATTGAAATCTCCGAAATCAAGGAACAATTGTTGCTCGATGAGCACGCCAAGGCTTTCACCTACGCCGACTTGTTTTCCAAGAAATACCTTCCAAGAACCATCACCGCCATCTCTGCTCAAATCTGGCAACAATTGACCGGTATGAACGTCATGATGTACTACATTGTCTACATTTTCCAAATGGCTGGTTACGAGGGAGACACCAACTTGATTCCTTCTCTTATCCAGTACATCATTAACACCGTTGTCACCATTCCATCTTTGTACTTGTTGGACAGAGTTGGTAGAAGAAAGATGTTGTTATTTGGTGCCGCTGCTATGATGGCTTGGCAATTTGGTGTGGCTGGTATTTTGGCTACTTACTCTGAGCCTTACGACCTCAATGACACTGTCAAAATTACCATTCCTGACAAGCACAAATCTGCTGCTAAAGGTGTGATTGCATGTTGTTATCTTTTCGTTGCTTCGTTCGCTTCCACCTGGGGTGTTGGTATCTGGGTTTACTGTTCTGAAGTTTGGGGAGACTCTCAATCGAGACAAAGAGGAGCTGCTGTTGCTACCGCTGCCAACTGGATTTTCAACTTTGCCATTGGTATGTTCACTCCATCTTCTTTCAAGAACATCACCTGGAAGACATACTGTATCTATGCCACTTTCTGTGGATGTATGTTCATCCATGTGTTCTTCTTCTTCCCAGAAACCAAGGGTAAGCGTTTGGAAGAAATTGCTCAAATTTGGGAAGAAAAGGTCCCAGCTTGGAAGACTTCCAAGTGGCAACCACACGTTCCTTTGTTGTCGGACCACGAGCTTGCCGAGAAGATGAGCACCAAGCACGACGAAAACATGCTTCAATCGCAATCATCGGAGGAAAAGCCAACTGTCTAATTTTAATTCTTGTAATACTTTATGCCTGCGTGATACAAATACACTTTATTTTATGTAGAAAAGCTTGACGAATGAAAACTTCAAATTTGAACGATTGTGAATTTTGAAAGAATTTCGCAGCCATTGTCAAATGCAGCAGGCGCACATAATATGATAAAAATGTAGTACTCAAATTTGAGAGTTTGACATTTCATCTAATTTGGTTCCTCTTCAACCAATACAGGGCCTATTCAAGAGCTTTCACTACAATCAAAGCGAAATGCATTTATGCTCAATTTCCTATATGCGACTCTTATCTCCTTATTGCAATCACTGTGACAAATTCACTAGAATACCACATATAAAATTCAATTTAGGACATTATTGGTAGCAGATCTTCAATTTATAGTTTTTCTACAAAGTATTTCCGTGAATTATACTACCAGCAAATATTTCAATCTAATTTTACGTTTTCGCAGCCAAATGAAAAGCATAGCAAAGGTGACCGTTTCAAGCCAATTTTCAATTTTGTGATATATGTGAAACAATGCCGACACTACAGTCCGGTCTATCAGCCTCGACCAAGATAAGGCCACCTTTCTAACTTTACAACTTCCGGGAACAATTCCTCATTCGGAACAATAGACCCGAAATGAAAGTCGAGGACCCCTTAACCCCACTATGCAATGCGGTGCCTGTTAAACACGGCAGAGGAACCTAACGCGGAAACTCTCATATTAAGGCTGAGGATGATTTCCTGCCATTTTTAAGCAAGTAAATCCGCAATAAATAATCGTGAATTGAATCAATCTCGACTCCGAATTGCGGGTCCGAAATGCGGTTCAAATTCCGGTGGTTCGAATAGAACGATGTAACCCCACACTTGTGACAAGGGTTGCAGTATGCCCCACAGCGCAACTGGGGTCTGGGGTAAAGCTGCACGTCACCCCGGATAAATCCCCGGAAATAAAACCGGAAAGTGGGGGAGGGGAATTCTTTTTTTCTACGATTGCCCAATCGGGAGATCTTACCGGTGTTGCTTTGCTAATTCTCTCGGATATACTGCCGTTTGGGTTTGAAGGTGTTGCAACTTGCATTATGATCGGAGATCTTTTACATTTCGCCGCACACATTGCTTGGTTTTTTTTTATTCGTACGTGGTCAAAGGAGGCCGGAATTGATGCCATGATTATAAATTGCAATCAATTCCCTATAACTATGCATTCCATTTCACAAGTTTAACTTATTTTTCTTTTTTTTGCTATGGCTTACGAGGACAAACTAGTGGCTCCGGCCTTGAAGTTTAGAAGCTTTCTTGACAAAACTCCCAATATCTACAATCCATATATCATTTCTATAATCTCGTGCATTGCGGGTATGATGTTCGGCTTTGATATTTCTTCAATGTCAGCATTTGTCAGTTTACCAGCATACGTGAATTATTTCGATACACCTTCAGCAGTGATTCAAGGATTTATCACATCTGCCATGGCTTTGGGTTCATTTTTCGGGTCAATTGCTTCTGCGTTTGTGTCTGAGCCATTTGGAAGACGAGCTTCCTTACTAACTTGTTCGTGGTTTTGGATGATAGGAGCAGCCATCCAAGCGTCTTCGCAGAACCGAGCTCAATTGATTATTGGTCGGATTATATCTGGATTTGGGGTTGGTTTCGGGTCGTCTGTGGCTCCCGTATATGGCTCCGAGATGGCACCTAGAAAAATTAGAGGAAGAATTGGTGGAATTTTTCAATTATCTGTCACCCTCGGTATCATGATTATGTTCTTCATAAGTTACGGAACTTCTCATATTAAGACTGCGGCAGCTTTCAGGTTAGCCTGGGCACTCCAGATCATTCCTGGACTCCTCATGTGTATTGGTGTCTTCTTTATTCCAGAATCTCCTAGATGGTTGGCCAAACAAGGTCACTGGGACGAAGCCGAAATCATCGTAGCCAAAATTCAGGCGAAGGGAGATCGAGAAAATCCCGATGTTTTGATTGAAATTTCGGAAATAAAAGACCAATTGATGGTTGACGAGAATGCCAAAGCCTTTACCTATGCTGACTTGTTTTCGAAAAAATATCTTCCCAGAACCATCACAGCCATGTTCGCTCAAATCTGGCAACAATTGACCGGAATGAATGTCATGATGTACTATATCGTTTACATTTTCGAAATGGCTGGCTACGGTGGAAATGGAGTGTTGGTATCATCGACAATTCAGTACGTTATCTTTGTCGTTGTTACATTTGTCTCATTATTCTTTTTGGACAAATTTGGAAGAAGAAAAATTTTACTTGTCGGAGCAGCTTCCATGATGACCTGGCAGTTTGCAGTGGCAGGGATCTTGGCCAGGTACTCTGTCCCGTACGATCTCAGTGATACTGTCAAAATTAAAATTCCTGACAATCACAAATCGGCTGCAAAAGGTGTCATTGCATGCTGCTACCTTTTCGTAGCATCGTTCGGATTTTCCTGGGGAGTTGGTATCTGGTTATACTGCTCTGAAGTCTGGGGAGACTCACAATCGAGACAGAGAGGAGCCGCTGTGTCAACTGCTTCAAATTGGATTTTCAATTTTGCGCTCGCCATGTTCACACCATCTTCGTTTAAAAATATCACCTGGAAGACATACTGTATTTATGCCACTTTCTGCGCATGTATGTTCATCCATGTGTTCTTCTTCTTCCCAGAAACCAAGGGGAAGCGCTTGGAAGAAATTGCTCAAATTTGGGAAGAAAAAATTCCAGCTTGGAAAACCACCAACTGGCAACCTCATGTTCCTTTGTTGTCGGACCACGAACTTGCGGAAAAGATCAATGCCGAACATGTGGAGAACGTGAATTCTAGGGAACAATCGGATGACGAGAAGTCGCAGGTATAAAAAATAGAAAGAAGTCTATGAGAAAATCCAATGTGGCCAGAGGACGAAGTGAAAAATGACAAAATGAAAAAATGAAAAAGTAAAAAATGACAGTGGAAAGTGTAAAGGAGCCAAAAGTAGCCTGATCAAAACAGCTCATGGCTGGTCGTTATGCCTTATGAATAGTGAAATTAGAAAATGAAGATTACTGAAAGTTGATTTCTTATGCTTGTGATTTTGCAATCGAAGTAATTGTATAAAATAATAGGTTTAAAGAAAGCTCTGGTATCTTCAATTACCATGGATTGTTATCGCTTTACCATTGACCTTTTATGAAGAAGAGTATCATTTGTTCCTTTTTTTTTATTCAAGTCCCAAATTGGACGTTAGCCTCACCATATTCCTTTTAGGCTTCCAATATTATTTACATTTTTATCTCTAGAAAATAAGACGGAATGTTGAATATCCTAGATTGAGCACTACTACAGTCCCTCATTCAATTTCAATCCATCGAAATAAAATTTCAGTTCATTTTTTTAAGTTGCAAATTTTGCTCATGTACCTTGGTAGTAGTATGATAACTTAATTTTCAGTAAAAATCTTCAAAGGCCTATGTCAGACAAAAACGATGACATTGAAGCCGTATTGACTTCCCCCAGTGCAGACTATGGATCCACCACAGATGAACCCAGTTCCTTCAAGCCTAGTAAATGGGACAAATTATTCAATTTCGATTCCAGCAATAAGCACGATAAGATACTAGCCTTGAAAATTGACTTCTTCATACTAACCTATATTTGTGTTAGTTATTTCATCAAGAATCTAAGCCAAATGAATATCAGAAATGCCTATGTTAGTGGTCTAAAAGAGGACCTCAATTTTCAGGGTAACCAGTATAACTACTTACAAACTTGGTGGCTTGTAGGATACATTCTAGGAGTTATTCCGGCTCAAGTTGCACTATGTAAGGTCAGAGCTTCAATTCTCTTGCCTCTGCTAGAAATAGCTTGGTCTGTTGTCACCATTGGTATATGTAAAGTTGAGTCAGTTCACACATTATATGGACTTCGATTTTAAGTGGGTTTTTTCGAAGCGGCAGCTTATCCAGCATTTATAACTTTACTAGGAAACTGGTATACCACCTCTCTTGGTTTCAAAGTCACATTGATTCAAATTTCTTCCTCCGGTGCCCAAATGTTCCTGGGGTATTTGCAAGCAGCATTATTTGCAAACATGAACCATAAAGCAGGACTAGCAGCGTGGAGATGGTTATTTGTCTTTGACGGAATTATTGGAATTCCTGTAGCAATTTACGGATTTCTTGCTGTACCAGATACACCAGACGATAGCAGGGCATTCTGGTTAAATCCACAGGAAAAAGCTAAATGTGTCGAAAGAATGAAAAGTGTGAAAAGAGCCTCCTACAAAAATCTCAATCTTGAAACAATAAAGAACATTGTATCTCTGTGGCCCTTGTACCTTTTCACTGCTGTTGTTGTATTTCATGAAATTTCGATCAACTTGTCCACATTTTTGAATTTGTGGCTCAAGTCAATCTCAAGATATTCTCATAATGTTCGGTTATTGAATATCATTCCTACTGCTTCTTACGCACTTCAGATAGTGGTTATGATAATTTTTTCTATTTCCTCAGATCTAACGGGAAAAAGATTACCATTCACACTAGGATATGCTTTCTTTGGATTTCTAGGATCTTTGATCCTACTAATATGTGAAAAACTGACAGTGAAAAATACCAAAGCTGAATTCGCAGGATGGTTCATTCTTTCCGCCGAAATGGGTTTTGTAACTTTGGTTCTAACTTGGCTCAACGAAGTGATTAGCGAATCAGCCGAGCAGAGAACTATCGTAATTGGTGTTACCCAAGCAGTTGGGTTTGCTTTTCAAGCCTGGGTCGCATTATTGATCTATCCAGCTAGCGAGGCACCTCATTATAAAAACGGGTACCAGTGTGCCATGGCATTTTTTGCCGTGGAGGCTTTTTTGTGTGTTTGTATCTGGTACGTGCTTAAATTGGATAAGAAAGGGAAACTCAAACATTTACAAATCAAAACTCAGTGTGACAATTAGTGGAATTTGCAGCCAATAATTGTCTTCCACATTATGACCAGATTATGACAAAATTAACTATGAAACTATAAATACTATAAAATTGATAGAGGAGAAGACGGAAATTAAAATAGACTTCTTTCCTGTTTCTATTAATATACATATGAATACTTAACATAATCGGTATACTTTGATAGTATGCAGGCCGCTGGACTTTATCGAAATTCGCAGCCATTTCGAGATTTCAATACAGACCTTCGAAATATAGGAATAGTCAAGTTATTTTCAGCTTATGCTAAGCATTTCAAAGTGGAATACCGCGAGTCCCCTAAGTTTGAATTTAGGTAGCAAGCCAGATTTGTCCCTGAAAATTTATGTTTCCGTATTCCACTAATAGCTCCAGAGCTTTGTAGTTCTACTGCTAAAAGTGTCAAGAAAGTCCACCAAACTAAAGCTATACATTCATTTTTTCAAGGAATAGTAGGATACGAAGCTGGTCAACACAACCAACCTTTATGACTATTAAAGGTTTCCAGTTTCAAGCCTTAAGTTCCAAGCCTTAAGTTTCGAGCCTTAAGTTTCAAGCCTAGTTTATCAGGCTTACAAATTTATTCAGACTAGCCTAGCTAAATGAGCTCTCCAATCTGAAGTTCGGTTTGCTTCTACACAAACCTGCTTGTCTACAACGACAACTGCGCAAGCTTGAGCACACCCTCATAAGTATTGGCTCCGCCAATAAAGCCAGCAGCATGAACAAAAATACAACCAGGAACACCAGCCTTTTCGCTCAATTCCTCGTCTCGAAGGCCTCTCCATGGTTCAAGCAATCCTTTTCTGAACTCAAAAGATGTGGATGTCACCGATACAGTAGAAACCCTCCATTTGGACGACGAGTCCTGGAAGAGAACAAACTCAATTTGTCCCTGGGCCGACTTTTCCTTTTCTATGGCGTACAAATGTTCTTTCCATGGGCAGAACTGCTCGAGTTTGAGGATTTTCCCAGACTTATCAACGTCGAATCTTGAGTCAAAACCAGACTCCACTATGGTGCGAGCGGGAAGCCACGAGTTTCCATAGCCCTTGAGCAAGTTGACGAAAACCTCGCCCATGAGAGCACTGCTTCTTTGGAATGCTGCGTCAAAATCAGCATCGGTTGGGTTTTCGTTCCACGAAGGATTGAGTTTCAGAACTATAGCTGGAAGGGTAATATTTCTGTCGTTGAAATTTTTTTCTGCTTCGGCTTCCTTTGAGTAGTTGTTGATTCCGTTGTCGTTGGCGTCCAATGCCTCGATAAACTCCTTGTACACTTTCTCGTACAACAATTCGGTGTTCTCCTTGGTGCTTTGACAAACTTCCTCGATGATCTGTTTTCCAAAATGCTTATAAATGAGCCCAGCAGAAGATAATTTTGTCTTGTAATTGGCAGAGAAAGTCTCGGAAAACTCACGCTGGTGATGATCAAAGTATTTGGTTCCATCGTACTTTCCTCCCACATCTATAACCAAATCGCTCGCTTCCCAGTCCTCTGGGTTTCTCAGTCTAACCAACTTGCAGTCTTTATAGGCAGGTAAAAGTTTCACCATATAAACAGCCAACGACTCGTCGGCGTGGAAACTGCCAGAATGGGTACAGATTTGCATTATCGACAGGTCTAATTTTATTTTTTTGTCGGTCAGCATCAAATTGTAGCGATGAGATTGGGTGAAAAATGTGCGGGGTGCGATGACATGAAACAAAGACCTAGGTGAGGGCATTGAAGTCTCAAAATTTTTTGTTATAGCTTTCAAATCTCTTTGTTAACCTGTTCTATATAAATCACCAATTCTGTTGCATACAAAAATAAAATCTAGCCATATCGCGTAGCCGAGCTACTCATTATAAATTTATGACAAACTAACGTAGACACCATCTTGGTGACACATGGTCAAATGGACCGACTTAGCCGGTGGGTAAGGTCTGTCGTCATGGAGCTCCAACTTGTCAAACATCTGCAACAATCTAGTTACAATGTAGGAAGCTTCAGTCAAGGCAAACTGCTGACCCAAACAGATTCTTGGACCACCGTTAAAAGGAACGTAAGCCCATCCCAATTTACGAGATTCGGCCCATCTTTCTGGTTTAAACTCATCAGCATCCTTACCGTAGTACTCTTCCATTCTGTGAGTGGAGTACACCGAGTAGGCCACTGTGGTTCCTTTACCAACGTAGATAGGAGAATTACCGTCTGGTCCACCTCCACGAGGCAACGTTGTCCTCTTGGTAGCAACTCTAAAGTTGACGGGCACAGATGGGTACAATCTCAACATTTCGTTCATGACCCATTTCAAGTACTCACACTTTTTCAAGGACTCAAATGTGATTTCTGAAACCCGAGCATCATCTCCCTTTCCAAATGCTTCGTAGATCTCCTCCTTCAACTTGTTGAACACCCTAGGGTGTCTGGCCAACTCGAAGAAGGTGAATGACAACAAGCCAGCAGTGGTATCTCTACCAGCTAACAAAATGTTCAACAATTGATCTTGCAAAACCTTTGGGTCCCTAGTTTGTTTGACCAATTCGTAAAGGAAGACATAGCCATTCTCACTCTTCTTTTCAAGTTCTTCTGGAGTCATGTCCAAGCCCTTTTGGACGTAGAATCTAGTGAAATCGTGCACTTGGTTGCAACACTTTCGGAAGTCAGAGTTGTTGACAATAAAGTAGAACATTTGCAAGTAAGCACGGGTACCCAAATAAGTCTGGGCGGTGTTGAACGAGTTAGCAAAGCTGCTTCTACCATCAAAGTCCTCAGTGGGAGGGTCGTTGATAGCAGCATCCTTTAAGCTGTACACGGATTGTCCAAACAAAAACTCGGTGGCAGTGTCGACAGTCAACTTGAAGAACAAGTCTTGAATGTTGATGGTTTCCCCGTCAGCGAGTCTGATGTGCTTCGCCAATCTCTGCAAGTGTGGCTCCAAAGCCTGGACATGGGCAACTTGTTCTCTGGAGAATTGAGGTCTCAACATTGATCTTGATTGTTTCCATCCATTACCATCAAGAGTGAAGATACCATCTCCCAACAAAGGCTTAAAGTGAGCGTGTCTGGTTCCCAAGGCAAAATCATTAAATTGGGTAGCTAAAACGGCTTTCATATTTTCAGGGTCTCTGGTGATAATTACGGGAACACCAACAATTTTGATGACAAAGGTCAATGCCTTTACATCGTCATAAATTTTCTGGGCAAAGTCCAAAAGGCGTCCCTCTCTTTTGACCTGAATAAGACGATAAAGAAGAGGAAGCGAGAACCAGTTTACTTTGTAGTATTCAGGCGAAGCAGCACAATTGTGGGTGGCCTTAAATCTGGCGACGGAAATCTTGTGGGCAATAAAGAACGACACCAAAAGAGCCGAGATCACCACGTACCATTTGGTCAAATAAGGTTGAATGGAATCCAAAAGTTCTGACATGACAAAAGTGTTGTATCAAAACCTACCTTGACGCAATCCTATCTTTATAGGTGAGGACTCCGGTGCTGCCCACTTCCCCTCCACATGTGAAAATGGCCAGATGACATAATAGGGCATCCGGAGGGGGCAGCCGCAAATCCGGCACACAAGCACATATTACTGCACGGCGTCCCCACTCCGGGGTCAGCGTCCTGCAGATGGTATTGCTTGTGCCCTCATTGGGCAGGCGATCCACCATCACATGCTACTGGCCGCACATGATCCATGGGCCTAAATTTGGGGCATGTGTGTCAATTCGGAACGGGTGTTGCTTGAGTTCCGGAGTGCCACATTCGCTTAGCGATGTAAACAGTAACATGTAAGAGATACCAAGATACCAAAGATACCAAAAATATACCAAAGAAATCCGTGTAAAGACATGCAAAATACATGTAAAATACACGTATAATCCTCTAGCCACATGTGTGGACCGTCCTTTTAATTCTGTCTCGAGAAGTTTTTATGAATTTCACCTTTTGATTCGGTTGCAAATCACAATCCATCGTGGCAATTGTTTTGTTTAACGTGACCTGCTTAATATCCGTTCAGGTATCCTTTCCAATGCATGCTGTCCAATCCAATACAATCCAATACGTGACTCTAGCATGTGATCTAAATTTGTGATAGCCCAACATCACTTCCACATTTCCGTGTGTCGCTCCGCCGTTGCGCCATTGTTCACTTATCGTTCAAATCGGCACCAGGGCGTATTTCCCGCTGTTACGCGACGTGCATCTAGAATGAAATCGGAGCTTGGGTTCCGCTACAGGATGCGCTTGTGAAAGAAACGGCTTTTCCGTGGGTATTCATTTGTGGGGAACGGTGTATGGGTGCGATCGATACTGCGCAACTATTGCGCAATCAAGGTTGGCCTGTGATAGCTTGTGATGTGGTCTGAAAGTGACAAACTAGCAGATGAAACAAATATAACGCTCAAAAGTCATTTACTGATATTCAGAAAAAGTCAGTTCCACATATAAACTGGTGAAAGGTTGCAATTATTATCTCGAAACAATGCTGAACTGGGATCACTCAAGGGACATAATCATACACAGAAATTCTATGCAAGCGCCGTAAAAATTGCCCAGTGAATTCAGCGGAGCATGGATATTAAGACGAGTTTGAGTAATTCGAGCAATGTGTTATATGGCAAGAATTCGATGATCGGTGAATGTTGCATATTTTTACGATCTGAGGTTGGCTGCGAAAAGCTTAATCTGCGCATTTGTCAAGCGAAATCTTAATAGGTGTGAATCGATTCACAACCAGCCAAAAATGAACTTGTGCGAAGAGGCATAATATTCCGTGCAAATCGAGATAAGAAATACTCTCTCCGAAGTGTTATTCTGACTCTCAGTCAAAGAGTCTTTTTGGCGGAATAGTCGTCGATCAAAGATCATTGATAACACTAGAATGATCGTCAACTACTCACTTTCGAATATTGATACTCAAGATGTATACACTGTATGGATCTATTCATGGGTCAATTGCCTTGACAGTGGTGGCTACCCTCTAAGCTCCCGCAACCAGCATCGTAACATCTCAGTATGTTATATTGCAGGCAGCCCCCAGCACATACAGATATGGGGCTTATTTTGAGATGTCCGGTCCAAGTGCCGCCATGGCGCATAGTAATACAGTAAGTGTTGCACAACCATTTACCACTTTCATTCTTGAAGACAGCATCAATTGCGCTGGCTATAGTCTTAACCTGCGCTGTCGTATCACAATCGCCGCCAGCATTCCAGTACTTGTAATGAACTGACCCGATTTGTCCACAGTGCAGGTTGCAATCGTTCCAGCCTGCGCGTCGCTTCATACAAGCTGCTATCTCCCAGATATCGGTAAAAAATCCATTATTCATTTCAAGACATTGACTGAATCCAGTTACCCACGCCACACAAGCATGAATATCAACCCTTTTCTCAAGTTGTTATTCACCACTGATCCATTGTAAGTCGAAATCGAATACCAGGAAGAATCTTCGCGTTTTGTTGTTGATCCTTCGAGTTACGACTCGAATAAATCCAAGTTGATTCCAATTACAGCATCAGTTATAACATTACCCACACTGTCCACTAGGGTTTCGTTCAAAAGAGCTTGTACCCGAGTTAGTAGAAGCAGGAAATGTAGAACAAGAAATACTGCACTGGTGATTTGAATCTTAAATTCTTCTTTTCAAAACAAGCCAGCAATCGAATTCTTTAGAAAAATAAAAATCGGTACTTCCTTAGTCTTCAGTTGTCGCCTTTTATAGTCGCTCAGAGACCAGTGCCGTTCTCTATGCATGTTGGTAATTAATCAAAAAGTAAACCTGGCATATACATGCATGGCAGAATTAATAAGTCCGTTAAGTCACCTTGTAGCTCTCCTCCTGTAATGCTCGAAATATGTGTTCAAGGGCGCAGGTAGCTTTTGTCGCCAGTTACCCACATCGTCAATGAGAGAGTACAAGTATACGTTTAGTAGAGGGTTATTCGCACCTTGCAACAGACTAGTTGCCGGTTTCGCACTTCGGGTAAAGTTACCACGAGTGACATACGAAATATTATCGGGGGAGATGCCGAGCTGTCGCGTGCAATAAAAAAAAAACCAAATGCACAGTGCATCCTCAATATTTCTGTCAAATCTAACAGGCATTGTGGAACGGAAACTACGTGATTGAATATCTCTTTACTTTCCTGGAAGCTCGTACCTTCCTAACCAATGATATGTGGTGACTTGAACACCGTAAAGTAATGCAACTTGTGCATCAACTAAATAGTCGGTATCTCACCCCTATCAATAAATATGCATGCTTACTGCATTGATAATATGCCTCGGACGCATGAATACGCCAACCTCGACTATTCTTGCCTTATTGAATGTGGGTTAAATACGAATACAATTTTTATTGGACTTTGCATTCATTAATACTCAACGAGGATACCATACCTTAACTTATCCAAGCAGATGCAGAAGATTTCTTGGAAAATAAAAAGTCCCATTGCCATTCCAAATTGCTAGAATCCGTATCTATTCGGAGTTATTAATGGTGCGGCACTATATGCGGTTGAAAATTGAGGTGCGGGCTTACGTCGGTATCTGACCATCTATAATTTGGGTCAAATACCGCGAGATCATTTAAATGATCTCAGAAGCATTATTTTTGATAGCAATTGTCTGGTTACAAAGACGCTTGGGAGCTTTCCTCAAGAACCGAACGACCAATTATTATGCTCAGAAAAGTATTTCATTGATTGTCTTAGGTTTGAATTGTTTCGTTATTTTCAGCTTTGCTTGGTTTTATGGTACTAAACGTGAAAGATTTCAGATTTCAAACCCTCAGGGAGAGTTTCAAACTTTATCAGAATTCAAAATGAATATGGTGCATCTGATGAAAGAACTGAGTGCTCGCATGCAGCAATACCTCGGGTTGAATGGCCACGACCAATGTGGCAGTATTGGGGCAGTTCATTACAAGTTCTGGGATGCCAGAATAGACAGTGATCATCACGAGAGATCGGAGACCATCATAAGTGCAATTGATAAAGTGTTGAAGCTTGAGGATGGCCAATGGTTAAGAGAAACTTTTTGTGTTCAATTGAATAAAGACGGAAAGTATGATGGTCACCTCAGAATCAGTTCCCACTCGATTTGTTATGGTACTTGTTTGCCCAGTGACATGCAAGTAGTTTACGATGTGGATAGCGGTGCTCTTCAAGCGAATTAGTGTAAGACTTAGAGTTCATATTAATGCATTGATACGAAAAGTGTATTTTATCGAATCATTTGCTTATTAAAATTTGTCTTGGCGATGATATGTAGCGTGTTACTGAAGGAAACTTATTATTTTGCTTTTACACTCAATGCACATCGATGCAATTTGCAATGGTTATTTAGTGCATCGAAATGCATATTGACACAAATATACGAGATCCAGAATGCATACAAGCATCAATACCTCGTACTTCGGTCTATTGATTCCATAAATTACTTTCGAAAAGTTTATTGTAGCGTAAAGATAATATTGTCTTGGAACGACGCTGGAATGAATTCAAGTTGAAAAGCTCTTTAATTATAATGAGACTGCAATTTGCGGTTTGCTGCAAAAGTTTACTACAGGTACGAATTGCAAATGCGACTGATACGCTATATCAATCGAGATTCCTTGCAAGGACCTGATTCGAGTTGTGAAAGGTATCTCCTAAGACTAAGTCAAAATAGCCTCAATATATGGCTAGTCAATTTTCAATTTTGTAAAATTAAACTCAACGATGCAAACTGATTACAGCTTTCAACGGATTTAACAATGAGCAGAAGCGACATCAGCACGTTTGGCGTACGAAATCGAATAGCAGAAAATTTTGGCGAGATTGATATGAAAAAAATTGTACACAGTGTGCCATGATTTGCTTAGCCGCATAGTCAGAATTCTAGCACCCGTGTTACTGGAAGTCAAATAGAACCATGTGAACAAATCTGTAAGAACATCAGCAATCAAGATACTCATCTATCTTCTTTCCTTGTATGTCTTATCCAAAATTTAGTTTGAAAAGGGAAGTTTCTCGCGGTTGCAAAATAAACTTGATTATAATAAACTCATTGACATGTTCCAGTATTTGTCCAGTAATTGTTCCAGGATTTGTTCCAGTATTTGTTCCAGCATTGGTTTCGCCCAACATTGGTTTCGCCCAACATTAGTTTCCAATCTGTTTTGCCATTCTCCGCCGGATTCATTGTTAGCTTATCTAACCGTTATTCGCAGCGCCTATTCGCAGCATTAGCCGCGCGCACAATCTTACTCGATCTCTATCGATGAATCAGAGCTGTAATCCGCTACCGGCTGAGCAGACTGGGCAGACTGGGCAGGCTGTGAACGCTTTTTGGGCTCTCGTCGAAGCAGCCGAGTCTTGATCTGCGACGTTATGGCATGAAGCAGCTGTTGCACGTGCTTACCCTGCTGAGCCGATTTTCGTGGCACAGGATCATAGCCTATATTCTTCAATGCTGCGCTTGTGAAAGGTTGCACGGCTTTTCCGTGGGTATTCACCAGCCGCAGACTCCCTCTTTTGGCGAGTGCTGCTACGCGCGCTGCCTTGTTGCGGCGACTCAATTCCTGGGGATCGGTGTACTGGGTGCGATCGATACCAGGCGCTGCCGCAAACGTTGTGGTGCGTTCGTTAGCCTGTGAATATGGGACAAAAGTTTGTGGCTTGCGGTCCAGCGGACGGTCCAGTGGACGACGAGACAGGACGCTCCCGTTGAGTTCCATGCGTTTGGAAGCGTATTTGCGGAAATGGATGTCTTGGTGGTATCCACATAGTGTTCCTTGGGCGGTATCGATCATGGTGTTGCAGCCATTTTCAAACGAACATTTTCCAAAATCTCGGCACAGTCCAATCTCGAGAATGGAATCTACTGCTGTGTTGAGTGCGAGATTGAACCCGGTTTTCGATTTGTGCAGCCATCGATTAACATTGGGGTTAAGTATGCACACAATATCTCCTACTCGGAGTTTCCACCACCGGTCAAGCGCAGCTCCAAATAACATCACCCGTACAGAATGGGCAAAATTACCAACGGAGATTTTTATGTATTTTCCACTGCCTTTCTTTGGGGCGCTTGCAGTATTTCCGCTTGCAATAGGCTCCAGCTTTTCTAGTATCAACCCCACTAGACACCAATTAGCGTACGCTGGCTCATAAAAGGACGGAGGACACACTTTTGCTAGTAACTTTTCGATCCGTAGCACCTTCGTGTCTGCCAATAACGTCTGTAATGCGTCTGGACTTATATACCGCTTGCGAAGTCGAAATCCAGAAACTTCATCTCGATCATTTTCACCCACATCAATATCTAGTGGCGGTGGAATGTTCAAAAATTCAAACTTTCGTGTGGCTAACTCGGGTCCTTGGTCACCTCCACCTCCAGCACGTTCAAGTCCAGCCGCAAAGCTTCCGGTTGAAACCGGTTTATTCTCTTTTGCAACCATTCGAGCGATACTTTTGTTTTGAATTTCGTTTTTTTTTGTGGGAATTGTCTCCAGATTGCTCAATTGGTTTGTCAGATGACCACCAGGGCCGGACATGTACCCATTGGGACTTTGGGTTAGTCCATTTTTTGCCGTTTTTCGTCGCCTTTCCTCGTCGATTTTGGCCTGTTTCGCCTTTTCTTTCTTCAGTTCAAGAAGCTTTTGCCGCTTCACCGCATACTCCTTTTCAAGGTCCGCTAGCTCGTCGTCGGAACTGTCGGTCAAAATCACCTCGTTTTCGTTTTTGGGCTCATCGCGTGGATCGTCCATAAATAGGCTGGAGAATTATTCAGTATACGCGTGTGGTGCACGGGTGCAAACAGGAAAAGCATTAAATAAAAAAGGACTACTCCGCTAAATAAACAGACTCCTAAAAAACCAATTAAGCATTGAAAACATATTGAACTATTTGAACCAATATATCTATTTCCTGTAATATAGCCTGAGTCACCATACAAGTGACTTCCTGCATACCTGCATAAACCACCAAAATACAGGAATCTTCAACACACCACCGAGCACTCCACATGGGACGAGACCGAAGTAAGTCGCTTGTCAAGCGTATAGCCTCGGATATACCGTCCTTCAATGATGGAAAACTTGATTTGGGACTGATCTCTCTGTTGGCTCCACCGCTGGTGAGCTCTAGTCGTCCACGGTCAAAATCGGTCGACGATGTGAAATTGAAAAACAACCAAAATAATGAAAAAAACAAGATCGGAACAGCTGAAAGACGCGATCATGTGCTCTACCCGTTCAGCAGTGCCGAATACAACCAATTGTGGTCGGGTTACATCGATACTTATACATATAACTCGATCTTGACAAATGAGGATATCGAAAATATCGGCCAGTTGCCGATCGATCTGGCTCTAAACTTCCAGCATAACTGCCAGCTCAACAGTGAGGCCATTGAGGACTTGATCCGCGACACAGACGCGATTTTGGCTGTTCTTGATCGACTTGTAGACCAGTACAATAAGGTGGACCGAGACACCAGTGATTTTGCAAAGCAGTCCCAGCGTCTCTTGGAAGAGCAAAAAAGAGCCGAGGAGACCTCCAGCGAAATTTCAGAAGCACTTCTGGTTTTCGAGGCTTCTGAGTGGATAACAAAGGTGCTCAGTAGTCCTGGGATCAATTTGGTGAAGAAAAGACTGTTCAAAGAAGCTATGGCAAAGTTGGATTCTTGTATCGAGTTTGTGGACACGCACCCAAACTACAAGGATATAGACACATATCGAGCCAGATTCAGACAGTGTATGACTAGGGCTCTCACGTTGATTCGCAACTACTTGATTGAAGATATAAAGTCCACGGCTGCTTTATCTGAGTCGACAAAGACTGAAACTTCGCTGATGGAAGTAACGGTCTACAGCGACTTCAAGAACCATGCCAACCGTCACAATGGAGAATTTTATTCGTTCCACAACTTGATTGTGGAAATTGAAAAGAGATACAAAACGCATCCAGAATACGAAGGTCTTTTGTCCGACGTTCTGTCCCAATATTTCAGAGTGAGGTCCAATCTCGTTGCTTCCTACATCAACCAGAATGTCGAAACATTATCAAAAAAGTACACGGGAGAAAAAGATTTGGTGCAATTATGCCAGAACAATATATCTTTCTTCAAGCGGGTCATCGAGAGAGAACATGGACTTTTCTGTCAATACTTTTCTGGAAGTGCTTCCCTGCCTGTGGCACATCACTATGAGGGCCAGCTCTATGAATGGTATAAAGATTTATTAGAACCTCTTTACGATACGCTTCGTGATCGCATAATTCGTGCCGTTTCAATCTCAGAGCTCTGCCTGTTGATGACGTTACTCCAAAAATACTACGAGTTTGAAGACCCAGAAGGAAGTATGGGTGGCTCTGTAGTGGGTTCCGTGGTCGGTTCAACTGTTGGGTCGATCAGCTCTGATGTCCCAATTGATTATGGACAGCTTTTCGAACCAATTGTTGCAGATGTTCAGTCAAGATTAATTTTCAGAGTTCAGCGGTTCGTCGACGACAACATCATCAACTATAAGCCCCGTCCCAAGGACTTGCAAATTGGCTCGACAAAGGTAAATGTCACCCACCAGGACGATGAAGTCAATCTCTTTCCACAAATGTACTTGCCAGTGGGAAAAGCATTGACTGTACTTTCGAGCATCTACGACTTGATAAACCTGGCGGTGTTTGACGACCTAGCACACTACATTGTTCACAGCTGCATACAAATTCTCCAGACAAGTGGATACAAACTTGCAGAATCGCATTTAGGAAGTCTCGATGCCAAGCTATACTACTTGAAAAACCTCATGCTTGTCCAGCACCAGCTTAACAATTTCGACATCCAGCATGTTCGAACAGAAACAGCATTGGATTTTACCAGCGGTTTAAGTGAAATCCTCAATCAAGTTCGCCATGGCGATTTCATGGTAAACTACACCAAACTGGGTGGCTTTATTGAGCTTGCCAGGCGCTCAGCACCACGAGTGGTTAACAACATGATCGATGCCAAATATGAAATCGATAGTGAGTTGAATAATGCCGTTCAAGACTTCATTGGACAATGTGTCAAGCAGATATCGAAACCCATTTTGGCACAAGATGCAGTCAAAACTCCACTAAAAGCAACGTCAGACTTCAGGGACTTGCTTCTCACGGAAATCCCTCGCTACTATCGGGACATCCAGCTTTCATTCTCCGATTCCAACGTCACAAAGTACCTCATGGAAAATATGGAATCGGTGCTATTGACGACATATACCGAGTATTACCATCGATTGGAACAGATAGTGACGCTGGCGGATCTAGACGCTTCTGCTAGCGACAAGCTTCGGCTGGATATGACCGAAGTTATGGAGCCGGACACATTGGTTGGATTTCTCACCGACTTGGTAGCAAACCTATATGACAAAGAACTGGAGCTGGGACAAGTGGACGAAAAGCTTCTCGAGCAGATCGAAAACGACTTGAATATTGAGGAAGGGAACGAGTAATACATCGTGGATGTAGATCATGCATCATCAAATGGATTGTAGATATTTTTGGAAAGTAGTCTGTTCAACTCGTTCTTGACATATTGAATATCGCTGCTATTGATGAGCAAATGCGTATCACTTAACTCTTCTACCAAGATACCTGGTCTCGATAAGTCAATTTGCAAGATGAGTGCTTTGATGGAAGGATCACACTGGACCAACGTACCCGCCACTGCTCTGGGCATGATTAAGTGAAGAATGAAGAAAAGTAGTTTAAAGAACAAAAAATCGGAGTCTCGTTATTTTGATGCTGAATCTAGTCCCGCAGTAAAGTATTGGTGTTAAGTTTATAATGTTTGGATAAGATGAGTTTCCAGTGCGCGAAAAATAGCGAGCCGCTAGCGACACTCCTAGTGCGATTAGCGGTGCGAAAAAATAGCGAGCGGTCAGAGACACTACTGCGACCCTGTGCGACCACTGGACTCGCACCGCTATCGCAGCCAAACCGTTGCGCGCACAGAACATTAATCTATCATCACGTATTCTTGTCTAACACATGAGTGACTCCGCTGGCGGAACAGACGACGCTGAAAGCACAGTTAAGGCAGAATCAGATAGCTTGCATACCCAGGATGACCAGAATTCTTTCAAGGACGAGATAGGCTCGGAAAAAGACCACCAACCCCAAAACAACGATTTGAACGAATCTCAAAATATAACTCAAGACTCGGAAAATACAGACTCAGACTCATCTTCGGTAGCGTCTGCCGACTCGCCTCCTGTATTCTTATACTCGCGACTCAATTCGCTTCCTCGTAACTTTTTGGACCGAGAACCTGTTTCATGTAGCTTGTTCCACGAAAGCTTGTTTGTATTTGCCACTCATTCAGGCCTTGTGCATGTGTGCAAACCCGACTTTACAATGGTAAGAACGTACAAGGCACACAGTGCATCGGTTCTAGCTTTGGATACCGATGGAACCCATGTTATTTCAGCGTCAATGGATGGAAGTGTAGTGGTGACTTCCACAGTGGATTCTAATGAAACATTTGGTTTCGACTTTAAAAGACCTGTTCACGCAGTGGCAATTGACCGAAAATACTCGGTGACAAAATCTTTTTACTCTGGCGGCATGAGTGGAAAAGTGATCCACTCTTCAAGAAACTGGCTTGGAAAAAGGTCGGATACCATTCTTTACCTGGGAGATAGCCCCATAGTGGCATTCAAAAAAGTAGGGGAAATTATAGTGTGGATGAATGACATGGGAATCTCGTTCTTTGACACCTACCATCGAAATATCATCAAGACAATTTATAGACCCGATGGTGCTCCTCGCGGCGACCTCTACTGGCCCCGCATACATTTTCCAGAAACCGACCGGATTCTCATAGCATGGGCGTACCATGTGTGGTCTATCAAGATCCAGAGTGGTTCTACCAGCTCCAATAATGGTGCTCTGACCGGAGCTGCCTCATCTTCTGCTCAGAACAGAATAATGTCATCCGCCATGTCTTTTCGTTCTGTCCCAGAAAAGCATATAAATGTCGAGCATGTGCACCAGTTTGATTTCCTTGTGGCAGGTATCTCGTCGTTTAAGGACGACAAATTGCTTGTACTAAGCTACGAACCGCCCATCTCAGTCGAAGATAAGTTGGAGTTCCAAGACCCCGACTTGAAAATAGTTGATTTGGCTAATGGAGAGATTGATTTCGAGGAGGAAATTGGCCTTCGTTATATCAAAAATCTCGGATTGAACGATTACTCACTCGGAACTCATATCGGCAATACTGGCGCTACCTACTATATCATGAGCGCCAAGGATGCTGTCATTGCAAAAGAAGTACAACTCAACGACCGATTGGAATGGTATATTTCGCGAGAAGATTACTTGGAGGCCTGGAAACTAAGTCAGCATTTATTAACTCCCATTAAAAGACTCAATTTGGGAACTTCTTATGTGGATACTTTGATCAAGAGAAATGACTGGAAAGAGGCTGCGAACTTCTTGCTGACAATTCTACATGTGGATGAATCGCAGATGCCTGCAATTGATACGAAGAGCACTTTACGTACAGACCAGTCAGTTGCTCTGAAGGGTGACGATGAATTGATAAAGGAAATTATTCGCCAGTGGGAAATCTGGGCTACGATATTTTTAAAGTCTGGCCATGTTGAAGAGCTAACTCTGATTATTCCAACACTTCCTCAGTTAAATCTTCCACAAACATTGTTTGACGAAATATTGGAGTACTGGTTAAAGAACAAATCGCAGACGGTGTTCTATAATATCATCAGTAAATGGGATATCTCTCTATTTACTTTCGAGGCCATAACCCTGACAATGGAGTCTTCGCTCGAGGCCGAAGATGACGATAAACTTCGAAGATGTCTAGCTGACTTGTATGTTAGAGCCGCTCAGCCTCAAAAAGCAGTACCCCATTTGGCCCATTTAAGAGACCGCAACTTGGTCAGGTTTCTCCATGATCATCACTTGATAGCATCTTTCGTCGACAGCCTTCCCTACTATATCAGTCTTTCTTTGAAGGACGATGAGATAGAAAACACCCCTATAAGCGACCTTGAGGTGGAGCTTCAAGACACAATTGATATTCTCGTTGAAAGTCGACACGAATTGCCTCCACAGGTTTTGACCGAGATGATGACCAAGCACCATTTGGATTTCATCAACTTGTTTTATTTGGAACGACTTGAAGTTGTCGACGACTATCTCACGGTACCGTTTCAGAACGACAGGTTACAGTTATTTGCGCAATATGATCGCAAGAAACTTCTTCCCTTCCTTACCAAGCACAGCTCCTACGACATCCAGAAAGCCATCCAGCTCTGCGAAGATAATGATTTTGTTGAAGAATCGGTTTATTTGTGGGGAAAAGTGGGCGAGACCAAAAAAGCATTAATGTTGATAATCAACAAATTGGACGACCCAGAGAAGGCTATAAACTTTGCGAAGCACCAGAATGATAAGGAAGCATGGGATATTTTGCTAGAGTATTCAATGGAGAAACCTGCTTTCATCAAAGCACTTATTGAGCATGCCGACGAACAGTCGTACATGTTCTATGATCCCATTTTGATATTGGAAAAAATGCCTCGCGATGTGGAGATAGAGGGTCTCAAAGAGTCTGTTACCAAGATCTCCTACAATAACGATCTCAACGTCATCCTCAACCAACTCATTCTTCGAATAATTTACAACAAGTCTGAAGACGTTTCCAAACAGCTTCGAACCCTCAAACTCAAAGGTATCCAGGTTGACGTTGATGAATACACGGAGCTTTTCCAGCGGTTCGAGACAATATTGGTTGAAAGCATGGAACCAAAGGGACAGTTGAAGACAGCCGAAGAGGAAACCAGCGTCTATTCGGATCTCGCAAACAAGATCAGGCATCTTGAATCGTTAAGGGCAAAGACATAAAGCATTATATAGATTCTAGCGACTAGCAAAAGGATTGAGCCGGGATAATATGGTTCCAGATGCTCTGGAGAGGAAACCTGTAGCCAAGTTGTTTGCCTTACCGAACTTGTCGCATTTCGTGAATGCTAAAGCGTTTGTGAACGACAAGAAGATTGCAATCAAAATCAAAATGAGATACAAAAATTCGAATTTTAACACCGCCAAAATACCCAAGACAATCCACGCTACAGGCTGGCCATACAAGAGGGTCCAAAACACTTTTGAGTCGATTGGATTAATGTACCGAGAAGGGTCTGCCGACTCAAACACCCACACGTTTTCAAATTCGCCCGTCGACGACAGTTCAATGAAATTGACTTCGTTCCACCACCTCAAGCCTACCAACAAGCGACCAGCAACATTTTTCAAGTTCCAGAAATCGCCCGATATCAAAAGGACAAGGACGATGAAATGCAATATGAACCGATTTTTCTTGGTAATGAACCCAATAAAGAAGTTCCCAAAGATGTAGATCTCTATAGGGAGTATTCTGAATCCTATATAGAAGAGCAATGCCACGGGATGAGACAGTTGTTTGAGTCTTTGTATCCATGTCCATGAGCTAGGATCACTATTTATTTGGCCAGAATTCGGTTCACCACCCATCTGATTGTCCATGGGTCCTGTAGCGCCCGCCGGCTGTGCTTGAGGCACATCAGACTCTATGGCTGTGTATTGGGAGCTCATACCGGCGTTGTGAGCGATTTGTGTTGTGTGGAGAAGATCTCAAATTTCACCAATCTCAAATTATTCAGTGCGACTTTTTCTTTCTGAACCACTAATCAAAGACGATGTCCCGATATTCCAAATTTATTGGTGGCATCACGAGGACACAGCTTGAAACCACTAAGGTAAGTGTTTTGTGTTTGTGGCTGTTGTTTTTGTACTAACATAGTTTGGTTTTTACCTTTTGACTCCCATCTGTATCATGTACTGGGCCGGTTTGGACAGTGATCGCAAGTTTAACATGCCGGGATTCTGGCCCGATCCCGCCACCTTGAACCAGGTTCCCAAAGAACCCCACGAAATCAAGGCAGAAGTGGCCAGAATTCGAAGAGCAAGGTTGGAAAAGAGACAGCGACTCGAAGCCAAAGCAAGAGAGTTGGGATTGGTGGAAGAGGATGAAGAGGACAAACTGTAAATAGAATCAAGTACGAAGGAAGAGATAAAAAGAGACAAAAGATAAAAGACGAAAACTAGTATATAGTACAATGTTAATACGGATAATGAATGCATTCTATGATCTATTTACAATGTCACTGCTCAGCTTGAGATACCTGTTCAAGCTGGCGCTTAAGCTCGTTAGTGGTAGTTTCAGAAAGACCGAGATTAGCCTGGAGGATTGTTTGCAACGAGTACTTTAATTCACCTCTCGTACCCAGTTCAATAGCATTTACTCCCATGTCTAGATTCGGGGTCCAGCCAGTTGACCACTCATCCAAATGCTGTCGCTTAGGCGCTGGAGCACCATCTGTCTTGTCCTCTAGTTGTGGTGCTGCCATTTGTGACTTCGTCGCATCAACGTCCATCGCGAACAAGGCATCGATGGTGTTGGAATTGTTGCTTTCTCCAGAAACTCCTAGGCCCTCAAGAAGCGATTCAACTCCGTTGTCAAGCACCAGATTGGGACTCAAAGTGCCATTGAGACGATTGAATGGATTTTGGATTTCGCTATTGGCAATTTGCGTATCGGTGAGCCAGGTGCTATCTTTTCGCTTATCATTATGGTAACCCTCCAGAAGACAGCTCCCTATAATCTCCTCGATAGAAACGTAACTCAAAGTCATTTTGGCCCTTTCGTTCACAAGACCCAAAAGGTCGTCGATTTCCCATGGAATCACCACATTCAAGTGGCTCATGATTTCTTGCAACTTGTAGTACGAGCGGTCGTTGGAGTCTTGAGACCGTCCCTGGTGTTCGGCGACAATGGTCCGGGCGACGTCAACGTGAGCAGGCGCTACCCAGTCGTTCTTCAAGTCAAGCAAGTATGTTCTTTTCCAAGAATTGAAAATCTTTTCTTTGGAAATCGAGTTCCACGATCGCCATATCCACTCGATCACTTTGATGGTGGGTATCTGGTAGTCGGACTCCGAGAGCACTTCGAGGGTTCCCACAGGCAATTGGGGTGCCTCGCTTTTGTCTAGTTCTGAGTTACCGTAGAAACTATCCGAGGTAGATTTTTCAGAGCGTCTGGCCTGGAGTCGGATCATTTCCAAGTACTGCTGAATTCGATACAAGATCTTGAATTCTTGTATGATGCCGTAGCTCATTGGGAGATAGTCGAATTTCACGCCGCTGTACAGAGAACTGTAGGGGTTATTGTGGTTATTGTTGTTCTTGAGGAAGCACAAGCGAATGTGGTCAAACTTGAGGTTGATAATCCGGTGCGACGAAGAGTCGTCTAGAACAATGAGAATCTTGCGCTGGGGTTGCAAGCTGGCTATTTTGTGGTCTAGGGTCAAAAGGTAGTCGTAGAACATACTGGAGGTGATCCACTTGTTGGTGTTGGAGTTGTAGTAAATGTTGTAAACTTCCAAGATTTTGTTTCTGAGTAACTTGGGCGTAGAAGCGGCATGGGCCATCTTGAAATTTGGGTCGGAAGCACACGAAGCATCGAACGATTCATGGCTACCTACTATGAGCGGTGGAAGTTTTTCAGATCCATCGACATTACAGCCAAGCATAATTGTGAGTGATTTTTCAGTGGAAGCGGCCGATTGCCGAAGCCCTTTATCGACTGAAGAAACGTCAAATATCTGGTCTAGAGGCAACGTGTAGAACAATTGGAACTCATCGATGGTGAAAATGTCTCTTGGTGAGTAATTTTCAGCTTTTATGATGTCCCTCAAGTACCTCTTCAAGTCCACCTTCTCATCCATCATCCATACCTTGTTGAGTTTGTGGCCCTCATTGGCATTAATTTCGTCCTTTGTTCCCGTAATGTTGATGTCGAGCTTCTTTATGAACTCGTAGCACCACTTGTGGTTGAAAATGCCATTCCCGTCTTTCTCTTGAGGCGGAAGCCGAGTCCAAATCGACAGAGCTGTCAGCTGAATTACAGGCGTCGTTATGGGAATACCCTCCCAAATACACTGAGTGATCCACTCAGAGAGAATCGACCGAAGAAGGGGATTTTGCAGTTTTTTCCGTCGTACTAGCAGAAATTGGGTTTCTTTGGATGCAATGAGTTCGTTCTTGGAACTCAATATTCGAGAAATTGTTGTCTGGGATGGCTGATGCAACGTGGAAAACTCCTTCTGGGCCCACTGGGCAAGCTCAGCTTGTGTTAGCTGGGGGTTGGCGTCCGACTTAAGACATATGTCTATCTTCTGCTTTACGGTAAATCCCATGTAACTGAAAGGTTCGCGGCTGAAAAAGTTGAGAGTGTGTGGAGAAGATAAGATATAGCGATCGGGGGAACGGGGAACAAAAAGAGCGAAAAAAGAAGATAAGGAGAAAGAAAGAAAACAAAAAAGAAGATGATGAAAGCAAGTTGCTAGCATCAGTCTAGACCATTTATTGGGCAGTGCGAGGCACTAGCATAAATAAGTACTTCCGTGATCCGTCCTCAATGGGCCCGTAAAAACTCCAACACTTCCTTCAAGACAGGCTCGTGAATCTCCTCACGCTCAATGAACAACGAGTGTCTTCCGCCCTTGATGGGCACAAATTTCTTGTCGATATTGTTGGACAATAAACCAAAAAATTTCTTGGTGCCCTCAATATCATTTATGTAATCGCGGTCACCATGTACCACCAACAACGAGATATCTGGATCGAACTTGCGAACGTAGTCGGGCTTCTCCAACGCTTCACCTCTTTGGAACATATCATAGAGTTGTCTCAAAGAACCGATCAATTTTTTGTCCAGCTGCTTGATGTAGTTTTTCCACCTCTCGTTTGAAGTGACATAGTCGTAATTAAGCTTGGTATCAATCTGGACCCGAGGCAAGAACTTGGCGAGAAGAGGAGACAATTTTTGAACAACAAAATTGGGTCTGGTTTTAGGGTGCAAGGACACCAAAGGTGCACAAGCCACAATGCCCTTGATATGTTCCTTGTATTTACCTCTAATTCCATAGTTCAACACAATCCCGCCTCCCATAGAGTGGCCCAACAAGAAAAATTTCTCTGTTTTATTGGTTCTCTGTTCCCAAGCTACGTTTTATCATGAAATCCAAATCATTGAACGTATGATGTTCATCTGTAAGACCAAGCAAAGGACCAGGCGAAGTGTCTCCCGCACCACGCTGGTCGAAAAAGAACACTTCAAAACCATTTTGACTTAAATTGTCAAAAAACTCGGTATAAATTGAAGCATGCTCCATGAACCCGTGAACATAGATGATTTTTCCAAGATATTTGGTAGACAGTGGTACCTTCCAAGTAGTGGTTTTGAAAGAGGCGCCATCAAAGTCCACAATCTCTTCAATTGGCGTCCCCTTGGGGGTGTATGGGATTTCTGGCATGCGATTGGAATGTGTTAATTGTGGCTGGAGACGTGGGATATGTATGGGGTAAATGGTGTGTGGGTGTGTTTTTTTGGTTGACATGTGCCTGCGGCTCTCATTGTGACATTGTCACAGCGGCTCGAGCCCATTGAGGTCAATGTACTGGTCTCCGTAATTGAGCATGAACTGGGTGCGGCGGCGGCCGTTGCATTGTGTGAAGAAGATACTGAGGCCGAGAATGGACAAATATTGCAATTGCGGGAGGTGGAGAACTGGTCTCGGCGACACACAGTGCGGCTCGACTGCAAAATAATCTATGAGAAACCTAGAAAGTCTTTGATGATTTTTTTTCACAAACTCCACCATGGTATCGTTGAGAATGACGCTGTTGGTTCGTACGGAGAATAGTTCGTGGTTGTAGCCGGCTGAGTTTATCACTGAAGAAATGCACTCGATATCGTAGAGAAAGTAGTTTTTGTAGACAGACTGTTTGAGCACCAGTTCGTAGTAAAGTGCTCGTATATACCACGAGTAGTCATCGCTCATGAGGTGCTGGAGCATTGCCGAAGCGTCAGCCACTTGCGAAGACCTATCGAGCAATTTCAAGTTGACCAACTTGTGCTGGGTGGAACCTATGCAATCGTATACGGCCTGGGTGTATGCGCTTGTAGGGGACTCTACCACGGCGAAAAGCGTCGATAATTGGTCTGGAATGTTCTTGGAGAGCGTGTTGATGAGAGAGCTGTGTTGGCAGAAAAGACAGTCGTAGGTGGGATGGGTAGCCAACTTGCGCAAATTGGGAGTCAAGGCAGTGAGATTTTCAAGCAAGGTTGATGAGTAGTCGTCGTGGGAGTGGTGCAAATGAGAGGTTTCCTTGACATTGAGCTGGAGAGAAATTAGGTGCGATAAGTCAACGGTATTGCTGAGTAGTTTTGCGAGGTGTGCACCACCGTCGTTGATGAACCCGTCGAGTCCAAGTCTAGTGAGTGTGAGTTTTGTGCCGCTACTCAGGAGCACCTCAAAGAACTGGGGCCATATCGTCTGGTTCTGATCTCTCAGCATGGAGTTGGCACGATTGAGAGACTCGAGAGACAGCTGGTGCATTTCCTCAAACTCCAATGTGGAAAGCTTTTGCAGAGAAAAAAGTTTTGCAAGCTCCACGGTTCCCGCAACCAGGCAGGCGGACTCTCGCTGGTAGTATATCTTGAGATGAGTGAGGCGAGGAAAGTTAAATTGGCTTTGCGCCGATGGCTCAAACGTCTCTACCGACAATGCTAGTCTCAGCAACGACGGAGCATGAAAAGAAAGGGTCATTTTGCTGCCGTCCAAGAGACACCAGAGCTCATTGAGGCGGACCCGAGTCAATATTGCTTGTAACGTTTCCACCAATTGGCGCTGAACACTGACTTCGACAGACTGTGACGAATTGACATCAAAACACACCGTTTCGTCAACAAAAATGATAGAGCGGATCAAGTCGGCGAGCTTTGTGCTGTCGTGGACCGTCCGCAACAACAACGCCAATTTCGACGAGTGAATTAAGGTTCCATAGTTGACCCACGATAGCCTCAGCTGCGAGATGGCAAGTTTTTTGAGTTCGTGTGACTCGGTAACGATGATTTTTTTATACAATTGCACCGTGGCAGGGAGGTACAACATCCTGGACGCCAAACAAACCTGCAAAAGATCGTTGGTGTGAAGCGACAGAAACACTCGTCCGAGCACTGGAATGGGAAGATCCACAATGAATTTGGTTTTCCAATTATTTTGGGCACGACAACCCAGAGGCTCACCCAGAGCGTCCTCAAGCGGATACAAGTCCGACGGGCGGTACCAACTGCTCCGTCTTCGCTTGCCCACCATCTGGCACAAAACTTGCTTATCAGTTGTGTGCAACCGATTCTCACCTTATCCGCGCCCACTGCACCAAATCGAAAACCACCGCCAAACTCATCTTCACACTTGAGATACCTGCCGTCATGCTGCTCCAAAACAACAGAACCGGCTCCATGCTGTCCATTTCCAAGACCTCTGGCACCCGTTCTCGAAGCAACTCGGCAGCAAACGACGAAACAGACGATCCCTTCGCTGGATTGTCGTTTTCGGTGGGAGTGGCTGAGAACAAAAATGTCACCTACCGGTCCAAAATGGAAGATGTCCACACATATGTGGCTAACTTTGCCGAAAAACTCGACTGGGGCTACTTTGCTATCTTCGATGGCCACGCAGGCAAGCTGACAGCTCGTTGGTGTGGAAATAATCTACACACCATCTTGGAGCAGGAAATTCTACATGGTGAACTTTCGACGACGGCGTCTCCTGTGGACCCAGAAGACAACGATCTGGACATAAGTGACTTGCCCACCCCACAAAAAGATCGTTTGGATCCTCCAGTGCTTTCTGACATGCAAGAAAATCTCTATCAGGCGTTTCTCCGTGCCGACACCTTGAATGAAAAAGAGGGTAATGGGCTGTCTGGAAGTACCGCTGCGGTTGCCGTGCTTCGATGGGAAGCCAATCGACATTCTCCACAAGAAAAACCGGAACAACTGCAAAGCAAAACAGAGAAGAAAAACCATCCATACGACTTTGTACCCACAAACCACAAACGAGTACTTTATACTTCCAATGTGGGAGACCTGCGGATTGTTCTCTGTCGTCTGGGCCACCCCTATCGCCTATCGTACGACCACAAGGCCACGGATCTCAATGAAATAGAACGTATCAAGAATGCTCGGGGACTAGTCATGAAGAACAGAGTCAACGGAGTGCTCGCCGTTTCTCGCTCCCTCGGCGACTCCTACATGAAAGACTTGGTTATAGGAGTGCCATTCACCACCGCAACGGAAATTACGCAAAACGACGAGTTCATGATATTGGCATGCGACGGAGTGTGGGACGTAATATCGGACGCTGCTGCGTGTAAAACGGTATCACAAGTTTTGCACGAATCCAACAATAATGCTCAACTCGCGGCTCTGCGTCTCTGCCAGCAGGCTATAGACAACTCCACTACAGACAATGTTACCGTCATGGTGGTGCGGTTTCACAGTGGTGTATTCAACTGCTAATTTATACATATCTACCATTTCTTGGGTCTCCAGAGCTTCAATGCCAAGCTGCTCATCACCACACTCACAGACGACGCCGCCATGGCAGCACTGGCCCACACTGGACTGAGCCTCGACTGGTGGTATGGGTATATTACTCCCGCAGCAATGGGGATACCAACAATATTGTACACCAACGCCCAGCAAAAGTTGAATTTAACTCGATTGAACACAACTTTCGACAAATCCAATAAGGTGACAAGCGCTTCCAATGGTCTGTGTTTCGAAAGCAAGATGAAATCACTCGAAGTCACTGCCAAATCAGCTCCTGAAGATAACGCAATGCCAACTTGAGCAGCCGCCAATGACGGTGCATCGTTGATTCCGTCTCCAACCATAGCAACAACCTTCAGACGATCTTGCTGAATTTGCTTGATTTTGGCTTCCTTATCATGGGGAACAACTTCACTAATTATATGGTCGGCAATGATTCCGATTTCTCCTCCAATGGCTTCTGCTGTTGTCCTGTTATCGCCTGAAATCATCCAACACTCAATGCCTCGTTTTTCTTGTAAGTACTTGATTACTGCTTTTGTTTCGGGTCTAATATCGTCACGACATGCCATGGCCAACAACAAGTGATACAGACTGTCTCCAAATACCAGTTCACAAACCAACCCAACAAGAACAATAGATTTTCTGTCTGACTTCCAATTCTCAAGCTTGGCTGATACAGAACTTATATTCACATTGAGCTCTCTGAATAACAGCTCGTTACCAAGAATTGCCTCACTAGACTCAAACTTCTTCCACTCTGAAGAATCGTTGGAATCCAATCTAATCTTGGCTCTCAATCCTTTGCCGGGAATATTTTCCACTTGTGGAGTTTTGTTGGCTGCAAACAGGTGGTCCGCATTCAAGTCAGCAAACGCCGTAACTGCTTCTGCAATTGGGTGACTGGAAGAAAGCTCCAAATCTCTGCTGAGTTGAAGTCCCACCTTTCTCAAAAACGGGTCGTCACAAACATACTCATGGTCGGTGACTTCGAGTTTACCATTTGTCAACGTTCCTGTTTTATCAAAGCACACAACATTCACATTAGCGCCGTCTTGGAACGCAACACCTCCTCCTTTCGCAAGAATTCCGTGGTTAGCAGCCAAACCAGATCCAACAAACAACGCAGTTGGTGCAGCAAGACCAATACCACAGGGACAAGCAATGACAAATACTGCAATTGCAAATTCCAAAGACCATACCGTCCATCCTCCGATATCGATGTCCAAGTATTGTGGAGGTAAAGCGCCGGAAAATCCAAGCGCCAACCAGATGATCCATGTTACAAGAGCCAAGAGAGTAATGATAGGGACAAAGTAGCCAGTGAGCTTATCAGCCAATTTTTCAATTGGAGCCTTTCTCAACTGTCCATTTCGAACAGTATCCACGATTTGGTCGATCAAAGAATCTCCTTCTAGACTGGAGATTTTTGCAACCACTGAATGGTGGCCCACATTGACGGTTCCAGAGAAGACTTGGTGTCCAACAGTATGCTTCACCGGGACAGACTCGCCGGTCAAAGCCGACTCGTCAAAGGAAGACTCGCCAGAAACTATGACACAGTCCACTGGAGGAGATTCACCGGAGGATATGCGGATATAATCGTCTATCTCAAGTAGCTTGACATCAACTTTTTGGTCTTTTTCAAATACTTGTGGTTGCTCTTCTTTGGACCGAAGATGAACCAACGTGGCCTCAGACGCTTTGAATGTACTGAGCTGTGAAATGGCATCTGCGGTTTTGCTCTTGGAGTAACTTTCCAATAACCGGCCGATCAAAAGGAAGAATGTCAAGAAGACCACTGAATCGAAATACGTGGTATGAAGTCCCATATCGGTATGCTTCTTCTGCTGGGAACTGAGGATAAGCAATGCTATGCTTGCAAAGTAGGCAATAGATGTACCAAGACACATGAGTAGGTTCATGGACCCAAAGCGAAACAATCTTTTCTTCCAAGAGTTTTTGTAAAGCCACAACGATTTCAACTCTTTAAAAGCCTTTTGGTGAAAGATGTCTGCTGCAAAGAGATACACAGGTGTACTTATGATTAGTAAAATCCACACAACTCTCGAGACATTGCCCGCCCATATTGGTTCTTCTATCCACTTTCTAAACGAGCTCGATTTTGGCAAAAGAGACATAGCAATCACCCCGAAAATCAATGTGGGAATAGCAGTTACTGTAGCCAATATAAGACGAACTATGATTCTTCTGGTTTCCTTTCTGGTCAATTTCCGCAAGTGCTCGTCCACGGAAACCTGTTCGATGTAAGTGCAGTCAAACGAACCTTCTTCTTCAGGCACAATTTTGTAGCCAGGTTCATCGTCTGTAGGATGAATATGGTTCAAATCGAATAAGAACCGTCTCAAGTTGATATTTTTCTCCAAGTTGGGCACGTATGTGAATTTTATGAAAGGTCTTTTGAGAGTGATTGGATCCTGGATCACCACGGCGTCACCAAAACTGTTCAAGTAGTCAGTAATAACTTCGGGGCAGTGATTGCAGAACATTTTATCGACGCTGACGTTGATTGTACGAGACTTCTTTGTGCTCAGGGTATAATTTATCAGCTCTTTGCTCGTAAGTTCAAAGTCATAGCCACATTCTTCAACTCTATTTTTCAACTTTTCGATATTTGAATTGTCGTCATCTTCCAAGACAAACTGTGCCGACTTCGTCACCACGTTGACTCCGGATTCAAGCACAAATGGGAGATCTTTCACCGCATTCTCGATGGTATTAACACAGGCAGCACAAGTAATTCCTCCAATGATAGCATTGACTCTGGTGTTCGTAGACCGCTGGACAGGAAGTAGCTCGAGCAATTGACACTCAAAACCTGTTTCGTTTATAGCATCCACGAGTTTATTTACAATTTGCTTGTTCGTTACAATTGCAATCGCACTGTGCTGTAGTAGGTTTCACGGAGTACGACGGGTCTTTTTCGTCAGCAGAGCCCATTTCGTTGGCCTCCATCACACTCGAAATCGTCGAGGACACCGTCTGTACACACGAAGCACAAGACATACCACTAACAGAAAATACTGCTCGGTATTCCTGGAAGGGTTTGTCCACCACAAATTTGACATCTTCATCGGAGGAAGAAGTGGTTTCCGCATCGAATCGACACTTGCGGCAATGCTTCAAGTGGTTAGCGATAAGCTTTCTTTCTCTTCTTTTCGAAAAAAAACCAAAAATATCAAAAAAGTCTTTGTCTAATTCAATGGGAAGTCTGGATGCATGATGAACTTCTGAGGTTTCAGAGCTTATGTCGAGAGTTTTGTCCACAAACAACTCCCACGAGAGAACGTCAAAGCCATTTGCTGCCAAAGCTTTCACAATCTTTTTGACGGAGCCTTTAATTCTGTCATATTGGTCGGCTAACACAACGGTTTTTTGATGTGAAAGTTTGAAAAAAACCGACGATTCATTTTGCGGAACGTCTTCCGGCCCACGCTGAAGTTCAAAGAAGCGAGAGAGTACTGCAATGATGGTGTCCTCACAGTCCTCACAATGAACATTGGATAACTGTACTAGTAATTCCTGCATGATTTTGTCGTTATCGCAAATATGTCAAAGGTGTTCGCAGCCGCTCTTTATATGCAAATTGCGGCATAATCGCCCAGATCGCAGCACAAATCGCGCGATGACTTCACAGCCGTACCAAGCAGCATGACCAATTTTTAGCAGCCTATGACAAATCTAATCTGTAATTATGTAACGTAACGTGACCAACGGCACTACCATGGCCGCCACCAAACCACAGAACTTTTCTAAAGTTGTATGGAAGAACAAGCACGTAATGACAAATTCGGCGTACCAGCAGCCAACGAGAGTCACAGCTAGATGAAGTATCCACCAGTCCAACTTGGCTATTATGGCCGGAGCTTCTGTATTCTCACCACTGGGGACCCCTGAAGGCTCCTCGCCTTGCTCCAAGTCCATATCGAGCCGTTGGGTCCATATACCCAAGCTTCCATCACCAATCAATTGCTGCAAAACTAGCAAACTGATCGACACCAACAAGTAAAAGTGTCCCGAAATATCAAACCCGTTGATCCATATCGTATCAGTTTGCACATCACATTTACTCCTGCTGAGCTGAATCAATTCCCCTGATATACGCTCACAATGGCCGCCCGCAGCTACATCTATCCGCTCAAAAATCAGAGGACCAAAGCACCAGATCGTAGCCAAAATGCAAAATAATGTGTTTACGAGGTATATCAACAGCTCCCGAGCAATCTTATCATACGGAACCACCCAGTTCTTGTTTGTGTAATGCGTTAAATGTCCCAAATAAACCGCCGTGAACCAGAAATATCCATGCTCCACTAGCACAACATTTAGATGGGCTATGATATAGCTACGCTGGACCCATTGCCTTAACGGCAGTAGTAGCACCAGAATGGGAATCAGCAAAGCAAAAGTAGCTGGGAATAGAAGCCAACATAGAGCTAGAGGGCGGTACATGCGCAGCATATAAATTCAGTGAGAACTTGGTTAGCTTGGTGCAGGAAAAATGAGATTCGCAGCCAGAGAGAGCAGAAAAGAACGATAAGAAACAACACTAAGGAACTTCATATGTAGATATTGCTAAAAGCAAAATAGATTCAATATTTTCTAGATTCTTATGAATTATCATAAGGTAACAACCTCATATTTCGTAATACTGAATAAAAAGCTATATTGTTCCAACTGCGTCTTATACTCTCGACTCTAAAAAAGATACGTTGTGTGTTCTCTAGTGAAATGCGAGGTAGCCATCCACGACCTTAAACTCACGATTCTAAACTTACAATTTCTCTCTTGTAAGTCCCGCTGACCTAAGCAGCTGCGATTTAAGATGGCTCCGCACGTGAGATGATATAACGAACTCAGATCACTAATCACTAAACCATCATCGAGTGGTTTCTGAAGTATCAATTGGCTTAGAACCATCAATGATCGGTGCCCGAGTCATAAAATCAGGGTTTCGTACGCCAAAGTTGGCCCATCGTCTTTTTGCGACGTCGTTACGTCAGTATGCTGAAAAATCGGTTCCATTCCAAAACCAAAAAAGTCCAAATGAAGGTTCCAATCCTCAAATGGCATTCCCGTGTCTTGATAGACTCGAAAAAAAGACAGAGGAGTTGTCCAGCGGGCAAAGTTGTGGTCCGGATTCGGGAATAAGCTCGCTTGAAGGTGGACCGGAACCATCTTATGGCCAAGTGCAAACCGGATTTGACGTTTACAAGTCTACAGAACCGATCTATTTTGACCACGGCGGCTACTTGCCGGAGTACACAATAGCATACGAAACATGGGGAACGCTCAATGCTACAAAGTCCAATTTGGTACTTATTCATACTGGATTATCAGCTTCTTCTCATGCCAAGTCTCAACCGAAAAATACAAAGCCTGGGTGGTGGGAAAACGTTATTGGTCCAGGACTCTACTTGGACACTGACAAGTACTTTGTAGTGTGTACAAATGTTCTTGGAGGTTGTTATGGGTCAACTGGACCATCTTCTAAAGACCCAGCAAATAACGATTATTACGGAACAAGGTTTCCTATAATCACGGTAAACGATATGGTGAGAGCCCAGCGAGAACTCATACGCAATGTTTTCGGCGTGAGCAAGGTTCATGCTTCAGTTGGAGCTTCAATGGGAGGAATGCAGTCGTTAGCCTATGCTTGGGAGTTTCCCGATGAGGTGGAAAAAGTGGTGCTGATTAGTGGATGTGCCAGGTCCCATCCATACCTGATTGCGCTTCGTCACACACAGAGGCAGGTACTCATGAGTGATCCCAACTGGAATCGTGGGTTTTATTACAACAAAATTCCTCCACATATCGGTATGAAGTTGGCGCGAGAAATCGCTACTGTCACCTATCGTCTGGGCCCCGAATGGGAATACAGATTTGGTCGCAACCGGGCAGACGACTCAAAACCGCCAGCGTTGTGTCCTGACTTCCTGGTGGAGACTTATCTTGATCATGCTGGTGAAAAATTCTGCCTTGAATATGATGCAAATTCGCTTCTTTATGTTAGTAAAGCCATGGATTTGTTCGACTTGAGCCTTTCAAACCGAGAAAGAGCATCCAAGAACAGACAACTGACGTTGCAAAATGGAGGGCAATCACCAACTCCGGTTCCTGAAAAACCATACTCCGAAAAAAAATCTTCCTCTGTCATTTCACCAGAAGAAGCACTTGACGATTTGCGCCAAGGACTCAAGAAGATTGCCCACAAAGATATTCTCGTCATTGGCGTGGAATCTGATATTCTCTTCCCCGTGTGGCAACAGAGAGAAATTGTCAGTGTGCTCAAAGACGCTGGAGCCACTGGAGACATTCGCTACTTTGAACTTGGCACCGATATAAGCAACTACGGACACGATACGTTTTTGTTGAGTCTTGAGCATATTGGGCCGCCCATGAAGCTGTTTTTGGGATGATAGCAATTATATATAGTGATTTAAGCGATTCTTCCGTGGTTAGGATCCAACTCGTAGCCGAGGCGCCGGCTCACCGAATACACAAACTCGCGCAAATGAGCAACCACCACTTTGGCAAGACCATTATTCTTCTTTTTATCGTGATCATTAGAGACGGCAATGTGGTGGGGTAGTAAATTGTCATGAGCACTCAAACTCACGAACAAGGCGAATGGAACAAACCAAACACACAAGCCAAAGAACGAGCAAACCTCCATGAACAGCGGAATGCGAGGCGGTATATAGTCGTGCTTAAGTCGTTCCTCGATAGGAGGAATATATGGGTTGTGGAAATGGCTGAACCATAAAAAGTGATTGGCAATGACGAGAACACAAGACACCAAAAATACTGGTGAAGAAAGCTCGACATAAGGAAACCGCGTCAAGTTTTTAAGGTACACCCAGTAGGAGAAAATGGAAAACGCAGTAAGCATTATGGGAAACCTGTCCACCACCACCAAGAGGACAAATATGCCCATAACGCAATATATCAATCTTGTTAATAACCGCTTGGTAGGTTCCAGATGTTCTTCCACCAACTCCGAAATATAGTAGAGCGCAGCAGCAATGGCTAGCACAAGAAAGACAAAGCCAACAATAGCCCCGACACACGATAGCAATTGAAGGATCATACGTGAAGTAGAGAGCGGTTCGCGATCGCACCGTGCTTCAGGTGAAACGTACTGCAGGCAGAGAAACGGCAGAGAAGAGATGGTAACTATTAGCAGAATAAATTAGCAATTTTCAGAATGAAGTTAATTGTATTATCAGAATGAGTTTGGATTAACATTTTAGCAATAAATAGCGGACGCCCCGTCAATCGTAGATCTCAATGGGTGGAAGTCGATCCGTATTGTAGAACCAGTTTCCTCCGTCCAATTCTCGCGAAAGCCATTCTGTGGGGAAAACCACCAAATGGCCCTGAATTTCATTCAAGATTCTTTCGGCGGTTTCACGGTCAAAAATGCGATTGCCCATCACCTCTCTTCTTCTGCGTGCAAACGCTCCGAGTCTAGGGGCCTTTTTCCTGCGTGCAAACAGCAGAGCATCATTGTCTGGCGTTTCATTAGCATTGTGGAACATTTCTTCTGAGCTCTCATAAATGTCCGATTCATTCTCAGACTCTCCTCCGGTCATATCACCGTCGTCTATTTCCTCATTCATTGCGGGTGGATCAGGTTTGTCATCTTTATCTCTTCTCAAAGACTTCTTCTTGCTCTTCGAACCATTGGCATTTGGCGCCGAAGAACCATCCCCAGATGGCGGAGCATCACCGAGAAGTCCACCATCATGATTAAGTTTGCTGAAGTTGATTGTTGGCCGCTTCCCATCGTCACGTTTGATTATACTAGCATCGGAAACTGACCCAGCATCGCTATGTTGAACATCAGAGTTTTCCAGCAGAGCATCAGTATTGACGGGCCTTTGCTTTCTTCTGCGAGAAGATTCGTGTTGCTGAGCAAGTACAAATGCTTTCTGAAGTTTCAGAAACTTCTTGTAGTCCTTCCAAGATGTTACTCTGTTATCTGGTTGAGGATGGAACACCATCCGGAAGATCTCGGTGTTTCTGCGAGCATGCTCGTACCATATATCCTCGTAAAACCCAACGTCAAGAGGATCCAGGAACCCATAAGGATCCACGAATGTGGTGAACTTTTCAATATTAGGACTGGTGAGCGACAGCACAAGGTTTCTGCAATCCTTCTCATCAAGAGAAGTAATAGGAATATCCCCTTCCAAATCCCTTCTTTCTGCTCCGTTAGCCAGACCTTGTTCACCTCCACGACTGTTATTTGGTATGAGATCGGCGCTCAGAACATTCGTAGACCTCTTAATTCCATCCTCAGGTGTTCCAACTGGAAGGCCAGCAACAGCCCGTTTCTTTTGCTCTTCTTCCTGTGTTTCCTTCTCTCTAGCAGCGACTCGTTGCAAATATGAGATTTTCTTCAAGAGCGCCAATCTCTCCTTGTTGCGCTCATGAATCATAGCTTCAGAATCCTCATCCATCTCGTCACTCATATCATAGTCGTCACTTTCCAAGAATTCCATAACGTCTTCCATAGGAGGTAAAAATGCTTTTGATGGGTTTTTCCCGATGGCCTTGTGGGCTAAATCCTTCAAGAAACGACTACTATCAAATCTCGCTCTCCGTGCAAGCCGGGTTTTGTACTTATCTGGTCCTTTTCCGTACACATCTCTCTTGTGGTTATCGCTATGTTGGACTCTAGCATCGTACGAATGCTTCTTCTTGTCACGAATGCCTCTGTTGGCTTCTTTGGTACCAGTTCGATTGTTGAATGAAACAGGCAAGGAAAGTGGAGTCGGCATATCATTTTCTCTTTCTGCTTCGTTCTCTTCATCCATGGAAACCAGCTCTGGTTGAGGCTGTACTTTCTGTCTGCCATGGAAATTCTTCCACCTAAAAGTGCCCTGTTTTTCACCGAATATGTCACGGGAAGCCAACTCAACCATCGCAGACATCACCTTATACTCCAAATTCTTAAAATTGTTAGTTGCAGCCTCCAATCCTTTAGGCTCTCTTGCAAAACTCTCAAACTTCTGGAACCTCCTCTCAATGATATCTACCACATCTACGCTGACTCCAAGGTGCTCACGCATAAGTCTCATTCTCAACGTGTGAGCAAATTTGGCAGCTTTGAATGGTTTTCCGTTCATCATTGAATTAACTGCTTCTTTGTCACGAACAATTGCAGCCACCTCAGAGTCACGGACTCCTCGCATAGACCGCTCATTGATATTGGCGCTTCCAATGATCACTGCACGATCGTCAACAATCATAGTTTTGGCATGGATATAAAGTTGTTCCGTGACAAGGTTGCGATCAGGACCAATTCTTCCCCATTTTCTCAACGAAAAGAACTGAATGTAGTCGTCGGGATCTATTCCATAACGACGAAGCTTGGCAAAGATAGATGTACTACCCTGTGAAATAGACATGTACTCACATTGCATGATCACACGCACAGCCGAACCATCAGGTTCGTCAACTTGGGATTCAAAACCGGGCATCAAAGGTATGACAATGATTGCCCGCCACAGCTGTCCTTGCTGATGTGCCTTTATTATACGATCGACCAAAGCATCGCCAATTCTGTTTTGCACAAAAGTTCCATCAACCACGCAAGACGTGATGAAGAATTGGTTCTCGATGTACACAAAGTGCTCAGACGTCTCAATGAGTTTCAAGTAGGCATTCTGGATACTCTCTTCGTGCTGCTTTAATCCAAGAGACCAATTACCTGAAGAACGAAGTAGTTGAACTTCGCATGTACCTCCCAATCCGAGATCCTCCACTTCCTTGTCAGACATATCAGGAGGAGGAAGCAAAAGTGGAGTATACCGAGATGGTCTCTTTTGTCTGATTAAATAATTCCATCTTTGAACGAAATGACGAGCAAGATCGCGAGCAACTTTACCAGAAGTCACCATGTGAACATCATGCCACGGCATACGTGGAACGCTATCACGATCATACATCGATTCGTATGGCTTATCAAGGTCAAAGAAGTCTTTGACACGAGGATTGGAGTAGTCCTTACCGGGAAATGTCTGGAACTTGACGAACTCCTCGGCGGTGGGTGGATATTGCTCATCCAAAGTATCAAAGTTGATTTTGGAATCATCAATAATGACATGATCTGGGGTATCATAACGTCCGTAACAAAGATCAATGCCTCCAACAAATGCAACAGTCTGGTCAATGACACAAAGCTTTTCGTGATGAGCCCAAAAGTATGTGTTCTGAAGCAACTGATTGGGCGAACGTATGACGTGAATATTGTCTTCGTGGAGCGACAAAATCGAATGTTTGGTATAAAGAGAATCCGTAGCAACAGTGGTACCGACATTACGGTAGACAATGACAAAGATCTTTACACCTTGCTGTGCTTTCCGTTGTAAAATACGATCAATTCTCCACTGTTGGTTACCATTGGCAGGTCTTCTCAAGTACAATTCGGGAGAAAGCCACCAATCGTGGATGAAAATGACATCTTTGGCCAACTCAAGTGCCGAAGAAATTGCCCAAAAATAATCTCTGGCATCGACAAACCATTGTGCAAAACAGTTGTTGCGTACTGGCGCAAAAGAATCGAATCGATGAGGCTGTGACCATACTGTTGCATTCTGCATTTCCTTTATGGCACGAACCCACATTTTCTGCTCCTTGTGAGATTTGGGAATCAATACTAGTTTTCTTTCCCTATTGTAGAGGGTGATTTTAAGATGGTTGAACACATTTTTGTGTTTTGCGTTGGCCGTTGTATCCGCAGTCGTTGCCATGGCTTTTTGAGCCAAAGAAGAATCATCGTAATCACTTTCATCTTCTTCAGCTTCATCATCTCCACGGGCTAAAAGCTTTTGTCCATCGTCGCCTCGATAAATCATTTTGAAGTGCAGATCCACAAGGAAAACTTCAAGTGGAAGCGTTGAGTTGATATCCGAAACGTACATCAAGTAAGAGTTCCGAACCAAGAGCCATTTCTCCAGTCTTCTATCAATCATTCCTTTGAGATCATTAGCACGAAAATGACCCACACGCCATCCTTGTGACTTTGCCGTGCCTCCTATATGAATCACACCTTGTTTTCCGATATGTGAGCCGTCCACAGAACCTTCATAACTCAATAATGAAGAGATAGGTGAAACCTCAAAGAACTGAAACAATCTGTTTGACAGGGGTTTCAAGCCTACCACCTTGATAAGCTCATTTAAGTAGTGCGTAACCTGTTGAATATACTCGTTATTACGAGCCTGGCGAATATGCAATTGCTCTGGTGAAATTTCCGACGACCCGTCACTGGAGAATCCACTTATGTGTGAGCGGAGTCGTGACAACGAGGTGATGCTTGAAAGGTGGTTTCGAGACGTGGTAGTGGATCCATTATCAGCGTCCGGTGCATCTTCATGAGAGTTGGCGTCTTGATGTAAAGCATGTCCTATGCTCTCCATTGGGCCGTCTGTCTTGCCGGTTTTTGACTTTCCATCGTTCTCACGAAACCGCAATGGAGGAAGCGGGTATCTGGGCAAGTCTTTGCGGCCATCTGTACGCCAGCTGCCGAACTTGAACCGTGAATGTAAATAGAGTAAATCTTTGGCATTTTTTTCAACCAGCCATTTGAGTCTTTGAGGACCCACGCCATACTCCAAGTCGATACTGAACCTGCGATTTTTTGTGCCCACAGAAGGCGAGATATCGATGATTTGAAATCCCAAAAGTGACAAAAGCAATGGAGCCCGAGCAATGCCTCTTTCGTCTTCAAGAAGACAGGAAGCAACCAAATTTATCGATGGTGCGCCCACAATTAACGAAGCAATAAGCAGTTGTGCCCGCTCTCCGGTAGCTACGTCAGCGTCATCCTGAGGAACAGCAGTGCTGGCTTTGCGATCACGGTCTTTCTTGCCCTTTCTTGAAAAAAATTGAAATTTACGTTTACGACCCTTGTCCTCATTTGTATCTTGATGGTTCGACGGCATAGACGAGTCATTACGAAGTATGGATGGAATAAACGCAAAGGAACTACGCTGGTGACCAGTTGATGGACGTGGTCTTTGTAACTCGTCACCATTGGTTTCTGTGTCATAGTCCTTTGCTGGCACCGGTGGATCATTAGTTCCCTCAGGCTCCTCCGGTGAACCACTTTGCTCGTATTCAGCATCACTAAATGGCATTCTATCCCTTTCTTCTTCACTTTCGGAATTATAACGAGACTCTTGTCTGTCGGCATTTTTGAACCCGAATAACGACCACGGATTAGCCATAATGGTCAGCGACAGCGGAAAGAAAGACAGATCTCGTTCTTTCTTTGGTGACCGGGGACTTCCTGGCGAAGTAGTACCACTCAATGGACCTCCTTCATCATCAGAATGGTGTTCGTTTGTGGCACCTTGGCCCGCCTTTTCACTGATTTTTTCAGCCTTGTTGTCACCTTCTATGTGCTCTTGTCCATTTATCTCGCTTGCTGTATTCCTCGGGTCGATATTCTCGTCCTCGGATTGCGTCATGTCTTTTGTAAATGGTGCTGGCACAAAAACAAAGAGTTGTCAACAGCAGTTGCTAAATGGACTGTGATGTTGTGTGGTGTACGGGTGTGAAATTTAGTCGAGGCGAAGTGAAAGAGATTTAGTCCAGAATTTGGGCTCAGAAAAGGAGAAGGGCAATGGTTGGTGTATTGGCTTACTAAGAGGTAGAAGCCATAGGGCTGGGCAGTGTCGCCAGTATAGGCTTTAAATGGATATGCTAGTCTGCAGTCACTTTTCTCGGCAAAATGGCGCGCTGCGCGTAATGGGACAGTGTGCGGAATGCTATATTTTGTGCTAAGTTTGTGTGCGAAAAGTGGGAAAGTCATATTTGGCTCATGGGGAGTTCCTGATATGTTTCCATCCTTCGACTGACTTTATACAATTGTAAGGCTATTGCTGATATAAGACCAGAGCAGCTTCCTGCGATATTAGCTATGATATCTTGAGTGTCATAAACTCTCGCCGGGTTGACAATTCCTTGTAAAAATTCCAGTACAATACTTCCAGAAACGGTGCACACGAAAAATGACACTCCCACTAAAATTGTGAACGATTGACCAAAATCTATGAGCCAGTAAAACAAGAACGTAAGCAAGTAGAAACAAGTGAAATGGGCAACCTTATCGTGCACCAAATGTATCAGCGAGAAACCCAATATTGCGGTGATGATCAGAGCCAACACGAAACCTTTATTAATATCATGAAGCACTCAAACAGCAAACCAACTTACATGTGAAGATTTTGATCCTTGCTCTGTGAGGATTGTAGAGGGACCTATTGGCAATTGCTGTTTGAATTGCTGGCAAAATGCCCTCTAGTCCATTTATGCTTGTCATCAGTGCAACTAAAGTTGGTAGTTTCTGCAGGAAAATCGCATCTTCATCGCAACGCGAAATTCTGGGGAAGCTTCCAAAATGAAGTTTCAACGACAACTAAAACACCACAGCGTCGTTTTCAGGCGACATGCCTCGGTAGATTACCTACTACGGACCTTACCACAAAAGAAAAGCCCAAACAATATCCAAAACATACCGAAGGTGCCCTCAAAACCGCACTCTAACTTACCGCCTCAAGACTTGACCAAACTACTAATCACCCCCAAAAAACTCACGATCAATTTCTGGCCCTCAGCATACGTCCAGCCGTCGAAGGTGGAGTTGGCAATGTCCCAAGGAGTATTTTCCCGTGCCCAATTTAAGCTTGAGTGGACTTTGGCTCAATACGACGATATCCCAGATGTGAAATATCAGCGATTGAAAGCTGAACTGGAAGCCACAACTAGTTCTCTGGAAACTCATAAACGCAAATCGTTTGGCATTGAACCCCATCTATTGCATCCCCTTCCAGAAATTCTTTTTCTTGGTCACACCAATGTTGGCAAATCATCACTCGTCAACAACTTATTTGGAGAGGGTTCAGGAACATTAGCATACGTATCACGCCAGCCAGGATATACCCAGACGATGAACTGCTACAATGTAGGCAAGAAATTTCGTCTAATTGACAGTCCAGGTTATGGGATGCGAGGCGAAGAGAAACAGGGCCAGATGGTATTGGAATACTTGGAACGCAGAAAAGTCCTCCGTCAGGTTTATGTATTGATAGACGCTGCTCAGGGTATGCTTCCTGAAGACGAAGAAATGCTTGAACATCTTATAGACTCGGGAATACTGTTCGACATAGTACTTACAAAGGTTGATCAGGTGATAGATCGGTACGTTGCTCAGCTTCCATCAAAAGTTAAAGAGGCCATGAAGAAGGAAAAGACTTTGGCTCCCAAGACCCGGCTCGATTATGCCAATCAAATCAAAGCTACCAACAGGAAAATCGAAAACTATTTTACTGGATTAATTGAAGGTGTTGGATTGAATGAACTAGTAACACTTCCTCGGATTTTTTTCAACAATGCTTACAAGTCGACCTATGTGAAGCAGTGCTACGGATATAAGGAGTTGCGGCATGCCATGACACTGGTCTAGCAAGAAGTTGTCACAACAAATGAATAACGAGAACCACATTGCACCCCAAAAATGAAAAACCAAATTACACCCACATTTATTAAACCAAAAAACACCCACTAAAATTTCAAATACTCATTGTTTAGCCTTCAATTACTCAGAGTTGCTTATTCACATACCATTGACTCAATCCTTCATTCTTATTTTATTCATCTTGTCTTATTCTATGGTTACAAAGTGCATGCCTTACATTGCGTTAAAAACGTCCTCTTCCTCTCCCTCCAAAAGAACCGCCTCTGCCTCTACCACCAAAGTCACCTCTTCCTCCAAACGAGCCGCCTCTACCTCCTCTGCCTCCAAATGATCCTCCTCTACCTCTTCCCCCACGAGCACCGAAAGAGCCACCTCTGCCTCCAAAGGAGCCACCTCTGCCACCTCTGGCGCCACCACGGCCTCCACGGCCCCCACCGCCTCCTACACGCTTAGGCTTGGGTCCGTGTTGCACCGGTTTGGGCAAAAATCTCTCCAATGGAAGCAACTTGTCGGGTCCAATGTAAAACTTGTCTCCCTCCTTAAACGAATCGGCCTGGATTCCTTCGGAGGGTTTGATGGTGAAAAACACCTCGTTGAGCGGTCCCAAGATCTCGTCAACCTTTCCCACCTGGCTTTTGTTCTCAAGATATATCGGAGCATTGAAATATGGAATTTTGACATTCACTGACCGGCAAACGATATCGCCCTCACATGATTGCATGAACGTCCCCATCTCCAATACTGTGTCGGGGGGTCCTTGCTGGAACTGCAGCGGTCCGGTTCGGCCTCCACGGCCACCTCTCATTCCTCCTCTGCCTCTGTTCATGGTTATTGGTGGTGGTGAAAAAAAATCCGATGAGGTTGAGAACTGGGTGCAGGGGCCTGGTGCATGGCGGGGATTTCAGGTTGAGTGCGGACCAACTTTGCCGATTGCCAGGAGACAGACATGAGTGTATCACTGAGTAAGTACACCAGGGCGTTTTTTCACTAAATCAAAGGCACATCAATCATCCTTGTACGACATTGAGTAGCAATCAATGCCCAAAATATTTTTTTTTGCACTACTAACTCAGCATCGCCGCAGTTTAAGGTCGGTCTCACCGCCGACGAAAAGAAGCTTTATTCCCAACTTTTCCGAGCATTGGACCCGGAAAACACCGGAATCATCACGGGAGACAAAGCCAGAGCCACTTTTGAAAAGTCAGGTCTTCCCCCACCAATTTTGGGTGAAATATGGCAACTCGCTGATCAAAACAATTTGGGATTTCTTACCCAATTTGGCTTCTGTTTTGCCATGCGTCTCATAGGCTACACCCAGCTGGGCCAGCTGCCCTCGGCGGCCCTTGCCGAGACCCCAGGACCGCTACCACGATTTGCAAACTTGTCTACGCCTGCTCCTCTTCAGCCCCAATCCACCAATTCTTCGTTTATGCAATCGCAGCCCAGCGCCTATGTGCCACATGATACACAGTCGGTGCCACAAGAAAACCTCACTGCCGTGAGCCCAGCAGATGTCCAGAAGTTTCTGCAATTGTTCACCAGAACCGTGGGTTCTCCCTCCGGTGAGCTTTCTGGCACCAGAGCCCGCGATATTTTCATGAAATCCAAGCTTCCAACGCCTACTTTGGGTCAGATTTGGGTTTTGGTCGATCGAAAGAATTTGGGCAAGCTTGATATGCCTAGTTTCATCATCGCTATGCACTTGATCCAGGGCTTGTTAAGTGGTTCAATTAAACAATTACCACCATTTTTACCAGAAACAGTGTGGCAGTCTGTCGAGCAGTCCACGTTACAATCTTCACAGTTGCAGCAGCCTCACGATCCTCTGGCTCAAACTGGTTCTAGACAACCTTCCTATGCATCTGTTAGCTCGCAGCAGACCACGGTCCGCCACGACAATCGTGCACCTTCAGGCTCTCTTCAGCCTCCTGCCACGCCACAGAGCTCAGATTGGGTGGTTACTCCCACTATGAAAGCACAGTATGATTCGATTTTCAATAATCTCGATAAGTCACACTCGGGCCAATTGAGCCCCGACCAAGTTGCGACGTTCTTAATGACCTCCAAATTGGGCCAGCAGGATTTGGCATCGATTTGGGACTTGGCCGATGTCCAGAACACGGGAATTTTTACTCCAACAGAATTTGCAATTGCACTCTATTTGGTGAACAAGAAACTCGGCGGCGAGGACCTTCCTCATATTGTCCCTCAGTCCTTGATCCAGTCCATTGAAGATTCGAAAAATGCTGCTCCGCAACCAACTGTCTCAAAATCAAGTCAGCCAGTGGCTGCTGCCCCTCCACCTAAACCATTGCAAACTCAAAAAACAGCCATGGACGATTTGGTGGATATCTTTGGTTCTCCTACTAAAACACAGCCAGATACTGATCCCAACGCTAGCTCGCCAAACCCAAGTGCAAACTTTTCGGAAGCTCCAAGAACAACAACTGGTGAACTTCCTAGGGTTCGTGGACTCCAGCAATTCAAACCATCTTCTACTTTTGGCCAAGGATTAGTCAAGGCACAGTCTCCAGTTCTTGAAGTCGATGAAAATCGTGATGTTTCCCAATCTTCACAAAATTCTGCAAATGTCCAAAAATCCGAAGCCATTCCCGGCCTGCCACAAAAGCCAATACAACTTTCGCAGTCCAATATTCAACCCCAAAATCTGGGCCTGCTGCTGGCACATGCTGTCAATTACGATGCCTTGAGAAGCGTGCCTCCACCTCCTCGTACACTGTCTCAGTTAACTCCTCTGTCACCAGGCCAACCCACCACCCAAAATCGTGATTTGCTTGCTGATACCTCATCTCCTGTTTCGGGAGAGCTATCTAGGGCCACTACAGATATCGCAAACGTATCTAACCAGATTAAATCGCTAGCTTCTCAGACCTCGGATCTTCATGAAACAAAGTCTCGTGCCGAGCAAGAACTCACTCGTATTCTCACATCGAAGAAGGAAATCGAGTCCAAGTTGAAACAGTTGAGATCGTCATACGAGAATGAGGTTAAGCAAAAGGAAGAAGTGGAAGCGAACCTTGCTGCTGCCAAAGAAGAAACGGAAGCTTTGAGATCGGAAGCTTCAATCTCAGAGGCCAAATTCAACCATATTTCTTCAGAGCTCAATGGAAAGCAAATGGAAATGGAGGAGTTACAAAAACAGAACTCTACACTCAAAGAGAGACTTGGAGAAACGAATGCGGAGATAGTTGAGCTTGAAAAGCAGTATGAAAGAACGGCAGCGGAAAACCAAAGATTGACCAATCAAGTTTCTGTGAAGCGGTCCCAGCTCCAGGTTTCAATTGTCAAGAATGAAAACTTAAAGAGAACTATAGAAGAGTTGACATTGGCAAACCGCCAAATGGTTGAAGAATTGAGCACTTTTGAGGCAAGAGAAAAACAGGCAGCTGATGAACAAAAGCGACTTCAGGATGAGCACGAGCAGGCACAGAAGGAACACGAAGCAAAATCCAAAGCTCTTTCAGATAAGAAAGAGAGTAACACTGGATCTGGACTAGCATTGGGAATCGGTGCAGGAGTCGGTGCAGCCATTGCTGGAGCAGCAGGTTTGGCTAAGTCTGTGGCTGGTGGTTCCCATGATGAGGTCGAACCCAACGAAAAAGATCATGGAGATAAAGGTTTTACACACGAGTCTGAAAGTGCGCCAAAAGAGAAGGAGACTTCTCCAGAAAATGCAAATGTTCCTGGTTCTCAAAATGCGCAGTTTGTGTCCACGACCACTGAATCAACAGCACCCGCTCGTCTCGTCACATCGGCAGACCTGGATGGTTCCGTTGAGCCAAGTGTTGGAGGACCTTCCTCAATTGCTACGAACACTTACAATGATTTTACGCCCGTAACGTCGCCTAGCAATTCTGACTTCCAGTTCCCAGAAGGAGCAAGTGCGGCAATTGCGACTGGAGTTCCAGGAATGCCAGGAGATTTCCATGGTGTACAGAGAACGGACTCTTTGACTTCTAGTGTTCAAAATAACGCCGCCATGTCTGTTCGTGATGACAATATTGATGTCAGTGACCGTGACACGATACCAGCTTCACACGAAGATGCCACTACTCAAGCTGATACTGAGACCATAGCACCACAACTGCGCAACGCAGAAAACGACTCTAGTGATGCCGATAAAGTATCGTCTGGAGTGGGCTCTTTTGAAATTGTCAATGCTGAGGATACGGAGCAACTGGAACAGCCAGAAGCCAGCCATCCAAGTTCGAGCCACCGGGAGGCATTCATCATTTCGAACCCATCGCTTGAGCACCAGCAAAGGTCTCCTGATATAAATAGTGAGTTCCCACCTATTCGTGAGCTCGATTACGATGAGAGTTCTTCCGACGATGGCTCGCAGCATTTCGACGATGCATTGAGCGAGCAAGCCAGAGAACGGTCCAAGGAACCCAGAGATGACTTTGACGCTTCATTTTCAGGTTTGGAGCCTGCGACTGAAGAAAAAGCATCAAATTCGAACGATCCGTTTGACGAGTTTGATGGCTTGGAAGCTGCTCGCGAGGAAGACACCAACGGAGACGACGACTTTGAAGGACCTCCTGATTTTAGCGAGTTCACACAGTCTTCTCATGGCGCATTAGTCGACACCAATGGTGCTGGTGAGTCGGATGGGAAGTCTGGAAATGACGAATGGGAGCAATTGTTTGCTGGTTTCGGCAATGCTCAACAACAACCTCAACAAGCTCCACAGAACGGCGTACAAAATGGGTTTGATAAAGATCGTGAAGCGGCCGTACAAGAGCTTGTAGGCATGGGATTTGACGACAAGACTTCAAGACAAGCACTTGAAAACGAAAACTGGAATTTGGAGGCAGCCACCAACTACCTCTTGGACCATGCTTGATTATGTAGTAAGATATGAAGAAGAGAAATGTAGATGAGTTCTGATAGATGATAATTATCAGGAAACTACAGAAAACTACCAGGAAACTAATGAATTGTCATATCATTTACTAATTTATTTGCTTATTTAACATTTTAGAGGTATTTTGTTGAAAACTTTTCAGCTGATAATTTTGCAGCTGCTTTTTATACCTTTTTTTAGTGCAATATCTTTTTCAACGCCTCTTCGACGTCGCCAACATCGTACTCTTCCTTGTTCAAATCCTGTAAGTCGGCCACTGGACGTTCAGCCTGAGGTGTGATTCTGAATGCATGTCTTGAAACTGGAGTGTCCCAGTCAACAATTGCAGAATGAACCACCAACCTGTTATCCCAAACGACCACCGAGTTGGGTTCCCACTTTGCTCTCAATTGCAAATCGTGAGCTTTTTCAATATGATCATAAAGAAAGTTAAGAAGGTAATTAGATTCCTGTTCCTTCAACTCCACGATTTTTCTCGAGAACGGTCTGTTCAAGTAAATGAACTTTTCTCCCGTACCAGGGTGGACTCTAATCAAAGGATGAATACTGGAAACTGGTTTTCTTCTCTCGATACCTCCCAAGCCAACAGCATCTCTTGCTTGGTCTGCAGAAGTGTGAAGTACGTGCAAGCCTTCCAATCTTTTTTGAAACTCAGGCGACAATCTTCTGTAAGCCTCTCTTACATCGGCAAAGATGGTGTCTCCACCAGCATCGGGACCTTCCAATACAGAAAAAAATGTTGTTCCTGGTGGTTGCAACTCATAGGAAACATCCGAGTGCCAGCCTACGGCGTTTGTTCTTTGAGCAAAAAGCCTGTCGAATTCGTTTTTGTCGGCTCTTCTGTAGGTAACATGGATCTCTGGGTGGTCCTTGGGAGCTCCACTGGTTGGGTGGATGTGCAATCTGCCAAAATGACGACCATATTCCACAGCAAATTGAGGTCCATGTTTGGCAAAATCCTGCTCTCTAAAGATAACCACCCCTCTTTGAGCAACATACAACGCCAATTCGTCCTTTCCCTTGTCGTCTAATTGCGACAATTGAATCCCAGTAACCTCCGTACCCAACTTGGGTGTAACTCTCTTAAGGTCATATTTCACATCCTTGGGGAACAAATTGGGGAAGCTTGGATCAGCACGAGCACCTGGCTCCTGGTGCTTGAAAAACTTCAAGGGGGCAAATTTTTGTTTTGGGTCCCAAGTAGGCAAGAAATCTGGATAGTGAGACTGTTCTCTGTTTTGCTTGTTCACCACCAAAACTCCATCTTGGTCGACCTCGTCTTGGTCTTGGTAATAGTGAATATCGTTATTTTGAAAAGAAACCATTTTCAGATGTATCCCGCAAATTAATAGATCTTCCCCCTTAAATACAATCGGCAGAATGATTAGCAATCGGTGATGCCACCACAGTTTTGCAATTTCATGTATATTGCAACCATTCTTGCTGCAACCAAATCCCAATCGGGAAACTCTCACGATAAGTCAGGTGCCGCCACAGTTTTCGCAGCAAATGCTGCAACGGCCGAGAAAACTTACAGTGATATGGTCCGGAAACATGTATTATGATATCGTCATCGTGATATCGTATAAGGTATATGAATGTTGTATGTAGTTGTGGTTATTGTGGTTATTGCTTTTTTTTCGAAAAGAAGTCTTTTGATTACGAAAGCACTCTCTTCAATGCCTCCGCAACGTCCCCTACATCATACTCGGGCTTGTTCAAGTCCTTCAAGTCTTCCACGGGTCTTTCGGCCTGTGGGGTGATTCTGAATGCATGTCTCGAAACTGGAGTGTCCCAGTCAACAATGGCTGAATGTTCGACCACTCTGTTGTCCCATACCACAACAGTGTTAGGTTCCCAGCTAGCACGCAATTGCAAGTCATGGGCTTTTTCAATGTGGTCGTAAAGAAAGTTGAGCAAGTAGTCGGATTCTTCTTGTTTTAACTCAACGATTCTCCTGCTGAAAGGACGGTTCAAGTAGATGTACTTTTCCTTGGTAGCAGGATGTTGTCTGATCAATGGGTGGATATTAGAAACTGGAGCTCTTCTTTCTACACCACCTTGACCACGAGAATTCTGAGCCTGCTCGTTGGAAGAGTGCAACACATGTAAGCCCTCCAATCTCTTCCTGAATTCTGGCGATAATCTTCTGTATGCTTCTTTGACATCAGCAAAAATGGTGTCTCCCCCAGACTCCGGTCCTTCCAAAACTGCAAAGAACGTGAGTCCACTGGGCTGCAACTCGTATGAAATGTCCGAGTGCCATTGCACGGCAGTGGTGGTTTCGGAGAAAATCCTGTCGAATTCCTTTTCGTCAGGTCTTCTATAAGTAATATGCAATTCAGGGAACCCTCTTGGCGCTCCAGAGGTAGGGTGGATATGTAATCTTCCAAAGTGTCTGCCGTACTCAGTGACAAACTTAGGACCTTTTGCAGCGAAATCTTGGTCTCTGAAAACCACAACGCCTCGCTGGGCAACATATAATGCCAATTCGTCTTTGGCCTTGTCGTCCAATTGCGACAATTGCACCCCACGGATCTCGGTACCCATCTTGGGTGTGATCTTCTTGGCCTTGTACTCACCGTCCTTGGGGAACAAGTTGGGGAAGCTAGGGTCGGCACGAGCACCAGGATCATGGAATTCAAAGAACTTTAATGGAGGATACTTCTCCGAGGTATCCCACGTTGGCAAAAACTCGGGAAATTTGGCCTGGTCGCGAGCATGTTTACTGACTCTCAAAATTCCATCGTCGCCAACCTCGTCAACGTCTTTGGAAAAGTGGGTGTCGTAGTTACCGTAGATTGCAGATGACATCAAGCTAGTATCAGTTGATTTCAAATTAGTGGAGAACTCGGGCCGCTTTATATAGCTTCAAATTGCACGAGACTATGCTAAACTGTGGCTGCTCCGATGGTCGGACGAGGCACAGTTTTCGAAATGAAAAGTAAGTTAAAACTTAATTGGAGACGTAAAAGCTATCTTTGTGAAGCAATGAATTCGATGCTGTCACAAAAACGTCAGGATGTTTATACAAAAACAACAGAGAATGTTCTTTGCAAAAAAAAACAAGTGTGGCGTTCCTTTTATATTTCCGGTCGAACTCGAACGACTGCGAAAAAATTCCCCGATAGGTATGCCCTCGCATCATCGCATGTGATTTCAAGCCTAATTGGGTTTCGGTTTACGTGGACGTTTGGTTTGTGTGCCGTCCGTGCATATGTAACTCGCCGGATTTGACGCACGATAGTGCTAAGTGCGGGAAAAATAGGAGAAAGATGATTCGAGATAATTCGACCTGGCGAGAAAGTAATAAAAAGCCAGTGTTTGGAAGTGGAGCCGAAACCTATTATTGGATTGAATACAAAGAAAATTAGTACTTGTAACTTAGATGTAAAGCTTATACTTTAATCAGCGATACTCGTTCTACATTGTCTTATCATTCTTGACGCTTATCGGTGTAATCACAAACTCCTTGATATAGAATTCCTACTCGGGTTTCATGTTCCTTGCCCCTTCACTTATCTTTTAACCGAGACTCTTTAGTGTCCTGCATATCGTCCGATGACTACATCTGGTGGAACGATCCAATTGTGCACGCGAGCGGCGCGACGCGATCCACTACACCCGAGCGACCCGCAACACCTGAGCAAACTTGTGTGGTTGGTACACGAAGTTTCCTGATGCGGCACTCGGTTTCTCCTTCTTTTTTGGTCGTTTGGCGAGATGGCTGCAAACGCTTACAAAATTGTGTATAACGTTACAATTCATTACCATTACCCGTTCTATAACCTTATCTATACCGTCCAGCGGCCGCTCAAACGTTGATATCGCACACGCGATTGTTGTCGACACTGGTGACATAAAACTGACATTTTATCCTATCCTGTTCCTCCTTTGGAGTTAATCGTGGCGATGAAGTTGGAGACAACGCGCCATTGTTTGATGTTGTTTTCCCTGCTTTTTGTGCCTTTTCCGCGCGTGGGGGAAGCATAACATAGTTGACTTCGGAATCTAATACGGTGGCTCCTACTATAGGAGAAGCAGCAGGCGTGGGATAGTGACTGGTAGCATTTTGAATTGGTGAAGAAACTTCTTTCACAGCTACTGACACTTGTGGCCAGCAACACTGTAAGAAGTTGCGAGTACACGCTTGACATTTGCCATCAACCTTGTCTTCATCACACTTTTTTTTACGTTGGCGACATGTAAGACAGCCTGATTTTGTTCTTCGCTTAACTGGTTGCAGCTGAGGTTTTCCCACCCTATTTGTGCGTCTCGACGACGGTTTCGATGGTGCTGATAGATTTATCACCTGCTGGTACGACTTGTAGTTCGTTTCGACCATGGTTTGTGTATATGACGCATTTGTGATGGATTTTCATGTCTTTTATACGAACAGGGCGCTGACTGATTTTCATGGCCGGAAACAGCAACTAAGCGCGGTGCGGTGCCCATTACGGAAAGTGGTGTCGGTCGCACCTGCTGTTCGCAGAAATACCACTGCGGTGCCGTCTGAGCAGACTAGCGCACTGGGTGCAGGTAGAATTGGCCCTGTGCAGGTACCAAGTTACTAGGTCCTAGTTACTGGGTCCAAAATACTGGTTCCAAGATACTGAGCCTAGTTGACTACTTGTTGACTTGCAACTAATATTCACTCCAGGAAGCTCTACACAGACATATCGCGTAATTCATCATATTTACAGAAAGATATACACTGGATCTATGCATGGAAGTCTTTTGGAGTTTACTCAATTCCGACACTAGGTCACTCAAATACGGTGTCTGGCATCCTTTGGAAGATGGAGTGGCGACCACACTCCTCTCACAGACTCGTTGTCTGATATAACCTTGTGGTTCCATTTGAATAATGGGTTCCCGCTGGCTTGTGAGTACTCATTTACAGTCTTGATCAACAGCTTTAAATCCATATTGCGAACATCAACGTCCCGGGTTTTGTCAGGACTATAGTGGAAGGTGAGCTTTGGAGGACCAGCTTTTTTAACAACCTCAAAGAAAATTCCCGGCTTTTCTGTTGCAATTTTGTTCAAAGTACCCGATGAAAGAAGGTGCCTAACGCCAGTAGACGACCCTCCCCAGTTACAGTATTGGATTTTGACTCTGTGACATGGCAACACGAAGGCCCCGAGTCCGTTTCGACTTATGGAGACCTTGGGTATTCCTTTTACTGGCATTGTTGAGTCGGCAAGAAGTGAAAAATTGTAATGAGAAAAGTGCGCGTAGTATGCAGGTTGAAACACACCCTACATCTGAACATGATATCTTCTCGTGACATTATATCTCTATTAGGCATAAATAGGTTGAACTGAATTAAAATGAGCAGGTTGAGCTGCGTGCTTGTTTCCTAGCTTACGACGTCGGCACCATCGACTTCTGTAGAAATGTCTTCATCATTGGAAAGCTTGTAAAATTTGTTGCGCCAAAATCCATCTTCTCCCAAAACTTCTTTGCTCACCAAGGTGTATCCGCCGAGATGGGGCAATACCTTAGCCCAGAAGATCCAGTAGACGAAACCAACCCCAAAAACACCCCAAGTAACCACTGGATGAATCCAGTATGGAAGACTATTGTAGACACTTTGTCCATGTGAAGGTGGAATATAAGGAGCAACGATAAGGTACAATGACGACAAGAAGAAGAAGGCAACGACTGGAACAGTTGCCTTGATTGGAGGATTCCATTCAGCTTTCCCTTTCCATTTTTGGTAGTTCAAGTATAACAAACCGGCTGCAACTGCGGTATTGACGACATTCAATGGGTATGAAATCAAGTTGAGAATGAAGTTGTAGGCATCTCCTGGAGGTGGAGCCACGATTGTGACAATACAGACGATCCAATGTTGAAACAAACCCACAAATGGAGATCTGAAAGGTTTGGAGGTTGCAAAAAAACGAGAAAATGGAAGACTACCTTCACGACCGAGAGCCTGGACGATTCTTCCTTGGGAAAAGATCACAGACATGACGTTTCCCAACGCAGACAAAGCCACAAAGACCGAAGCAGCTTTTTCTGCGGTATCACCAAAGGCATACTTGAAGAAAGAAGCCGCAAGAATACGACCAGACAGCGAGATTTCCTCCTTGGGAACCACGGCAAAGTAGGCAATGTTCACAAACATGTAGAGAACCACCAACGAAAGAAAGGCAGAAGGAGCAGCAATCTTCAAGATTCTTACTGGGTTCTTGACTTCACCCAATGCGTAGTTGACATTCGAGTATCCAACATATGACCAAATCACATTGTACAAAGCATTGACGATTCCAAAACCTCTGGGTGTGGTTCCCAGAAACGCATCTGAGAAATTGTGAGTTTTATGGAAATCTTTATTCTTGATTCCTCCTCCCAAGGCGACCCAGCCAGTGATGGAAATTAACACCACAATCACAACTTTGAACGTTCCCAACACATTTGCTACAAACAAACCAGTCTTCACGTGCAACCCGTTGATCAAAAAAGCAAATGTGATAACTCCAATTCCAATTCCTCGAGAGTTCCATTGGGTAACTTCTTTTCCAGCAGCATTGAGAAGATACTCACCAACCACCACCGAGTTTCCCGCAGCCCATCCCAAAAAGAACACGTATGACGCATACATCGCCGTCACGAAAAATCGAGGCTTCTTGTAGATATACTCCAAATAATTTTTCTCTCCACCGTTTCTCGGTATAGCCAGTCCCAACTCCATGTACACCAACAATCCAGAAAAAGCAATTAAGGAACCGGCTGCCCACATAATAAGCGAAGTCCCCACACTTCCGGAAAGAATAAAGATAGTAGATCCGGTAGAGAAAACTCCAGCTCCGAGCATACGGTTCAAACAAAGAAAAGTTGCAGATATAAAACCAATTTCTTTTTTGTTCTGATCAAGTTGCACCACCGCTTCCGGGTCCCCGCTCTTCAACGACCAGTTTTCAATATACTTATCCTCCTCCTTGTCGGAGGATTTCGACAGTCCCAACATATTAATTACAAATCAAGGTGGGCTGCAATGGAATTTTTATAGCTTGCAGAAAAAATCAAATTGTTCCGGAACCGGTCGCAGCCACGGTCGGATCTTTTTGGTATTTTGTATGATGACGCCGTGCCAATTCACCCTCGGTAATACCCTCGGATCTCGCAAAACGCCGCATGTTGCAGCACCCTTGTTCGGCTGCTGCAAATGCCCTTTGCGCCACAGTGGAGATCTCGGGCGGAAATTTCTGGGCGGTCTGCCAAGAGGCATGATAGTGGAGGTGGCATGCATCTTCTTTGCTGAAACGGGTGTGGGCATTGAGAAGTTGTAAAACGCCGTAGATTGCAGCGAGTAATTTCACGTGATTGGCATGCACGTGATCTTAACGAGTTTGGCACATTTCTTTTTTCGTTCTAAGCGATTTCGCAGTTGCAAGCAGCTGCGAAAGTCAGGTGGGTTACATGCACTCCAGCAACCGTTGAAGCAGCACGGTACAATAATTGTAGACAAACGTAAAATGTCGAGTCCTCGAGCCAAACGACCCAAATTGGAGCGGTTGTCGTCTTTTTATAGCGAATACTATCCACGACCAAAACCTGATCTTCTGTTAGTACAAAAGTATCTTAAAGAGGAGAACAAACCTTATCATATTCTCAATCGGACTTTGGATGAAACCGCCGATGCTAGATCTTCTATACGTCCTCAGGGATGTGTAGGCCATCTATTCCTCCGCGACTTTCGCCAGAGCGATAATACTGGTCTCAATGCTGCTAGTCGAATGGCTGCGAAAGAAAACCTTCCGTTGGTGTGCTTGTATGTTTTGTGCCGGGACGATCTTTTTGCCCATGGGGTAAGTGGATTTCAATTGGAGTACCGTTTGCGATCGCTCGAGCTTCTCCGGGAAGAATTGGCTCAGAAAAACATCCCGTTGGTGTTTTTAAATGTTGATGAACGCAAGGAGGTTGTACCTATTGTTAAAGAGAAGGCTCAGCAACTCAAGATTTCCCATCTTTTTGCCAACATTGAGTACGAGGTGGACGAATTGCGTCGCTATACCAATCTTTGCAAAGAACTTTTGAAGGCAGATATCAGTTTCCAACCTCATAATGATACTACCTTGGCGGTGCCTGGTACCATCGTCACCAAGTCAAAGGGCACACAATTTTCCGTTTTTACTCCATGGTACCGTGCGTGGTGTGCCCACTTGAACAAAATGAAGGACCCTTTTCAAGTTCGTGCCAAACCTGAGGCCAATTCAGACGAATTCAGGCAAAGAAATAGCCATCTCTTTGACCTGAAAATTCCTCAGGCTCCTCCAGGAAAGCAATTGACAGAAAAGCAAAAAGAAGCCTTTGAAAAATACCACAAGCCAGGCGAAAACGCAGCGTGGGACGATCTTCAAGACTTTATCACCTCGGGTCGTATAAAGCGCTACAATGTTGACCGCAATGATCCATCGGTAAATGGAGTTTCTCGCATGAGCGTACACTTTGCTTCGGGCACCATTAATGCCCGGACGGTTATTCGTTCGTTACTAGACCACAAGCTCCTTCGTACCATTGATTCTGGGAACGATGGTGCTCGAGAATGGGCTCGTCAAGTTGCTTGGAGAGATTTTTATCGTCATGTCTTGTGTAATTGGCCTCATATTTGCATGTTCAAGCCATTTATTTCAAATATGGACGAGGTCAAATGGGAATACAATTCCGACCATTTCGAGAGATGGTGTCAGGGTAAAACTGGTTATCCCATTGTGGACGCTGCTATGCGCCAATTGCTGGAAATGGGTTACTTGCACAATCGAGTTCGAATGGTGGTTGCGAGTTTTTTGTCAAAACACTTGATGATCGATTGGCGAGAGGGTGAACGGTACTTTTTAGAAAACTTGGCTGATGGTGATTTCCCTTCAAACAATGGTGGTTGGGGCTTTTCTTCAAGCGTGGGTGTGGATCCTCAGCCATATTTTCGTATTTTCAATCCATGGACCCAAGCTGAAAAATTCGACAAAAAAGGAGATTATATTAGAAAATGGCTTCCGGAGCTTCGTGAAATACAAGACGTCAAGGGTATTCACAACCCGTACGAAAATGGGTACAGACAAATAGCGGAGAAAAATGGTTATCCTCCTCCCATTGTGGACCATAAAACTGCTCGCGAACGAGCATTAGAACGTTACAAAGAAGCAAAGTACTAAAAGATTTCATTAAACTGTATTAGTTTTTATTTTATCACTGTATTAGTGTTTTACTGTTATGCCTGTAGCAACTTGACAATCTCCTTCAGAGCTGCCTCGATTGCATCTTGTTTTCCAACCAAGTAAATGAACTGCTCGTGCTTGTCACCTTTGCGAGGAACAATTACAAACACATTGAATTTCTTGCGAAGTTGACTGATACGAGCTCCTTGAGGTCCAACAACCTTAGAAAACAGTCCTGGGTTGCTGGCGAATATCCATCCTCTACTGTCGGCTTCCTTGGCAAATTGTAAACGTTCTTTGATCAACTCGGCGGCACGAGCAGTATCTTCTTCGCTACCAACCAACCGCCATGGAATGGTATCCTCTTCCAGTACTGGCTCCGCTGAAGAAATGGTAACTTTTGTGGGTTCTTCTGACTCAGCAAATGCCTCTTCTGGCGGAGTAGGAATTGAGGCATTGGTCAACTTGGATGCCTTTCTGGTCAAGTTGCCATGGACAACATCGATATTGTAATCGGTCTTCAACTTTCTGAAGATGCCTCCACGCTCAGAAACCAAAATGTGGTATTTTTCAGGAATCTCCAATTCGACTTTCCATTCGTTTTTGGTAAGTTCGTCGAGCTTGGGTCTCAATTTGGCAATGTTTTCTGGCAAACCAGTCAATTTGATGATAGAAGACATATCGCTGGGGCGAGGAATAGCGATAGAAACCTTGAATTCGTCTTCTAAAGCATGACGAACAGAGCCTCCAGGACCGACAAGACGACCATGTTTCTCCTTTGGCAACTCGTATTGTTCACTTACACTTGCCTCCTTTTCAGCTACAAGCGCTTTAACCTGTTCTATGATCTTGGCAATAATTTGCTTGTCACCTTGACAAACAATTTCGTCAGACCCAGAGCTTTCAGATGGCATTGCCATAAGTTTGTAATACTTTGGTCCAGAGAGTTCTGCACCTCCAGCGTTGGCAATAATCTCCTTCATCTTTGAGCCTCCAGACCCTATGATATCACGATGGTACTTGGGGTCGACCTTGATGGTTTCAGAAACAGTGTTTTCAACTTCATTGATAATGTCCTGGATCTTCATCTTTGCTTCTCTCAATGCAGATTTAGAACCTATGAGCTCCAACTCAGACGACTTTTCCGATGAGTTTTCTTCCTCGTTTGCCTTGGCATTCTTTTTGAAATGGTACTCAACTCCAGCACCGTCGGCAATATCGTTGATGGTGGCTCCACTCTTTCCGATCACACGAGAAATCGCTTGTGCTGGAATATGGAGTATTTCTTGAAACCCATTCTCTTTCTGGAATTGATAGAACTCCTCCAATTCTTGCACCGCTTTGGCAACTCCTTTCGAAGGACCTTTTACTGTGACTTCGTCTTTGTGCTTTGGAGCATCGGAAAATGTCGACGCAAAGCTTTCAGCGCTTGGGAACCGAATCTTGACATTATATTTGTCCTGCAAGCGAGTGATGTAAACGCCGTTGGCTCCTATCAACCGCCTGTGGAACTTGCTTTCAATGTTCAATCTTTTGACCGTTTCGTCAGCCCACTTTTTGGACGTCTCAATCATATTTTTCTTGCACTCCTCGACGTTAAATTTGGGTCCGGTGATGGTGATGGAAGTTTGATTTTGGGATTGTTCACTTTCATGCTCTGGAACGTTGATTTTAACACCATATTTCTCCCTCAAAGAAGTCATATTAGCACCATTTTTTCCTATCAAGCGAGAGAGTACTGATGAAGCTACCACAGCAGTAGACGAGTAGTTCTCTCCATGTTCCCCGGCATCGCTTAACACAGCATTTATCAAGTCTTTGACGATCGCTACTTGGGTCGCAACTCCACGAATGAGCACTTCATCTGCATTAGAATGAAGCTTTACCTGAACACTATTAGCATCTGCGGAATCAGTAATGAGCTTTAAGGTGGTGTTTCTTGGACCAGCAATTTCTCGCTGTTTCGAAGAGGAAACCTTGATAACAACCGTATCCAAGTCCTTTTGCAACTCACGCAATTTATTGAGCTCAGTATCCACCTCGGTGAACGCTTCGTTAGTGTCGACGAAATCAAAATCCTCCAGTTCGTTCAGAAAGTTAAACAAGGTGATGTCGGAACCCAAAATGACAAAACTCACATTATTTTTTTCTGTAACGTCTTTGATAGTTTCTTTGACCAGAGGCATCAAAAATGAGTCAATGTCAGAAATGACTTTTGTGGAGGAAGGAGAAATGGAGTTAACATTGGCCACAATGGCCTTCTTTGCGTTCTTAGTATTTTCTGCTTGATCATTCTTGACGACAATCTCGATGGGAACACTGGTCGTAGCACTATCTGCCAAGACTGAAACATCTGGAACGTTCAACGAAACGTCATTTTCTCGTCCAATTCTGTCGAACGTACCATTCTGCTTCAAGAGCGTAGCAACCGCCTTAACGTGGGTCAAGTTTCCATTGTGTGCCTTTGCCATATCAAGTGCCTCTACTTTGTACAGAGAGGTGGTGGAACGTGCCATTTCTTGGGCTTTAGGAATGTCTTGTTTCTTTCCAACGAATTTTACGCTGGATTCTCCATCCTTGGGAAGCTGAATCAAGACGTTGAACGCACGAAGCACATCGTCAATTGGCAAGAATTGGTGTTTAAGTTTTGGAATCGGAACTTCTTGGGTGGATATTTGTGGAGCCAAAGCTTCGAGGGTATCGATGATCTCCTGCTTTGCTTCGAGGACCAATTCTCGGTCACCTACCAAAGTCACCGAGTTTGAAGGCGACGAGTAAATAGGCGCCGAAATATCCAACGATGAAAATTTGGAGATTATAGGAGCAATGGCATTGGCAACGAAAGGCTTTAAGGCGTCGTCAACGGGAAGACGAACAGACAACTCTTTGATTTCGTCCTTTACAATGGCCAAAATTCTGCCCTTGGCATGTTTGCATCCCTCGACATCTCCCTCAATGGACACCGTCACCACCAGCGAGTAGATGTCGTCGGGGTCCACACCTTCGACTTCCTGCGGATTTCCAATATCAATCTTGACATCGTTATCGGCAATGATAGGCTTCAATGTGCGTCCCTGCTGACCAATGACCCTCGAGCGGACCTTTGCCGGGATATCAAACGAAATTTTCACGGGCTTGGTGAGTCTTTTGATCACCATTCTCTTGGCATCGCGAACCTGGGCAGGTTTACCAGTAATCAAAAATGTCCGTTTTTTGGTATGTTGCGACGTAGTACACTCAATGTTGGTGTCTGTGTCACCACGGATCTGGGTCAAGATCTTGATGAACTCGGTCCGGGCCACATTGAGCTGGTCTTCGACATCCAATGAAAACGCTTCTTGGATAGTTGACGATTTAAACTTTCCAGCAGCAACAGAAACCGCCGGTTTCGATTCCAGTGGAGCGGATTCAGAGGCATTGGCTCCCTTTTTCATCAGCGGACCCCAAGAAGACAAAGTGGAAAAACTAGCCTTCTTTCCACCCAATGTGGGAAACGCCGATTCGTCAGTTACCGACGGAGTTTTCGGCGAGTCAGTAAGTTCCAGCGAATTAGAAGGAGTGGCGTCGGTCGGCGCAGCGTCAGCTTGGCCATTGACACGAGCAGCAATGATTTCAGCTGGTGTAGACATGGTAAATCACAAATGGGAGAAGCACGAAAAAAGATTGAAACAAGAGGAAACGACGACAAGAATCACAACACGAGCCAGATATCACACGAGTGGAGTTCCAGGATGTCTAGGTACACAAAGGTGATGCTAGAAGTGGTAGAAAAGCAAAAGGAGCCCTGGAACGAAGGTTGGGTAAATTGGATTTTTCAGCGTCCACGTAGCGCTGCGGCGACGCACGACGGTTTACGAGCGTAATTTTAATCGCTTGTGCGTCAACAATGGTGCGAATCGGACTTGGGCGATCTGCAAGATACTACTGACTACTGTAGACTAATTTAATTTGCTTTATACTACTGAAGACTATTGTTATTTTAATACTATTTGGGTTTGAGTATCGTATCGTATAGCTACTTGACTACAAAGTCTCGTATACAAGGACCCTCACCTGATACTCTTCATTGGCTTCGTCAATGTCTTCCCAGTTTCCAATAAAGTCATCGCCACGAACGACTCCGGGAAGAGTCTTGCCGGCTGAGTATCTTCTCCATATCTTCTTGGCTTCTTCATCTGTTCCCAAGTCTCTTTGAGTAAACTCAATGCCGTTACCTTTCAAAATCGTAGCGAGTCTGTTGGTACGGTGCATTATTTGCATTCCACCAGCAAAAGAAGTAAAGATGTAAACCGGCTGCGACTCGAGATGCTTGCGAAGTTCCTCGGGAGACACATCGAAATCGTCGTCGTCTTTCACCTCTTTCACGGGTTCCTTCGAAACTTGTACCCCTTTTTCAACCTGTTTGTCTTTCACCTGTTTGGAGGTTTCGTCTTTTTTTTCCTCTGGCTTTGTAACCATAGTTTCGCCAACGACATCATCATTCTTAGCAGCCGCAGGCTCTTTGTCTTCGGGTACCGAATCTTGATTTATGGGCTCCGTGTAGTCCGTGATCAAAGTCTTCTTTTCTGGTTCGGCCTCTTGGCTTTCTCCCTTCTTTTTGATCTCTTCAGTAGGATTCTCTTCTTCCTTCTCTTTCACATCAGGTGCTTCAACCTTGATATCCTTCTCGTCTTGATCAACGTCTTCGGATATCACATCGTTGGCTTTCTTCAGTTGGCCCTCAGTGGGAACAGCCAGCTCTTCGTTGTCTTCTGATGGAGCCAACTTCTCATGTGCCGTGTCACCTTCAGTTTCTACCTTTGATGTCTCAATGACTGCTGGTTCCTTTGTTTCATCTTTGGCATCTTCCTTCTCATCCTTGGTCGTTTCTTCCCTCGCTTCGGTTTCTTCCTTCTCGTTCGCTTTACCAGGAAGTTCTTCCTTTGCATCAGTCACGGAGCCCTTCTCACGCTCGCTATCATTGGACTTCTTAGTAGCGTCTGCTTTACTCACGTCAGTCTCAGGAATGGCTTTGTTCGGAGTTGGAGCCTCGGCTCCTTTCTCTTCCTTCTTGTCGTCTTTCTTGCCCAACACTTCCTCCATCATCGTATCCAAATGGTTGATAGACGAGTATGGGTCATCTGTGACAAGTGCTCCTTCGCTTATGAGCTCCTCGGGATCAGCGTCATTCTTTTCGGTGAGCTGGCTGTGTCTCTTGCTTTCTGGTTGTCTCGAACGAGATCTGGAGATAGAACGCAAGTAATTAGTAGACGAAGCAGAACGACCATTAAAGTACGTGGGTTCAGGAATATCCACATTGAAATTGGTGTAGTCTCCTGTGGTAAGTAAAGAAGCGGCGGAACTTGCACGGGCATCTTGATGAAACTTTTGCTGTTCACGAGCAGCTTCAGCTGCAGCAATCGAGTCACCCAATGTAGGTTTCGATTGTCTCGAGCGCCTATCACCATCGGTATTCTCCTCCTCCTCCGTAGCCTCCCAATCTGAAGGTAACTCGTACTTTGAAGGCTCATCTTCGTGGATATTCTTGTAGGAGTCACCACGAGCCAAATGAGGCTTCACTGACGAACGAGATCTGGATCTTTCGGCAATACGGCTTCTGTTTTGCGATCTCGATCTCGACCGGCCATCGTGCTGGAAGTACGGAGTGTGAAGACCTTCAGAGGGCCCCGTGTGTATGGCCACAGCGTCGCCAAAAGAGGCCGTAGTAGGCAGTGCCAGCGGCACTCTGGAGTCTCTTAAAAGCTGGGCATTCTTGGGCTCAGCTCGGTAGCCCGGAAGCTTATCGAGATTGTGAGATTTCACGTACGAAAGCATTTCGTTGTGGTCCTTGATCAGGTGCTCAAGTTGGTACTCGGAAAGATTTGGAGTGGAATAAAGGCCATCTTTCTTCGACTCTGAGTCGCCCACGGCAATTGAAGATTCACTAGCCGACGCCTTAGCGTCGACAGACTTGGAATCGTGAGAAACCAGCGACTGATCGTCCACATTTTTGGCCAACTCACCGTCCAGCTTGCTGGTCAGCTCGCTATCATTGACCTCATTTTTCAACGGAGACGACCGTTCTTTTACATTTTTTTCCTTCTTTTCCTTTTCCGCATTCTCGCCGTCGGTCTCCAAGTACCGAGCATCGTCCTTGACGTGACCCCCGTCGTCCAAGAACTTTTCAAAGTCTTCCTCCGAGCCCAAAAGTGCACCCTCAGAGATCAAATCGTCAAGCGAAGCTCCGATTTGCGAGTTCAACAACGAGTGAGCATTCTTGTTTTTGGGGCGAGTTTTATACTTTTCGGGGTGAATGTAGTTGTTATGAGGAGAATCGTCAGCGGATCGAAGTGACGACCCTACAAGAGAAGGAGACTCAAGACGCTCAGCTTTTTCCAACTGTTCTTCAAAATCCATCTGGGGAGTTACTGGGGTTGACTAACGTCACAATTGGCAGTAATGATGTGTATTTGTTGTGGTCACGAAACGGCACACAAACCTGATTCAAGAGAGCGTTTGCGGTTATCTGGGGGAGCGGAAGCACGGTGCAGGAATGTGGTCTAGAATAAGAGAGACAAGAAAGAAAAAGAAAAGACAAGAAAGAAAAAAGAAAAGACAAAAGAAAACAAACAAAATCTCAATTATACTCAATCAATACTCTAACGAGTATGTTAGATTATCGATGATCATACTAACTTTGACTACCAACCTAGCCGCTTCCTGCACACAGCCTATCGCAGCGCTTACTGCCGCACCAATGATTGGGCGCCCGGCGCGACCCACATCGTCTGAGGCGATTGCGATCGGGGATCCGATCCCTGGTGTACGGGTGCGCACTGTTTCGTTTTATGTCCGTGCTCGTGCAGGGCCGCTGTGGTGGGAAGGAACGGCATTTTTGCATTTCTGATTTTCATCTTATTTGTTATTCCACATTTAATTTTTTTTGTTGGTATCGGCTTGTTTCCTGCTGTACACTCCTGTAGTAGCAGTCTTCCGTTGATATCTTAAACGAAACCTTCACAGTTTTTGTTTTGTGTTTCCAGTCGTCTGGTCAAAATTACTCAGCGACACTAAATCACAAACAGGCATCAGTGGTGTTCTTTTTGTGAAATCGAACACAGATACAAACCTGCTTTACATTTGCCAAAAGGAATCCCACGTATTTGCCACCACATTTGTCACGGTTACAGATCAAAACCGGTTGTCAAACTAGCAAAATAACACCCCCTCGAAACAGTTGCAACAAAACACAGAATATCACAGTTTCCATCATGAGTTCCAAATCTGCCGCTGCCATCCTTCAGCGACAATTTAAAGACCTCACCGACCCCAAGAAAGGCATCCCTTCGTTCCACATCGAACTCGACGACGACAACATCTTCCTTTGGAACATCGGCATCATGGTGTTGAACAAGGAGTCCATGTACCACGGTGGCTACTTCAAGGGCCAGATGAGATTTCCCTCTGAGTTCCCGTTTGCTCCCCCAACATTCCGCTTCACCCCCGCCATTTACCACCCCAACGTTTATCGCGATGGCCGGTTGTGTATCTCCATCTTGCATCAAGGCGGAGACCCCACTTCCGACGAGCCTGACTCGGAAACATGGACACCTGCCCAGACGGTGGAGCTGGTGTTGATCTCCATCATCTCCCTTCTCGAAGACCCCAACGTGCTGCTGCCCGCCAACATCGATGCGTCGGTGGAGTTGAGAAAAAACCCGGAAGCATACAAAAAACGGGTCTTGCAGGAGGTGGAAAGATCCAAACAGGATATTCCCGCCGACTTCATTATGCCTGAAAGTGAACTCTATGCCTACGGTTCGGGTAATGCCCACGGAAAGGAGGCCGAGCACGAGCCTGTCGACGAGGACTTTTGGTACGATAGCGATGACGAAAGCTTCGACGAGGAAAGCCTCATGGATGACATGGACGACGGCGACGATGACGAAGAAGAGGAGGAGGACGAGGAAGACGTGGACATGGCAGCGAAATAAATAGATGCCGTTAGCTATACATTGCATGGTGATATCTGGTCTGAGTAATACATTTTGATTCTAGTACCCCTCGAGCCCCTTGGTAAGTGTTTCACACAAATTGTCGAGTTTGAGCTTGGCAACTGCGTCCAGCACATTGTCGTCGTAGAGAATGGTTACATACATGGGGTCGTCTCTAATCAGTGCAATTGCAAGTTTGAGCTTCTTGTCAAGGGTGACTATCGTCCACTGGCCGCTCTGTACTCTCACCACCTCCTGGCTATCATCACTGGCTTGCTGGCGCAAATAATTGACTCCCAAAAGTGAATATATTTTGACATTATCGCTTGATAGATTGAGTTCAGTTTCAAGTTCTGTGCTAGTAACGGTGGCTAGTGGAAGACCCGACGACGCAAGAAGCGAGATAGCCAACGGCCTGCTGGTTTCCGATTCGGTAACGGGCACCAAACCCTGTGCAAGCACCTGAGAAATTCGTTTCAGTTGCAACATAAAATGAATATGAGGAAAGAATAAGGAAATGTAACGGACAAAATTAAATTGTGAGTGGTGCTCTTTAAGTTGTGCTTTCAACTCTCGTGGTTAGTAGACGGGCGGATACGCAAAATCGCAAACTGAAAAGCGAAATGGAGATGTGGATTAAGAAGAAGATGGAGACGATAATGGTTAAAGTGTGGATTGTTAATTGAGTTGTGTGCAGGTGGTTGTGTGCAGTATATTATATATGACAAATATGATACAATTATGGAAACAAACCTTGATAAAAATATATACAGAAAGAAAGAGATAGTTCCGAGGCTGATTTCCGTTTACTGTTTTGGTTTTTAACTGTTTTCTATCCCCTTTTTTCTCTTCTCTTGTCTTTCACGCCCGTACACCAGCTTCTCACCTACGCGTTGCATCGCACTGTTTATTGTCAACGAATGGCATCTTGAACCCAGTGTCTCCAAACATCGGACGGCTAATTATTGACACCAGGATTGTTTCTCTGCATCAGCTCGAGTCCAGCATTTTATACAGAGCGCCATACTAATTTTGAGCCGTTCAATCTCGAATTCTCATCGTTTCTGTTTTTTTTAAAATCTAAACAAGTCCTTCAAAATTCAAATCATGGAGCGTACTCGGCCTCCTCTTAAGGAGACGAGTGCGAATGTCCCTTCGCCAGTGCACAAGAAGCAAAAAGTTCATCGAACAACGGTCAAAAGCATTAATATCAACAAACCTGACCTCCGTCTTGGCCACGAAGAAAAGAAGGAATCCAAAAGTCAACCTGAAGTAGAAGGCAGAGATGCCATTGAAGCCAGAGATGTAAAGGAAAAAGAGAAAGATACAAGAGGTAAACTTGTTGGTGAAGAGTTACTTGCCTGGCAGACTTCATGGAGAAAGATCATGCGTGAAAGCGTGGTTTACTTCGACACACAGGGAGGAGATAATAGTGTTGCCCAGGTGGCAGAGCAAAAGCGAGCCCAGAGAGCATTGAAGCTGGTGGGATGTAGCATTGTCCCCTTCTATGACCATGATGTCACCATCATTGTATCTCGAAGGCCGTTCGTAGCTTCTAAAGTGTACCAGGGCAACGATATATTTCACGACGCTGTGGAGCTTAAAATCAAGGTTTGGAGCTACGATAAAGTATTTCGGTTCTTGCGTTATTTGAGCTCTCCAGTACAAGACGTGAGACCTGAACTGAAACGCCAACAACTGACCCAACCTTCCAACCTTTCACATCTTCTTCGCGAAGAAAAAATCTTTGGAGCCACTGACAGAGACCCCAATGCCCGCCGAGATGACTTACATTATCTTGAAGGGCCATACTTGTATGTGTATGATATGGCGCAAACTGTCCGGCCCATTGCTGTACGCGAGTGGGGTGAATCTCCCTATCCCGAGTTTGGATTGACATTAGATGGAAAGTGTCCTTTCATAGCTGAAGGAGGTGATAATCTGGATAAAAAACGTCTCCGTCGATTACAAAAATTTGAGGCTACTCGCGAATATCGCCAAAGATTACGCCAAATATCGCATGACATCGTCCGTGGTCAACTCACCGACGCCACCCTTTCCGAAGCACCAGAGGATGATTCGCTACCTGCATTAACTAGCGGAGAAGCAATTGCTGCTGAAGAATTCCAACCCCCACCTCTCACTCGCGATTCGTCCATGCAACCAGCCAAGTTCTTTGAAGTTGCAGCCTCGGGTTACTACGGCGCATCTAATGCTCATGATTCTGCTTCTGCTTCCAATTCCGTCACGGGAAACGGACTTGGTCCCACGATTTCCGGTGTCCCATCTCGTAATGTCAATAATCTCAAGCGTCGTATTTTCATGAAACGTCGCCAAAAACAACACGATGAAAAAGAAAAGGACTTGAAGCCGGGATACTGCGAGAACTGCCGCGTCAAATACGATTGTTTTGAAGACCATATATCATCTAGCAGACATCGCAATTTCGCTGCTGACGATGCCAACTTCTCAGACATCGACAACCTCATTTCCACTCTTCACGATTGCAAGCAGTTTGGCTATGTAACTTCCAATGGAGAATTCCGTTTGGCATGAACCGCTTTCACGTCTGTTTTGCATTCTTAGCATAATAAAATTCATATATTGTAAACTCATGTTGCAGCCATCCACCATCACCTACATTCAAATTCGTGCTGCGAATTTTCATCACTAACTATGTTTCCAAGACTCGTCAGTCGGCGGTACTACTCCGACTTTATTAAGAGCCTACCTCGTGTAGGGGGCGATGGTGGATCGAAAGGGAATAGATTTGCAAATCAATACAAAGCAAGTGAATCAGAAAAGCCTAGAACCAAAAATTGGGGAAATTTTCAGAATCAAAAAACCAGATCTCCTCCTAAATCCGGTGCTCGAGCGACTCAGGGTGAGCCAGATAAGACAAAACTGTATAATGAGGCGCGTGAAGCGCTAAGAGAAAAGCAGCGGCAGCAAATGCCTATAAAAAAGTCACAGAATAGCACTATAAAACGACCTTCAAAGCCTAAACCACAAGTCGCAAAAATCAAGATTCAAATTCCCACTTTTGTAACAGTGTCGAATCTCGCTACAGTTCTTGGTGTTCCACTCAACGATTTCTTAAAGAAACTCCAGGATCTTGGGTTTGAAAACATGAGGCACAATTTCATTCTTGACAAGGAAAACGCAGCATTGATAGCCGATGACTATGGCTTTGACATCATAATGAACGACGAAACCGGTGCAGATCTCTTTCCTGTGGACGTAAAAGAGAATTTGCTTCGTCCTCGTGCACCTGTGGTGACTATTATGGGACATGTAGATCATGGAAAGACAACTATTCTTGACTATTTGCGCAAATCGTCCATTGTCAAGCAAGAACATGGAGGTATTACTCAGCATATAGGAGCGTTTTCTGTCATAACCCCCATTTCCAAAAAGAAAATCACCTTTCTCGATACTCCAGGGCATGCGGCCTTTCTCAAGATGCGAGAAAGAGGTGCAATTGTCACTGATATTGTTATCTTGGTAGTTGCAGCCGATGACTCGGTGATGCCGCAAACGGTCGAGGCGATCAAGCACGCTCAGAAATCTGGAGTTCCAATGGTTGTTGCTGTCAACAAGTGTGACAAGCCTGGTGTGAACGTGGATAAAGTACTTGCTGATCTTTCTAGCCATGGCATTGACGTAGAAGACTATGGTGGTGAGACACAGACGGTTCGAGTTTCTGGCAAGACCGGACTCAATATGGAAAAGCTAGAGGAAGCAGTGATCACTTTGAGTGAGATGAACGACTTCAAAGCAGAAGTGGAGCAGGTGCCTGCTGAAGGCTGGGTGATCGAGTCGCATGTAGCCAAAGGGATGGGCAATGTAGCTACGGCTCTTGTTCGTCGTGGAACCATGAAAGTTGGCAGTTTTGTCGTTGCGGGAACAAGCTACTGTAAAATCAGAGGCATGAAAGATGAGAATGGAAAAGTGGTCAAGGCAGCAGGTCCTTCTACTCCAGTGCAAATATGGGGCTGGAAAGATCTTCCAGAGGCAGGAGACCAGATGCTCCAAGCGCCAACCGAGCAAATGGCTAAGAAAGTTTGTGAAAATCGTATTGCTCGTCAGAAGCAAATCCAGGCAGGTAAGGACATTGATACTATCAACCAGAAGAGAATGGAAGAGATCAAGGAGCTCGAGCGACAAGAGAGAGCCAATGAGTTGAAACTCGCTGGTTTGGAGCCAACGATCGAAGAGGAGAAAAAGGCGGTTCTGGTCAAGTATATCATCAGAAGTGACGTTTTTGGGTCTGCTGAAGCCATCAAGGAATGCATTGATGGTTTGGGAAACGAAGAAGTGCGAGCTGTGGTGGTTTCCCATGAGGCTGGTTTGCCATCCGAGTCTGATGTTGAACTAGCCAAAGCACTTGATGCTACAATATTATGCTTCAATATGAAGACACCAAAGCAAATTCTGGCCAAAGCAGATAGAGCGGGTGTTGCTATTCAAGAACACAATGTCATCTATCACTTGATTGAACAAGTCACCGAGAAATTGACGTCGCTTCTTCCACCTCGAATCGAAGTGAAAATTGTAGCGGAAGTTGAAATCAAAGATGTGTTTACCATCACCTCCAAATCCAAAAGCAAGCTCAAAATTGCCGGATGCAAGGTCACAACCGGTCTACTTAAGAGATCGTCAAAAGTTAGAGTCATAAGAGGTGGAAAACTGATCTATACCGGAACCTTATCGTCGCTCAAGCATGTCAAAGATGATATCTCCGAAGCGAAAAAAGGAAACGAATGTGGTATTGGGTTCGACGGGTGGGACAAGTTCCAGCAGGGGGACCGTATAGAGGCTTACGAAGAAATAACCCACCAGAGATACTTATAGATTTTGTACATAGTTAACATGGGTGTCTTGGTGTCGGTGCCTGACTTCGAGCCAATTCGCGATGCGATGAGCTTCTAGGTTGCAATGGCAGATTACTCGTCTGATGAAGAGTCCATATTGGAGAATACTTCTGAGGTGTTTTTGGGTTTCGTAGATGTTCCCATTGAGAAAGATGATCCACCAACGATAGAAGATACATTCATAGGCGGAGAGCCAATTTGGCTCCATCCAGAATCAACTCCGTCTGAGTCCATGGTTACTTGTGACAATTGTAATAAAAAAATGGCACTTTTGCTCCAAGCTTTTGCGCCAGTAGACGGTCAGCTATATGATAGAGTGCTTTATTTGTTCGGGTGCAAAAGCACTGCTGTTTGTACGAAGAAAAAGGGCTCGATAAAGTGTATTCGAGGCATCTTGAAAGATCCCATAAAGATGAACCAATTGAAACAAGAGCAAGAAGAAGCAGCCCGCAAGCAGCTAGACGAAAAGTTGCGGCTTGAAGACAAGAAAAAAATGAAAATCGAGTTGACAAAAGATCTCTTTTCTTCTGGTAAATCAGACAATCCATTTGGTAATCCATTTGGAGCGTCTGAAAACCCTTTTGCCGTTGAGAAAAAGAAGGCTCCCGAGCCCAGCAACAAGCAGGAACCAAAAGAAGTGCTGGACACCTCTCCCGGTGCTCAAAGTGCTAGTATACCCGTTTCGTATGCCGAGGCTGTTGGACCTGCAGAACAGCCTTCTGCTCCCAGAAAACTTGACGAGAAATTACCCAGCTACCCTGGCTACTTTGTTTATGTGGACCAGGAGAAGTTCAAAAAAGTGACACTCGAGCCAGAACTTGAAAAATACAAAGATATTATCGAACAGGCAGAACGAGAGTCTGGAGAGTCAAGTCTGGGACGCCGCAATTCTACCAGTCTGGAACCACCTACCGATCCCGATAGCGCTCCAGTCACAAATCGCCTCAACGACAAGTATTTCGAGGCCTTTACCAACACTGTAAGTCACAATCCTGGCCAGGTACTCAGATATAGTCTTGGTGGTCGGCCGTTGCTTTACTGTGGACTGGACGAAATTGCACCCAAATTTTCATCCACAATTACGGTCCCCAACCCCGGCTACAATCCCTCGTCAACAAGGCGGTTCGAACTCCAGCTCATGCCAAAAGCGATTTACGATTTGGAAACCGTTGGTCAAGATACCGTCGCAGATATTCTCAACGGCATGTCCTGGGGAACCATCATAGTGTGCACTGACGAAGAGGATTACATGCCTGAGTTTGACCGGAATCACGTAGGCTATGTAGAAGAGTGGGTGGGCGTTCAATGGGAGTAAATAGGATATAAATGGAATGGTTGCAAATAAAGGGTGAATATACTTGAGAGAGAAGTGAGAAGTGAAAAATTGCAAAAAAATGTAAAACTGAAAAAATGCAAACTAAAAGAATAAAAAAATTGAAAAATTTAAGCATCAGATCAAAACCTTTATCACATCCGTAATAGCCTTTATACATCTAGTATGCTATGTAAACTTCTCTGGCATAACTAGCCTATTCCTGCACCCAAAATTGTTGCTGCTGCAACGCGACTGCAACCCTGCATGCGCCGCAGCGTTTGACATAACTTCCTCATACATTAACGTTTCACTATTCTTAAGCTACACAATTCCATTTCAAGGGATTTTTCCACCCTGCCTTCACCACAAAAAAAACCACTTGCAGAAACAGCAAATCAATACATTACTGGCTCACAATAATCTCCGTTCTGCTATAACTATCTCTTAGCAATATTGGAGAATCCTTCATTATCGTGCCACAGACGACTTTGCCAGTTCTTTTCGCTCACTGATAGTCATTTCCACCCATCATGGCTTCCTCATCCGAAGATGAAGAGTACCAGTCAAACATAGCACTTCCAAAAGTCGATCTTTCTAACTATAGAAAGAGTCAAGAGAGAGGATCTCGGAATAATTTGGCCAAAGCAGCCGGAAAAAAGTTTAAACCGGGCACCAAGTCGGTACGGTTTCCTGATCTGTACCAGCCTCGGCAGAGTGTTCTCAGCAATACATCATCAACCACAAACAACTCCTCGGATGATAACATATCCGAGTCAGAAATCGACCACAATTTGCCCAGCTTTCACATGGGCTCCGGGTCCCACCAGACTCATCATCATCATGACGCGGCCTCTGCCTCGGGCGAAGAGGTCTCCGAGGACGAACATCTACAAAACTACGACACAGACTCGTCCTCGTCTTCTGAAGACACAGGTGCTGCACCCCGGCAATTTGAGCCAGATCAAGCTCCTCTACCAGATTCGACCGACATCACCGACTTGCGGCGGCAATCAGTATCGTCACAGCCCTCGTCCTCGAGGAGCTCGTCGTCGAAAAAGGGAACATTTCGGCTGATTTTGAGGAAAATGTCCTTGGCCGACAGAGACGAAGGCATTGAAGTGCCGCGATTACAAGACCACGAGCTGTCTGGAGAGTCATTCCTTGGTCGTGTTCTTCAGTTTTCAAACCCACACGGAGGATTGGGCGGCGGAGGCTTGGTTCCTGGCGCTTCTCACCATACTCGTGAACGCACAATTGACGAGGAAGAATCTGTTGGTGGTGGACATCCCGCTTCTGAGGAGATAGAAATGCGTCCCTTGGATTACGATATGCTCAACGAAGAGGCAAAAAAGCTCATATCCACCCATGTTCCTGGTATAGGTAGCAATCTTCATAGCGAAGCTACCTCCGAAGTCGCATCGCCAAATGATTCCGTGAACAATTCCACTGCACACCTTCTAGACCCATCTGATAATATGGGAGAGGGCAGCTCGAGCCAGGGATTACGTGCTCCAAATCCCGACCTTCTTGTTCGAAACAATGTGGACCGCCTTCATCAAGATGATGACTATATGATGCTAGACAATGATCTGGATGGAGGATACGTGCCACCGCCAGCCCAAGTACATGCTGGTGTGCTTTCATCTTTGCTTAAGCTTTATCAGAACCCGGACGCTTCGAAGTCTCTGGGAAGTGTACCATTTAGCGCTTTGAGAGACGAGGATAATGACGACTTGTATGAACATGTGAACCATAGCACAGTGGATTTCACCAAATTCAAGTCTGGATTCAAGAAAGGGCAAAAGAGAGTCACTGACAAATTGCACATTACCAAAAAGAACGATGGTAGCAGAAGACATAGTCGTGCTGATAGTTCCACAGATGACATTGACGATGAGAAGAATGACGGTGACGATGAAGAAAAAGACGCTGCAAACCTTCCATCGTTCTCCAAAGCTCGTCCTAAACTCCCCAAAAAAGAAGGCCCAGCCACTAATGTGCCAAAGAAGATTGGGAAAAAAATTAAGTCTCATGGAAAGTCCAAATCAGAACAACGTCTCCGTATTACCGTGCACATTGCTGATATTCTACAGAGACAGCGCTTCATTTTGCGTATGTGTAAGGCACTCATGCTTTATGGTGCTCCAACACATCGTCTTGAAGAGTATATGATCATGACCAGCAGAGTGTTGGAAATTGATGGCCAGTTTGTATACTTTCCGGGAACAATGATAGTGGCTTTTGGTGATGCTGCGACGAGAACTTCCGAGGTTCACCTAGTTCGTTGCGCCCAAGGTGTGAATTTGTCGAAGCTCTCTGAAACCCACCATATGTACAAAGGAGTAATTCACGATTTGGTTGGTGTTGAAGAAGCCTCCTTGAAATTGGAAGAGCTTCTAGCACGGAAAAACTTATATCCTCCTTGGCTTTGTGTCTTCTTCTATGCACTTGGTTCGTCCATGGTTACCCCATTCGCTTTTAGTGGAGGGTGGTATGATATACCAATTTCATTTGGAGTTGGACTTTGCGTTGGTTACTTGCAGTTTTTTGTTTCATCCATGTCTAACCTTTACTCGTCGGTGTTTGAAGTCACCGCTTCTATCGTGGTTTCTTTCATTGCTCGTGCCATCGGTTCCATTAATGGCGGTAACACATTCTGCTTTTCCGCTATCGCTCAAGGTTCACTAGCGTTGATTCTCCCAGGATATATCATCTTGTGTGGGTCCCTTGAGTTGCAATCCAGAAACATCGTGGCAGGTTCTGTGCGTATGTTTTACGCCATTATCTATTCGATCTTTCTTGGGTTTGGTATAACGTTGGGTGCGGCCCTTTTCGGATGGGTATATAAGGGAGCTACCTCCGCTACTACTTGCTCAGCCGACCACACCATTGACCCCAAGTTCAGAATCTTGTTCGTTCCGATGTTTTCGCTCTGTTTGGGACTCATAAATCAAGCCAAATTTTCGCAACTTCCAATCATGATTGCAATTGCTTCGACAGGTTACGTGGGCAATTATTTCGCAGGACTCCACTTCAAGCAGGTTACCGAATTCACAGCTTCAATTGGTGCCTTCATAGTGGGTATCTTGGGCAACTTGTATTCAAGACTAGGAAAAGGATTGGCAGTTGCAGCCATGTTGCCAGCGATTTTTGTTCAGGTTCCGTCGGGTATTGCTAGTCAAAGCTCTTTGCTTTCGGGTGTGGAGTCGGCAGACAAAATCACAAACGGTACAGGCAAGGCCGAAAGCACTAATGATACACTCAGTTTTGGTTCCACAATGGTTCAGGTTTCCATTGGTATTAGTGTCGGACTTTTTGCAGCCGCATTAGTTGTTTATCCTTTTGGAAAGAAAAAGACTGGTCTTTTCACTTTATAGTATAACGATATACATACGACGTACATACAATATACATACAATTATGGTTGGAATACAAAATGTAAGAAGTTTACAATTAGTACAGTGTCTTTCACATTGCGGTGTCATATACGCACACCAGCTAATCTCAACCAGAATCGGGTTTCCTGGCACTCTGGCCGAGTTGGTCTAAGGCGCCAGGGTAAGGTCCTGGTCTCTCCGGAGGCGCGAGTTCGAATCTCGCGGGTGTCACCAGCCGATTCTTTCTTTTTTTTTTTTGGAGCCTGCGCGAACATTTATTTTGTGGGGAAAGTTCAGTGTCCATGAATGGCCTACTTAGAAGTAAGATTGTTTTGCAATCTAATTTTTCAAGCATCAGAACACTATGTATCAGTTCCATTGAGAGCTTCAACAATGATCTGATTACTCTTAAGTTTGACAATGGCCAATCGATAGCCTACAATAACATTTTCCTCCGCGACGCATGCCAGAGCTCTGATTCGGTGGATCCATACTCGAAGCAAAAGTTGTTCTCCACACCGCAAATTGGCCAAAATTTGAAGTTGAAGAGCGAACCAAAGCTAGTTCTCGACCATAACACTAAGGAACCCCAATTGCAAGTACAATGGGTTCAAAATGGTAGAGATCATTTTTCAACATATTCAAGTTCATTCTTAGCAAAGTATGCTAGCCGTGATAGTGTTCGCAAGGCAAAGTTTTTCGACGCAGAGCAAGTCTACTGGGACAAAAGCACACATTTCAAGCCAGAATTTGTCGATTATCACAGCTATATAGATGGCACAGCGTTTCCTCAAGTGGTTCACAATTTGAACAAATACGGTCTTTGCTTTGTTGACAACATACCAGAGCCACAGTTGGAACTGATGAATGAAGAGAATAGTAGTCAATGGCCAGTGGCAGCACTTGCCAGTAAATTTGGTTACATCAAGCGGACATTTTATGGAACATTATTTGATGTTCGCAACGAAAAGGAGGCTAAAAATATAGCCAATACGTCTACCTTTCTCCCATTGCACATGGATTTGCTCTACTATGAGTCGCCTCCAGGATTACAGCTTTTGCATTTCATTAAGAACTCGACTTTGGGAGGTGAAAATGTGTTTGCTGATTCTTTTGCAGCTGCTCATTCTGTGCGAAGCGAAGACCCTGAAGCATACGAAGCCCTCAAAGCAATACCTATCAATTATCACTATGACAATGCAAACGAAAGCTACTACTATTCAAGACCGTTGATCATTGAAAATCAAGGAGTATTGCACCCAAATGAAGGACCAATTATAGACCATGTTAACTACTCTCCTCCGTTCCAAGGACCGTTTGAGCTTGGAATCGAAGACTCGGATCCAAAACTATTTCAAAACTTTCTTCGTGGATTAACAAAGTTTGAAGAAGCAGTCAACGACCCGCAAAATCAAATTCAGATAAAAACCCCAGAAGGCACCTGTGCTATTTTTGACAATAGGCGAGTTTTGCACTCACGACTCGAGTTCTCTGACGCTAATGGCGGAGACCGGTGGCTCATGGGATGCTACGTCGATGGTGACAGCTACAGATCTAAACTTAGAGTACTTAAAAATGTATAAATTATGACAAAATTTTTCTATTTTACAATTAGTTAGTAACCATAACTTCCATAACCTCCAGCAGGTTGTGAGGGAGCTTGGTATCCTTTTGATAAACTCTTGAAAGTTTGCTTGAATCCGTTACACAAACGGAGCATATTGGGGTAGGAGAATCCCTTGAGTCTGTATCCATCACTTTCTGTCTTGACATGCCAGGTAGTCACTGGCGTATTCACGTTCAACTTGAAAAGTAACAAAAACCATCCTGGAGATTTGTGGTCGTAACAGAAAACATAGGCACTGTTCTTGGGGTTAGCACGAGTATAAGACTCTAACCACTCATTGACCTCCGAAAGCGTACCTTCTCTAAACTTGGGATGTCTGCACATGGCATCGACATGCTTAGCAATGGCTTGCACATGCTGGAAGATCAACTGGTCTAAATCCGCATATCGTTTGTGCTCCACAATATATTCTTTAGTACCAGCATGGTTGACTTCTTGAATACTTAGATGCTGGAACAAGTTGTTGGCAACCTTCCATGTCACCGTCAAGTAGTCAGGACCTCTCGAAGACGGCCGAAGCACACAATCACCAACGGCTTGTGGTGCCAAGTATTCTTCTGCTTGCTTGAATGTAAAGTTGAAGAACAAAGGATGTTGAACATTCTTAGTCTTAGCGAGCTTAGCACGTTCCTTGGCTTCTTCTCTCTGTTTGTCCTCTTCTTCTGCAGCCATATCCCACTTCAATGGGTCTTTGACGAACTTTGGTGCATCGGCACGTTTTATATCTTCTTCCAATAAGCTGAATGTAGCGGTGAAAGTATCGTGAAAAACGTCTAAAACAACCAGCTGGACTACTTGGCCCTGCTCGTAGTCTGCCTTTGGAGGAACATGGGACTCTTCAATGTTACCTTGAATCAACGATGAGGTGGAAACTTTCAAGTATCTGATGTGCGCTTCTCCACGATTGCCATAGTTCTTACCAACTCTGTTTATAGTAACGGGAACAATGGCACCACGACAAAAGGTGGAAGTCGTTTCACCAGTCAACATCTGGAACAACTCTACCGCATCCAAGACATGGAATGAGCGCCGCAATTCCTCATAGTTGTTGACAAGTTCTTCCTTTATACTTTGTAAAGTAGCATACTTCTTCTTGCCAAACTTGGTCTCCAATTCCTTTCCATACGCAGTTAAATTTAAGTCATCCACCTTGTTCACACCCTCTTGCATCAATTGATATATGATACCACCCTGCTCTTCAACATGGGCCATGTCTTCCTCATCGAGGTCCAAGGCATCCGCAGCCATCTTTCTGGCCAAGTCGTAGTCTTCAGGATGAATTCTCGTCGCATCAAGCAACTCGATATTGGTGTCTCGAACCAGAACACCATCATCGTGTGGAATGTTCAAGAACGAAGAACAGTTAATGAAAATATTAGCAGACGTAAGCTCGTGTTCGATCAAATCACTGCGGGCGGTAATCGTGCCTCCGAGCTTCAGATTGATGTTCTTGATCAAACCAGAAGCCTTTCTGGGACCCAAACCAGCAACGTAGTTCAAAAGAACAGCTTGCAGTGAATCACTCGTTACCTCATTGATCTCCACACCAACCAAATTGACAATGTCCACAAACACAGACTCAACAGCTTCCAAGACGGCATCACGAGGGATCAAATGCTGATGTTCGTAAAGGCTCAACGAGATTATATCTTCTCCGAGAGAAACATATTCCAATAATGGGTTTTGAACGTAACGAGCGACTCCCACGCAGTACTTGACAAGCGTGGGCTTGTCTGATAACTCAGCCTTGGCTCTTTCGGAATTTTGGTATAACCGAGCGGTCTCATCCTGACCCCAGATAACGGGAATCAACTGTTGAGACTCCGAAGAATCTTCAGGTACATCGGCGGCTATCTGATTTGTCTCAACAAATTGGCGAACCGAATCATAGAGCCGCTTACTGATTGCATTGTAACCGCAGATGGCAATGACATCTGGCTTTGAAGAACGAAGATTATGATCAAAGAATTCTTTAAGTTGACCAGCAAATTTCTCGTCGTTCTCTCGATCACGAAGGGGGCTGTTTTCCAGCTTAAACAATTCAGTGATACGCCCGTTGTCTTGAACGAAAGCACCCACCACCGCACTATCGTAGTCACCTTTACCGAAGGAGAGAGCTAACACACTAGGCTTTGTGCCTTTGTCAAAACCCACGGGGGTGAATGGAGCCTGGTCCACTTTGACCAAAAAGCGCCGACGAACCTCACCAGCAACCAAACGCTCACACAGTCTCCTGAGTTCTTCTTTGGTGCCCAAGGCGACCATTGTTGTCAACTTTTTAAAGGCAAGCTTTAGCACAATTTCTCTTTCGCGATTCCATGCCTCAGAAATCTCCGAAAGACCATCAGATTTCAAACAGTTGAAAATACTTTGAAACCAACGATCATACTCTCTTATTTCGACACGAACCACCACAAGTGCTTGCTTTTCGGCAAGAAGCATCCTCAAGTATAGGTCAGGATTGCGTGTGAGATCCTCCGCGGTGAGTCCTGTGGCATACTTGATATCAGCGAATGGACTGTGGTTGTCGATACTAGCCCTACCTTTGTCAGTCAACACCACTCTTATGGAAGCAAAGTTCTTGAACGTCGAACGAACTTCAGCTCTTATACGAGGATCATGGAAAATTTCTTCCGAGAATGTCTTGCGAATTGCTGTTTGTGCACTTTGCGCATCTTTATAAAGAACCTCATCATCTTCGCAGAGCTTTTCCAACAAGTCTTCAGGAGACTCAAGACGATCATCAGTGGCATGAATTCTGTATGGAACCATGAAGCCCTTCGAGCTTTGATCTTGAACATTTTCACCGAAATGCTTGGCAGATATTCCATATGCTGCAACACCATCGTAGATGACATTATTTTTGATGCGCTCGAATGCTGACATTTTGGCAATCTTTTTGTTTTTGGTGGGAACCTGCTCCACAGCTTCTTCTTGATCACCGTCTTCATTCTGTTGTTGGAGTTGCGCCTGCAGATCTTGGTGCTTCTGTTGTATCTCGCGGATCTTGTCAGAATACACAAAATTAACATAATCGTGAAGATCTTGCACCGCCGAAATATTATCCAACTGTCTGTAGTCTTTGAGCAAATCATCGTCAACATCGAGCTGGGTAATCAATTGCTCAAGATTGTACCGTTTTTCGTAATGAGAATGATACTCGATGTCCAAGTGGACTATTCTCCACAAATCGTCTTCGAAGAGAAGCTTGTGAACGACATTGACTCCCGTCTCATCGGGCGATTCTTCAGCATGTAACAAGAAATCACGACGATGCGTCCATATGAAAGGAACCTCGTAGGAGTCGCGCGAGATGAATTCCACAACATGGCCAACGGCAGTTCTAAATGGGATCTCCAAGAATTCAGAGAAAGTGTCTTTTTTCTCGTCGTAAAGTATCTGAGCCACCCATTTCTTTTCACGTTCGAGTTCCTCGTCGTCAAATTCAGCATAGCTCAAGTTCGACCGGTATGCTTGGTAACGCTCGGGAATATCGACAATTCGTATAATGTTGTCTTCCTCGGTCAACATACGCTCTTTAAGTTCTGCATGCTCAAAGACGTCGTCCAATGCAGCGTCAGCACCATCTCCGGCGCCCTCATCTTCCATTTCCTGAGCATCCAATGCCCAGTCGTACTCCTCCCCATTGCCAAATACTTCAAAAAGCTGTTGTAAACTTTCACGATCGACACTGGACAACTTGGAAGTATCCAACCGGGGTCCCTTTTTGCGCTGTCTTTGTTTCTGTTCGGCCTTCTGGCGCTGCTTCCTGGCCTCGTCTTCGTCGGAAAACTCATCATCCTCAATGAAATCCTCAAACTCATCCAAAATGTTCCTGTCGTCGCCCACGGCTCCGACGTCGTCTTCTTCTCTTTCAATTTCCTCATCTGCAAAAATATCAGCGAGTCCACGTGGCCCCTCAGAAGCTTCTCTATCAACAGCTTTCTCACCAGACTCGTCGTCGCCATCTTGAGCGGGTTTCAATCGCTTGAGCCGTCCTTCGCCTCGACGAGCACCAGAATTCTCCATCAATAAATCAAGATCATCTTCATCCAAAGCATCTAAAGCGGCCCCTTCTCGCTCCTTCCGCCGCCTTTTGTGCTTTCGACGTCTTTTTTCCGGTTCTTCATCTTCATCATCAACAATGAAACCTTCTCTGACCTTGCGAATGGCATCCTCATCCTCTTCATCATCGTCGTCATCTTCACTAGAATCATCTACATCATCACCACTCTCCTCCGAGACAGCAGCAGCTACATCATCACGAATCTCCAGCTCCTCCGGCACTTCATTCTTCGGAGCAGCTACGTCGGACATAGTTGATAAACTTGTTCACAATTGATTTTTTCACGGTTGGTACCGCTTATGTAACAATACATGCTATTTTACATAACCGACTAGGGATGTTCCATGTCTATAAATCGTCGGTCTTTTGGCGCTTTTCTCGCTTCAATTTCATATTGAATTGTCGGTTCTTTTCGTTAATATAGTTTCCGCCATCTTCGCGGTCGTTTTGACGACGCTTATATCTCCTATCGTTATCGGCTGCAATTTTGTTTGCCAAAAATTTGGCCCTTTCCGGGTCAACATGATGAGTCAGGTCGCTACTATGGGTAGTATCAGTCTTAGCTTGCTCGTAGGCTTCTTTGTCGATTTTAATCTCTTCAATTTCCTTCTTGTATGTCAGTTCTGCCAATTTGTTCATGTTTTGAGATCCCAAATTTTTATTAGTGGTTCGTTTGGTCCATTCCGCATCCTCCTGGATTGTATAATCCCAATTTCGTGCTCTTTCCGGCTGTTTTTCGTCTTTTGAATTCGTCTCGTTCTCCTCATCAGTCAGTTTCGTGGTCATTTTTCGTCGTTCTTTGTACACTTCTTTGCGGTTTTCATTACTGGCATCTAGTCGCTTCTTCTTGAGCATCGCCAACTTTGCTCGAACCTCATCTCTGCGGTCCTTTGCACTCATGGTTGTTCTTAGCTAGATGCGGTGTTTGGGTCAAAATCGCTTGTGTCAAAATTGAAGATTTTAAAGCATTACACCCAAACACCAAATAGTATCAAGGAGCTACTCGCGAATGGGTTTCCTTATCTAGTCTACGTATACCTGACTTGCCACCATTTGCTGCCCCGCACCAATTCCGATCGCATTTGCCACTCGTGGGAGCCGCTCGTAGGTTACAATAGATCCGAACTCGGCCCGAGCTCGGCAAATGGCCATATACAGGCCGGTGGCTGCAATATATAAGTGCCACTACTGAAAAGGAACTCAATTGCCAATTTTGCCTCCGCCAAAATGTCTTATGTCCCTACTTTGAAAGCCCTCGTGAAGAAACTTGAGACTCATACCCGAGCAAGGGGTAATCCCAAGGAAGTCCTTGCTATTCTTGACACTTTAGTTCAAGAGAATGGAGGCATGATGAACATAGGTCCTGAAAAAGGAAACATAATCAAAGAAATTCTCCGGAAAAACCCTCCTAAAACCATGATAGAGCTTGGATGTTTCTTTGGGTACTCTGCTGTGATGTTTGCTGGCGAATTGCAAAAGGTGGATGGTGCCAAGTACACCAGTTTTGAATTGAGTGAGGATTTTGCAGCCATTTCTCGTCGTGTGGTAGACTTTGCTGGATTGTCTAACAAGGTGGACATTGTGGTGGGACCTGCCTCCAAAACACTTCCTGAATTTTGGGAAAGGCTGAAAAGACAGGTGGACTTTGCTTTCATCGACCACGAAAAGAGGGCCTATGTGCCCGATTTGCAGATCATGGAATCACTCGGACTTGTAGCTCCAGGAACCATTCTTGTTGCAGACAATGTCATTCGCCCAGGGGCTCCGGAGTACATCAAGTACGTCGAGGCTTCTACCGATGAGCGTAAAAAGTTGTTGAATGTGGGCTCTCAGTACCCTGGAAAATGGAACCTACTTTACGACTCCAACCAGATAAAGGTTCTGCTGGGCTTCGGTGTAGATGCTTTGGAGGTTTCTAAGTGCGTGGGAGTCGCCGAAGAGTAACCGGTGAATCGTGGTGATTGACACAAGTACAAATTGCAAATTTATATGAACTATGATGGAGAGATGATTACAAGAATAAACACTATGAAATGAAAAGCAAGAAGAAGATAACATCTCTAAAACGGCAAAATAGAACAAACGAGTAAGAAAATGCCCCATAATGCTATACACTCTTTATATATTTCAGGCAAGTTGAATCACCTCTACCATCGTAGCTGTGACTACCTGCAGTACTTTCATATTTCAACACCAACTCACACAGACAAATATAGCAACTGTTCATGACCGATTTGACTCCCATATTCAACCAATGTGTGGCTATAGTTCGAAAAGAGCTCAATGCTACACCATCTCCACACCATTCAAGTCAGAAGGATGCAGTATTGGAAATCCAAGATACATTTAGCGTAGAATGCCGTGAGTACTATCATCATCTAGTAGCACTAAATGGTATTATAAGTGATATCAAAGTGCCCTATGTTGCTGTAGGAGGATCGCTGTCCAAGAATGTGTTGAGTTTGGAAGACAAAAACAAAATTGACGAAGAAATGAGTTACAGAATCCAACAGATGTATGAAAAGTTGAAGGTGCTTCAAAACTACGAAAAGAAACGACAGTCGGTTTCCGCCACAAACAAGACCAGCTGGCTTGGAGCCATGTTTGGCGGAGAGGAGCAAGAAAAGAGGGACAATTTTCATGCCACAATAAATTTTCATCGCACTCAGATGCTCAAGACACTCAATGAATCGACCAATAATGTTGGCAAAAGATTTGAACAAATGCAGCGACAACGATTGCAACGTGAGCGCCGACTCAACCTCCTCAATTTCCAGAACTTAGGTGACGATCTTGACTTTTATCATGACAATAAACCCATGCATGGTGTCGCTGGTAGACTTCATAAAACCCTTCACGAAAGTCTCAATAATAGCACCGACGATCTCAATGTAGTAGATCTTGAACAAGAAGCGAGAGACCAGTCTCCTGGACTAACCCAGGAACAGCAGCAAGTGTTTGAAAAAGAAAATAAAGAATTCCTAGCGCTTAAAACCAACCAACTCAAACAGGTGGAAAAATTACAACATTCGATGGTGGATATAATTAACCTCCAAGCAGAACTCAGTTTCCAGCTAGAGGCTCAATCAGAGCAAGTATCTTTTATGTTGGACACACAGAACCAAGTGGATCTCGATCTACGTCAAGGTAACCAAAACTTAACCAAAGCAACCGGACGCAACAAGAGAGGCGCTAATTTTATTGTTGCTACTTGCTGGATCTTGGGTTTTCTTCTATTATTGTTAGACTTTATAACTTGGTAATTACATGACATCTTCCACAACACCTGCTCCAATAGTAATTCCTTCTCTACGAATCACCACTCTGCCCAATATCTTGTTATCTGCAAACTTGGTCAATGGCAATTTCCGGTCCATGACACTTATCTCCACCAATGCTGTTTGCCTGGAAACCAAATGCATACGCTTTTTCTTGACGCCCTCAATTTCAATCACCTTCGATATACGTGCTGGTACTTGGCAATTATTGCGGAAAAGTACAAACGGTGTTCCAACAAGTAAAGGTTTGACCAAGTTGAAAAGATGGAGGGTAGCGGTAAACGTAGAGGCGGATTTGACGCTGGAATCAAGACGCAGGACCAAGTCACCGACTGTCAAGTCCTCAATTGCACCATTTGATAATTGACTCGATTTGAACCGCATCAGTACAAAGTCACCTTGTGATGCAAAATCTACAGGAGTCTCTTCCAACTTCATCGATTGGACCTGAACGCACTCATCTGACGGCGAAACTCTAATTGTTTCACCGGCTTGAATCGTGCCCGAGATTACCTTTCCACTGAGTCCGAAATCAGAACTCGAAATTTCGAATACGTCCGTTATAGTCATATTGAACTCTGAGGAAATAACCTCGTCAATTCCATCAATTTGTACATCCACATTCTCCAAGTACTCCACAAGAGTATTCCCGCTGTACCAACTAAGTTTCTCATTATCTTTACGAACCACATTAGTTCCGTCCAAACCAGAGATGGGAATGAAATCGACCATTGGCGGCTTGTATCCGACTTCACTCAAGTATTCTGTCATCTGGCGCTTGATGTCGTTGAAACGGGACTCAGACCAGTTCTCCTTGTCCATTTTATTGACAACCACACACAAACGTTCGACTCCAAAATTCTTCGCCAAGATGGTATGTTCCTTCGTTTGGCCATCCATGATGAAGCCAGACTCGAATTCTCCAGCAATCGAATCTACCACAAGCAATCCTAAATCAGCCTGCGAAACTCCACTTATCATTTGAGGAACAAAATCTTTGTGGCCAGGGGCATCAATGGCAGTAAAACGAGTGCTCTTTGTTTCAAAATTGGTAGCACAAATGTCCACCGTTACTCCTCGTGAACGTTCTTCCGAAGTCTGATCCATTACCCATGCCAAAGCGAATGAACCCTTACCAGACTTTTCAGCTTCACGAACTAACTTGTTCACAGTTTTCGCATCCACAACCCCAAGGTCAAATAAGAGCCGTCCCATAAGGGTGGACTTGCCAGCGTCAACGTGCCCGATAACTACAAAAGACTTGTGAGGCTTGGCGAGCTTTTTGCTGAGGGCAGATTTCAAATCGATAGTTTTGAACGGCTTGGATTTCACAGCGGCCAGTTTAGTTGCAGCTTTTGGTTTCGGTGCCTTGTCTTGCAAGGAAAGGTTTTCGAAATCACCCTGGAATGCTTGTTTCTGCGCATTGAGAATGGTATCGTCAGGACTGGGTCCTTCAAAATTGGACTGCGCTTTTGAGATTTTCTGGGGAGAAGCTTCGTGGTTAGTAAGGACTTGAAAAATACTGGTATTTGGCCTTTGTCTCTTGGCAGACGGTTCATTTTCAAAGAGAAATAGTGTGACTTCCGAGCGTGGAAGACGAAGCAAAGACCGATCAACGGCAATTTGCAATGCTAATGATGGAGCCGTTGGCAGACGGGTGCTAGTGCTCTTCTGGTCTTCGGATTTGGAAGCAGTATCAGCTGTAACATCCAGATTCGGAGATTTTACAGCTTCAGCAAATTTAGGAGGTTGCTCCAAAGATCTTTTCTTTCTTTCTGCAGCAAGCGCCAATAGTCGATTGGGCTTAACTTCAGTATTACTTCCTTCCAGACCATTTTTTGTCGCGGAGGACGATGCAAATTTATCCAAAATGCTATTTGGAGACTGACGGTCACCAGGGCCAAGCGACAGATCTTGTTTCTGGGCACGAGCCTTTGCCAAAGCTCCGAGTTTAATACTGCGATTTGTCACAGAAGAAGTACCTAGAGGCGCCAGAATCAGCTGAGGCGATGTATTTACACTGCCCTGTCTCTGGGCTCGCGCCTTGGCGAGTTGTGCAAGCTTGGAGAGCTTGGGCTCCATTTCTAGATTAACACTTGCTCTCAATAAAATTCAAATACAGTATCCAAAGTTGGAAAAATGGGCGGAAATACATACCTTTCTTCTTGAAACGGGCCTTGATGTCCTTGACGGCTGGCTCGATCTCGTAGTGGTGATAATACAATGCTTCTTTCAAATCGAACTCGGGCACTGAGTCATTATAGGAAGCCAAAGATTGCTTGATTTTTGGCAATGAAGCATAAAGCTGGTCATATTCTTCATCATCCAAGTCGTCTTCGTTGAACTCTTCATTCATCGACTCATCGAAATCTTCCAAGTCATCGGAATCATAATCGGCCATTTTGCCTTTGATCGCAAACGCTGAGAATTCATTTTATGAGAAAGACTGCAGATAAGAACGATGTAACAGATTAGAAGAAGACATAGCAAAAAGTCTAAATCCTCAAACTACGACAGCGAATAGTTCTGGGACGGTATGCCAATTCGTTATACGATGAATTGCAGTAGCCACGACTTGATTAGAAAAAACGGGGTAATTGCTGCAACTGAGCTCGATTCTATCCGCCTATATGCCGGCATGGCCAAAATTCATCACAACTTGATCAAAATTCATCACAACTTTTCGATGCACACACACACTTTTTTAACATAATATAACACACAAGTTGTTACATCATAAAACCTAGAACGAAAATGGCTGAGAAAATCCGTCGCACATCCTAACACCCATTGCAACCAAATTTCAATAAAGCTAAGTCCTCAATTTGCGGCTCTGGAAAGTTGACATTCAGTCGAAACTGGGGTCGATTATGTAAGTTTGGCCCTCGTCTTAGTCAGAGATCAAGGTCCGAAACTTTATTTAGTCTGGTAAATTCGTACTATATTGCGAGGCAATATATAACTCTCTCAACTACGGTCTGTTGAAATACTGGGACCAACGTAATTGGTACGCTAATTATAGAAGTTAGTTGTTAGGGATCTCGAATGAGATAGATGAATATGTGCAGTATCTTTACTTTTAGGCTACAAAGGTTAATTCACGGTCAGGTCCATTTGACCTTTTCCTTTCCTAATCCCATTGCACTTCCCTTCTTCTACGATCTTTTATTTGTAAGTAGTCTTTACTTAGCCTAAGGTTTGGTAAACTTGCTTTTAACATTCAATTCAGTGAGAGGTGAGAGCCATGTTTCGTATTATTCGGAAATTTTGCAACTTTCTGAAATATTGCGAAAGAAATGAACCATAGTTTAGTCTTTAGTAAGAATACTCATCCAATCAATGGTAATTGTAGTGTAAATAGCTGTTAGCATGACTATGAGAAAAGTGGGAGGAAAATTTAATTATAGCGCGCGGCTGCAAACTTTTGCGCGCTTGCATCTAGAAAAGTGGGACAGATAAACAGCAAATCTGTCCCACTTTTCGCGAATTTTTGGTGAGAAAAACCGAGCTTCGTCACCCGAGACTGGAACTGTCCCACGCGCCAGGGGTTTGGTATGTCTCAAAAGTGCTAATTCGACTTTTGAAATTGAGGATGGGTCGACCATTTTCGATTGCCAGCCAACTATAACTCCTATGAGCTGGAACGAGTCACTGAACTTGTAAAGACAAATATTTTAACTCAAATGGCCTTCTCCAATTCTTCATACTTTGACTCTCCGGTGACTTATTCATGAACATATAAATATTGAGGATGGGACGACGTTTATAGATTGGCTGCAAATTATAACATCATAACATGTAAAATTTATATATACGTACACTGGTTACTTTACACCAGTACACTTGTTTCTACGCAATTGAAAGACTAAGAAGTGAAAACTCTAGGAGAAGCAGCAAAACTGTTCAGAAAACCAAAAAAAACCAGATAGTGACGCGCTGACAGTATATTCTAATTATGTTCTATCTATTTGTGGAGCAAGTCAACGTCCAACACCTTCAATATGGTCTTACCCGCAGCCACCAATTCTTCATCAAAGTAACGTCTTCCAGCTAATTGAAGAGCTATTGGTGCACCCTTGAAAAGCTCAGGGTCGTATCCACTCAATTCCAACTTTTCCAACTCACTTCTATAGGTGTAGGAACTATGTTCCGAACCCCATTTGTCAACGGTTGGGTCTTGGAACATGCCAGTTTGGAACAGCAATGACGGGAAATCCAAAATGTTGTACAAGGCAGTGTAGGACCAGTTATATACTGCTTCGGGAAGAGGAGCCACATTGTTGTAAGCAGGCCCAAGAATGAAGTCCACTTTGTTGGCATTCAAGTAATCGGTGTATTCTTGTCTTAACAGGTCTCTGATAACATTCAACTTTCTGTTTTCAGCTACCCCAATATCTTTGGATCCATTACCATAATTGAGAGCCCATTTAGTCAATTTGGTCAATGGTTCACCAGAAGCAGACAAAAGCTTCTTTTGCATGTAATTACCATCACAATTGTACATTTTGTTGACAGTATCAATTGCTTCTTGCACTCTGATAGGCTTGAATTCAATCACCTTGGCACCAGCATTTTTCAACTTGGCAACAACTTCCTTGAGTCCTCGTGCAATAGGAGGTGTAGGTTTGACCACACCATCGTCATACATCACCGCAATGGTAAGCGATTCTGGCTTTGGAGGCTCCACTGTTCTCCAAGGTAAAGGAAGAGCCCATTGGTCCAATTGCCATGGGTTCCCGTCGTTGACATAATGCTTCATGAACAAGTCAATGTCATCAAGAGATCTAGCCATTGGACCTGCCACAGGAACTACACTCTCTTGACCTGCTCCGGAAGAAATACCTCCCAAAAGAGCCACTCGGCGAGTGGTGGGTCTAAGACCATGGCACCCAGAATAGGCAGCTGGAGCACGAATGGAGCCTCCAATATCACTTCCCACTCCAAGCGAACTTCCTCCAAATGCTACAATCGACCCTTCACCAGAAGAAGAGCCACCAGAAGATAAACCCAAGTTGAAGGGGTTTCTCGAAGTACCAACAAAATTGTTATTCGAATCCAAATGCATCAACGTTTGAGGCTGGTTGGTTCTGACGTAGAAAACTGCACCCAAATTCTCCAAGATTTGGATGGTGGCTCCGTGTTTCTTAGGGATTCTATCGAGCAACCCAACCCAGCCTCCATGGGTGATTTTGTCTTTGTAGTCCATTTGTTCCTTCAACGAGATTGGAACTCCATGAAGTGGTCCAATAACCTTCCCGTTCTTCTCAAAGTATTCATCTAACATTTGAGCACGCTCCAAGCCCTCGTCAACAAAAAGCTCAAGAGCACAATTGGTAAACTGGTGACAAATTGTCGCTCTTCTAGCATATGCCTTGAAAGCTGTAACTGACTTCAATTTACCGCTAGCAATCTCCTTGGCCAATTCCGTGGCTGAGAGCTCAGTAATCCGCTTCTCTTCGTCAGAGAGCAATTTCTTCTCATACAAATACTCCAATGGATTGAATTGGTCTTTTTGCAACTTTTCAATGGGCTCTGGAAGTGTGATCTTGTACTCTGGCAAAATGGCACTTTCCAAATCAGCCCTGTATTTGTCCAACCGAGGCACCCAGTCCTTCTTGTATCTCTCTGGATCCTCATAACCCTCGAAATTCTCCTTTGTAAGAAAGCTTTCAAAACTCATTATTGAATTAGAATAAACTGAAAAGAGCGGGGCGACGGTCGGCTTAAATGGTACATGGTTGTGCGTTATCACCCGGAATGACTTTCCAAATCGGGTAGTTCGCGTCGCATATATGCTATCGAGCCGACTATCGAGCCGCACTTGACATATCTACATACAGTCGCACTAGTCGTAAGGTGTCTATTATCTCTATTATTATTCCATGCCAACCCATACATCTCCATAAAACTTGAACAATTCCGTGTCTTTTTTCTCAAACTTGAACACTTGTCCTTCTTGAGTATTATCGGTGTCATCTTTGGTTGGTCCACCAATGCGTGAATATGCACACCACATGTACGAGTTGCAATAATCTCGATCCATAGTCCATCCCTCTTTGGGCTCTTCTATGGTGTTCTCACATAACGTCTCGAGTTTGTCCTTGAATGGAGGTATAATGGCATGCGTGATCGTCAATGGCTCTTCATAAAAGGTGCGGAATTGCTCCGCCGTTTTGAACTGGGTAAATCTCGATTGTTTTTCAGCTTCCTTCTCATAGTTGACCTTGTGTAATTGTCCACACGTATGATACCCAGAATTGAACCATACCAAAGAGCCATCGTCCTCGCTGATATGACCAGGATGGGCACTACATATTTCCTTCGCTAGCTTGGGTTTACCATCCTTGGTCAACCGTTGCACATCAGGCGTTAAAGTTCCAATTGCGGCAGCATAATACTTGTTGAAATGGTAGCTTTCATCTCCATTAGTAGCAAATGCAAGCCAGATGATCTCCTTGTCACCATACGACCGCGATGTCACTGGCTTCATAAAGTTCATTTGCATCATCATAAGCACAGAATTGAAATGTCTGTTTCTATCGATTAACAATAACCCACTTTCCATATAATGGGTCATACCATCAAAGTACGACGACTGCAATGTGTGTTCTGTTATGATGGGGATGTCGAACATCGCCGAGTCGATTATCGAGGGCGAAATCTTTTTGAAAAAAACTCCATCACTAACTTGACGGAATTGAGGTGCCGTGCGGTCTTTGAAGAAATAAGCTCCCTTGGCAACATACCCCTTCAAATTAAAGTAAAAATCAGGGTTTTGCACCATGATGGTGTCAGCGTCAATCAAGATATACTCTTCAAACGAGTTGAATAAAGCAGCCAAGAATTTGTTGGCAAATCCGTGGAACTTACCCTTATAATTGTCCTGAATGACATTGTGGGCATTGACAAACCACACTTCCTGAGGTGGAAGTTTTCCCTTTGCGAGAAAGTCATCAGTGAAATAGTCTGCTACCTTGTGGTACGATGATGGAAGAGCAACGTCACCACTTCTGGCAGCATTGACAATCTTGGTTTTAGTTTCCTTGGAAATGTCGTCATTGTACACAATTTCAATGGGGTATGTGTTGCCCAATGCTCGTAAAAGGTGGATAAGTCTGACGGTGTCATCGACATGTTTATCGCCGATAGACAATACGATACCTCTTCCATTCATGGAATTTTTCAAGTTGTTCAAAAAACAATTTTTACCACCGGTGAGTTTGGAATGGTACTTGGTCCCAGCATTACGACTATTTCTTGCCTTTTCGTTGGTATGCTTGAACACTCTCTTGTCCTTCACATACTTGCTCATGACTGGAGGAGTCATCAGTATCTTACCGTTCCATCTCTCATATACAGGGAATGAAGGTGAGAGCCATGGGTATATTCTCGATTCCAATTGTGCACACGAGTCAAAACTCTTGCTATCAACTCTTTCCTCGTCGGGCGAGAGAGCGAATGTTTTGAACCCATCAGCTCCCACACTCTTTTCAATGGATTTCAAGAGTTTCTTTTGCTGGTTGACATACCGACTTGTCTTCACCTGCTGGTCGTGATCATCGGCAGTGATGAAACATTTGTTGAAGATTCTGAAGTGGGACACATAATCGGTGGACTTTTGTTCGGTCCGCTTAGTGACTTCCCACATTTCTTGGTACTTTTTCTTGATTCTTTCTTCCACCACATTATCTTCAGGAACATCATCTTTCTCGATATTCTTTTCTTTGGCTATTTCTTCCTTGACCTCGTTCATCTTATCGTGTCTGAACCTGTCAAAGTCGTATTGGTCCTTCATGGGTACCGGAAGATCTTCGTTGGGGTTGATGTACCAGTTTGGGTCTGATGCGTAAAGGTTCAAGAAATACAAGTCACATCGTTCACGGAAGTCCAAGCTGGATAGAATTGAATTGACATCGTGGTCCTTGAAGATTTTGTTATAGTTGGTAGAGTGGCTGTCCACGCCACGAATATCTTGGATGCCTGATTTCTCCTGTAAGAGTTTGAACAGCACGTGGTTCACTAAATCGTTCCCAATGGCATTGGTATCTTCCTTGGACTCATCGTTGTTGGTCGCTGGTTCTGTTTTCAGTTCGTCAAAGTAGATAGACGAAATGGAGGTTTCACGGTAAGTGTCGCTGTTGCGGTAAAAATAGAGCCAGTAGTTGACGAATGCAAGCCAAGCCACCACCGCCAACAAAATGAAGGTTTTGCGCTTCGAGCGCTTGGCCAGGTTGAGCGGGTGGGCCACCTGTGACATTATGGAGTCCATGGTGGTTTGGAAAAGAAAAAAGATGGAATGGTGAGTTGTAGCAACAGACTATCTGAGTTTTTATGGTACGAAATTTCTTTGCCAGTGGCTTAGCAAAGGAACGTATCGGACGGGACACTGGCTATTTCGCAAGTCGTGTGACACGATTTAGATTGAAAACGGGAGTTAGGGGCAAACTGGAAAAGACAGACCAGCCAATTATAGAAATTCAGTAATTGGTAATGACTTGAGCAAAATATATTGGAGATGATTGCAAATGAATTTCAGTGAATTTCAGTGAATTTAAGGAACTTTAGTGAATTTAGGAATTGCAACGTGGATAAGCAACCTTGTATAAGGTTTGTTGGCAGCGAGGTGCTTTTTGGTTGTAGATGCAAAAGAAGAAGTTGCAAGTATAAACGACTGCGAAACCAAGTATCTAAGATGGTCTCAGATGGATCAAGAACTCAAACGATTTGTGCCAAGCTTTTTATTCACAGCTACTAAAGTGAAAAGAAAACACGAGTTAAGGAAAAGTGGAAGCCACTAAAAATGGGCAATTACGAAACGTGGGCAATTTTATTATTTAGTGTAGCCCAGTGTGCATATGCTGTGCAGCAGTTTCCGAAAAGGGTTCTCAGCCACTCCGGTCAATGGGCTGCAAACCGACTAACCGCAAGAGATAGACGATCAAGAAGAAAGAGAAAGAGTCAGGAGCTAGGGTATGAAATCAGAATAGACAATCAAGCGCAATCAATCCATTACGTGTGGTGGTCAAATGCATTCGCAGCCTCGCCTCGAGTCGCGGGCTGAGCTGGTGTATTGCGGTACATACGTTAAACCAATAAATATAGCACAAGAAGGCATTTCCACGTGCCGCCGGCAGCACGCGAGACATCCATACACCTACTTGTCGTCCTTGCGCTTCAATAACCGCACCACACCTGGTTTGGCTCCGGAAACAGATTTCCAATAAAATGCCGTCACGTATTGTTTGAGCAGTACCATCACTGTCACCTGTTCTCGTGACGTGGCCACAAACGTAAATGACGATTCTTCGGCGTTCTTCCTGCATAAAATGTACATGTAGGTTATCACATCGATCCAAAAAAGTGTCATGAGTCCCACTACTATCAGTAGTACCACTCCCAAGCTGGCAGCCCTGATGGCGTGTGTGAGAAGTGCCAATTTCTGGCCCACGATAATTGTGATTTCTTGTAAAACCATTGTCAAAACAAAGCAAATAATTATTCACCAGGGGTGCAGCTTAATATAACCAATTTATGTGGATGGGTGCACGGGTGTGATCGGAATGCACGATGTAACTATGCGGCTGGAGAGTGGTAATTCGTTCCACAAAACTTTGTTTTCAAGTACTGGCTATTGTTCTTGACCCTTAAATGCAATTGTGCATTTCCACCTCTTTTATATCTTGCAGCAAACCTTTTATCTCATCTCGATTAGTCCTTGCTGCAGATAAGAAAAACACCGCCAGGCGTGTGCGGCCCACGATCTGCAATGGGCCATCGGAACCTCAGTATCGCCCGAGGATCGTCGGAGCAAGTCGGAGAGTTTTGAATTGTCCAATTAGGATAAGTGGAATCAATCGATACCATCTGACCACTTTGACTTTTGCAGGAGATGTCTCAATTGTAGTCCACTCATCTCTCACTTCATCAGCCCAGATTGCTTCGCAGCATCACATCGCCCGCGTCGTGCGCGCACCACCGCAGGGGTCCTAATGAAAAAAGTTTATTCTATTCTTTTCAAACCTTCTTCCTGAGCTCCATACCCACTTGCCACAAATGATATAATTATTGCGCAACATTCTGCCGAAACTTCAGCCATAGGTATGTCCTGATGAGATCAATTATCAACCTTATCTACATTATCTGATACAAGGAAGACACAAAGATTCTGAACTAACATCAGGAATTCATTGCTACCAGATGCAGAGCAGTCACCAGCATTCACCATATAGCACTTTTCGAGTCACATAGTTACCGACTCGCAATAACTGGACGCAATAACTGGACGCAATAACTGGATGGGAGTAACTGCGCAGTAACACGATGCAGCAAATTGCTCCCCCACCAACATGTAACACTGCAATAGGACGCCGATGCAAAGATCCTTGCAAAAATAGGGGCATTAACCAAACGGGTAGATCGCTTGAAGCTCGGCGATAGTGCCGAATGGAGTAAAGTTCTAGATGTATGATGTATAGGGCGGCTCTTCGCAGCAACGATGAGCCTTCTCGGTAAGTGGGCCGATTGAAAAATAAGGTTCACGGCTGTGTTTTGCTTTCTCGCCCAAGTAGTAACGTTGCATTTGCGCCGATTGCTAACAATTGTAGGGTGGTGGCTGTAGTCCAAGGCGTATTGACTTAAATTTCTGTCAGAACCTGTAGATGATGACCACAAAAGTATATTGTTCTTGAGTTGTCTCGAAGCACAATCAAGTTCAAGGGTCCAAGCAGTCTAAACTCCGGTCAAACGCAAGGTTTATTATCTTCTGGAGATAAGACTCACTGCAAATCTTTAAAGATAGGAACACTATCATGCTAACATATTCCTTCTTCATTGAGCAATTTTTAGATGTTCAAGACCTGACATTGAAACAATTGTGCATAAACCTTGATTTAAGCATTGCCGAAGACTAATCACTCAAACAACAAACCCTTCATGAATCCCCACTTAAATGCTATCGAAGGAATAACATTTAAATAGCCCGGAATAGAACAAAAATCCATAATTTCCGATTTTTGAAGTTTCCACAAACCTTGTTCAAAGATAACTGACGACTGTTCTTAGCAACGAACCTTCTTATGCAGTAACGGTAGTGCCATGGCCTACCAATATGAATGTCTGGCAATGCACTGATCTAACAATTTCACTCACGAATCGTAACCAATGAACTTCCGTTCTTGATTTTCATCAACAATTAACCAATGACACTCAAAATAAGAAGTGAGGCAATTTTAAGCTCCTGGCCAAATTCAACGAGATTCCAGTCTCACCAGCAACCAAAGAGCCACTTTTAAACCTCGACTGCATTCCATTTCCTGTTAGAGCTTTCACATTTTACTTTCGGTGATCATTTTAATTTCAACTTGAATGAAACTTTGGAAGTCTCCATTATAACATCTGGACCTTGTAGCGAATTGAGCCATTTCTTATCCGGTGTTCAACCCACATGCCTGTTGAAATTGTTAGCCAATCAACCTCGGCAAACTCGCTTCGATGTTGAAAATTGCTTTTGGCATGGCTGGATTCTTCGATACGAGAAATATTGTACCACCTTGTTTGGTGCATGTTGCCGAGTTGGTCGGCGGCATTGCGTCCCACATTCCGTTTACGGGAAAAGGAATGCGGCTTTCAAGCAAGTGAAACAGGTATTTGCAAGCGGGGTCCAAAAATAGAAGTATGCGCCGCGGTCGTCGCGTGCATCGACTAGTTAACCGCGAGTACCCGATAAGTTTCGGGAAGCCGTATGATATCTGGCGCGATGATGCATACAAGTGCATGGTCAACGCTAAAATGGATGCAGCATGTATGCACGGCTGTTCTCTTTAGGTTGCTGGGAGCAGTTTAGCGACCACGCCAATTTATGCACATTGAGCAACAATGAAATCACCTGCATTATCGCGCATGAAATGCGAGAAAAGAAAACGAACCGTTTCCAAATTTTTTTGGTGGTCATTACTTCAATAAGAATGAGATCAAGTGTGATCTCCACTTGCTTCCCACTGCAGGCTTGTTGCCCGGTTTTCGCGTCGATGTCGTTGATAGGTCCCTATTTCCCGAATAGGACTTGATCCGAAACCCTGCATAACCCGGGCTTACCGGCCCAACATGGCAGGTGCCGATAATGTGCCGAACAACCCATCGGACCATTTTCAGGGTCCACAGCTCATAGTGGACGTACACGAGGTGGAAAAAAAATACTGTCGTACTCCATAGAACCACGACAGACGAGGATTGGTGCTTTGGCAGAGCAGTCGTAAAAAGTACCTGGGTGCAAATCTGGCCATTGTTCCCGCCTGATGCGATGTTCTGGTCAAACCTTATTCTTATGTGCCTTCCATGCAGCCACTATTCCACATGAAAGTATGGACCGGTGTAAAATAAATACCATCGGCTTCCACACACAGGTATATTTCCCACAACATAAAACTTGCAAAACACAAGCAATTGGTGACAATGACGGCACAGAAACGGGGTTCAACCCAGCAGGCGGCCAAACTCAATAGACAGTACAAATCCCGAAAACAACGGCCATGTGATTTCTGCCGCAAGCGGAAGGTTTGTTGTATTATCAACGGATCACTTCCTTGTGTTCGGTGTGAGAAATTAAACGGCGGAAATTGCACATTTAACGATGGACCCATCAAGAAACAGAGACGAAATGCACCACCAAAAGAGTATCCCGCTGCGCTAACTGCTCCCTACATCAAACAACACGACTACGAGTTTTCGCCACTGGCTTCCTCGTCACAGGCTTCCAGTTCAAGCAACCTATACCAGCCAGAAGCTCAAGTAAACCACTGTCCTCCTCGACCATATATTCCTATTCCCCCACAAATGCGTACTTTTGTGGTGGGGGACAGACAGCCGGTGGATGGATGTAAGCCAATCGGATGGCCACTGCAGGAGTTTCTGGGGTGGTTTCCGCTTTTACCGGCGGAATTACGAACGCCACAAAGCGTGACAGGTGGGGTTCTGCAAAATAATGATGGAAATTTGGAACAAAGAACCCACAATCAACAGGGATACTCCATAGGCGACGTGGACGGGATGGGGGAGGATTTGCACGAATATATCCTCAAAATGATGTGAAGTGTATTTGTTGAAATTATAGAGAATAGATTTAACTTTGCGCGGTTGGCACAGCATGTTTTCGCAGCAGGGGTTATAAGTAACGATTGGCCTGGTTAGCTCAATCGGTAGAGCGTTTGACTCTTATACAAGAGAAGCGATCAAAAGGCTGCGGGTTCGACCCCCGCATCGGGCTAATTTCTTTTTTTTCTTCTTCACATCCCCACACCGCAGATAGAGCCGTTCACTCAATTCTCATCTCTTGAGTCATCATTTCTCATCTCTTGAGTCACTATGCCTACGTCAAAATCAGCATCTGAGGACTCCTCCGCATCCACCGTCGAGAGGGTTCGCTCGGTAGACTCGGACATAACCCAGGGGTTCTGGAAAGTGTTCCAAAATGCTAGTCGAAAATTAGACTCTCTTGGCGTAGAAACAAGAGGAATAGAACGAATAGAGGCTTATGAAAGATCTACAAACAAAACAAAACAGCTTATCTCGGTTATTGGGTTGTGGTTATCTGCCAGTGGGGGCTTGAGTTCAATGTCATCGTTTTTTTTGGGACCACTTCTTTTCGGATTGGGACTTAGAAATACTCTTATAGCCGGTTTGGTGGGCCATATTTTGGGTTGTGCCATCGCTGCGTACTGCTCGCTCATGGGGCCTCGTTCGGGGTGCCGGCAGATGGTTGGTGCTCGGTTTTTGTTCGGATGGTGGTTTGTAAAACTTGTCAGTTTGGTGAGCATCATTGGAGTCATGGGGTGGTCGGTGGTAAATTGTGTGGTTGGTGGCCAGATTTTGGCCAGTGTGAGCAACGACAAGGTTCCGCTTGTGGTGGGGATCATTATTATCGCGGTGGTGTCGCTCGTCGTGGCTATTGCTGGTATTCGCCAATTGATCAGAGTGGAAGCTTTATTGAGTATTCCTGTCAATTTGGCTTTTTTGCTCTTGTACGTGGCAGCTTCGCAAAAGTTTGGTTACCTTTCCAACGACAATAGTCCTGAAATTGCTCACGATCCAGCTACAATTAGGGGAAATTGGTTATCGTTTTTTTCCTTATGCTACTCCATCACCTCCACTTGGGGCCTGATTGCGTCCGATTACTACATTCTTTTCCCTGAAGATACTCCAGACGTTCAAATCTTTGCCCTAACATTCTTTGGCATTTGTATCCCTACTACATTTGTTGGCGTGGCTGGTTTACTCATCGGTAACGTTGCTCTCTCCTACAAACCATGGGGAGAAGCTTATGCCAAATTGGGGATGGGAGGCTTGCTCCACGAAGCGTTCACTCCATGGGGAGCCGGAGGGAAGTTTTTGCTAATGGTTATCTTCTTATCGTTGATTTCTAACAACATTCTCAATACCTACTCTGCTGCCTTTGGCATCCAATTGGCAGGCGTGTGGCTCGCCAAGGTTCCTCGCTGGGCGTGGGCCTTTGCCATCACCGCCGTATACTTGGTGTGTGCTCTTGTGGGCAGAAACAAATTTGCAACCATTTTGGGGAACTTTCTTCCTATGGTGGGGTACTGGATATCGATGTATTTCATAATTTTGCTTGAGGAAAACACCATTTTCAGAACAAAATGGCTTGTTCATTTATACACCAAGGAATTTGAAGATTCTGAGCCTGAAAGAGTCAGAGGTGGTACCGTTACTCGCCGCAAACACTACAATTTCACCATCTGGAACGACTACTACAAATTGACTCGCGGGCTTGCTGCCACCGCTGCTTTTGTCATAGGTGCAACCGGAGCCGCCGTGGGCATGTCTCAGACATACTGGGTGGGTCCGGTTGCTCGGCGAATAGGCGGAGAGTTTGGAGGAGATATTGCCATGTGGTTATGTATGGGGTTCAGCGGAGTTGTTTACCCGGGATTACGGTACTGGGAGTTGAAGCTCTTTGGAAGATAGAAAGGAGAGAAGAACAGAAGAACAGAAAAGAAGAGAGAAGAGAAAAGAAGATCAAAGAACAAGCACTTTATGATAGACGAGAGATGCTCCGCCAATTGCCGCCAATTGCCGGTCAGCGATGCCTACTAATATACTAACTAATCCACTAATAGTCGCTAAAGTAGTTGTTCGACATGGGACTATGTATAATAATCCAGTAATTTCACTTCAAACTAAATTCCACTGTATAAGTTACATATTCTTAGATTAAATTCCTATTTTTTAACTTCCCCGATTTTACCTTCGGACCGAAACCGGCTTCGCGCCAAGCTCGTGCGTGCACGAAACGGCTGGGTCGCATGGTACGGCGTGGAAGGTTTGGGCGCAAAATCTAAAAAATACATTGGGCGCAAAAAATAGAGACGAAAAAAGACACTTTTGAAACGCAGATTTCAGCTAGAACAACTACTGAAAATACAATTGATCAGTCAGCAAGTCTATCATTCCCAGTATCCTTTGCATCTCGCCAATTCCTCGTTCCCGTATGCATTTCTTCTCCATGCTGCAGGATTCGTAAATCGCCACCTGCATAACGCATATCTGAGTCATGGCGATTAGAAATCGATTTTCTTTACGATCTTTTTTATTTAAACCCCAATTTTCGCCACCCACCTCAGGAATGACGCCGGAAATTCCATCCCACCAAGATGGAGATGGAGGCGAATTCAATGAGGATGACATACTTCGAAGCGAACAGGCCAACCAGGCGCCAGTATGGTCGATCCTTCCTTCCTACCACATGTACAAATCGTTATATATGGGAATGAATGCCCCCACCGAAAACATTCACGAGCCCCCCACCTACGAAGACGTGTCCCACACTTCCGTGTCCCACACTTCCGTGACAACCTCCAGTATCACCGCATCGTCACTTTCTCTCCATAATTCGGACACCACGGCTCCGTCGTCCAATGATCCCAGAGTGATTGTGGCCGATGAAAACACCAACGATTGGCAAAACACGTTGTTGGATAACATCCACCAGTTGAAAAACTTGACCTTTTCGAACAACAAGTACGCCAAGTCCCTTAATGTGTCGGTTCACTTTACCAAAGAAGTGGGAAAATTGGGAAAGAAACCCACCTATATTGATCCTCTGGTGTACGAATATAAACAAGGTGACACTGTCAACGGTCACATCTTGATCGAGAACACCTCGGACGAGAAAATACGCTTTGATATGATGTATGTGGTGTTTGAAGGTTCGTTTCTTGTAGCCAATGCCAAGAATAAGAAAGACCGAGTTCCTGTTAAAGTCAAGCAATTTCTCCAGATGTTCGATTTCACTGCATCGTGGAACCACGGCAACATCGACAGACTAATTACCGAGAGTAGTCACCCATACACATGTCCAAATATCGTGGATCCAATCGACAACGCCAAACTAGCAGTGAAAGACAGAACTATCCATCCCGGTAACGTCTATAAGCGATTTTTCACCTTCAAGATTCCAGCTCAGCTCCTCGACTCGGAATGTAGTCACAATTTACTGGGTCACACTCATATTCCTCCTAGTTTGGGGTCCAGTCGTCAAGAGCAAGCCAAGTATTCGTCCAAACAAATGCAGACTATGAGAGTGAGAGATCTCTCGTTTGTAGATACCTCCATCAGCTACGGTGTAATGACGAGAATCATCGGAAGATCGTCCATGTATAATCTTGATGAAAATGACGAACTGGAAGGTACTCGTTTGATCAACTCTACCGGTGATGAGTTTGTGATTCTCAAAGAACAAAACGAGTTTATGCGGATGGTTCCCGAACCAATGGGCAATTCGCTTGATGAGCACTTGATGAAGGTGACCGAGTCCAAAATGCTTCATGACAATTTGGTCAACCGACTTCAACAGAAAATCGATATGGGCAATTCCATTCTCGAAGCCATGAAGAATGGCAATTATGATTTTGCCATAGATATTTCCGACCAGGAACGAACGTTACATGCAAGTAACGACCACATGGGAGATCTCATCAAGTCTCGGCAATTGTATCGTGCTTGTACAAGTCGTGATAAGAAGATGACCAATGTTCCCGTGGAGAAGTATGGTGTGGCATTTGCATTCAAAAAGAGGAGTTTGACTGGCTCGTCCAAACCATTGGGAAGTATGATGGTATCGACGCCCAAGGTTAATCGGGTGGTGCGGTACATCTCTCCGTTACGGTTTCGTCCTGATGTTAGTCAAAAGATTGACAACAAAAGTTGGAAACTTCTGGTGCCCATTGATTTTTCATTCACTTTTCCTGCTACTGCCGACCATAGAAATATCAAACTTCCCGATCTCAAAAGGGTGGATGTGGAACTAGTTGCACTCACGTGGAAATCATTGAAGTATGCTCTTCCATACGAACTCAACCACGATATTATTTTCAAAGATCGAGTTGCTACGCACCATTCGCTGAAAGAAGAGAGCCACAAAGTGTTTGGAGGAGATAACATCAATGAAACGTACAAAAAGCCATTTCAGATAATGATGAACCAGTTATATGACCTCTACAATGAACTTGGTTCCGACAATTTCAAACTCGAAGCACAATTGGTCGAAGATGTAAAGAGCATCAGCAGCTTTGAAACCAAGCACATGAACATGCCAGTTCAAAGCGTCACCGTTCGTGACCGCAGCGAAAACGCCACAAGCTTATCCCGACTCCCATGGGTGCAAAAAGATCCAAATACGTTTCTGCTGCAGGTGAACGTTGCAATCGATCTCGAGACGGTTTACCTTAAAGGAGAAATGCCCACGGCCGAAAAAGCCCACAGCAATTACTGTTTGGTCACGAGTTTCCAGAGCTGCACCATTGGACGACTTTACTATTTGAAGGTGGTTTTGAAGTTGTCGAATAACGATTCGGTGCGGTTTCTTCTTCCTGTGACTGTGGAGAAGAGTGCATAGAACAAGTCCGTGCCGGCGCAATGCGCAATGACGACACATTCTCTACTACTGCTTGCCATTCTGCAGGAACAGACCTGGGGTCCTTGCTACTCCAGCTACGGCGGCTAGTAAACAACAGTTATATATATTCCTATGTCGAACGAGATATATGCATCAAGTAGCTCACTCCTCTGTGAGAGGGAAAGAGCCAGAAATCTGGCTCTTTGGACCATGGTTGAAAACGTGTTGTGGCTCTGTTGCACCTGAATTCCATAGCAATCTAGGACCCTGCACATCGTCCTAGATCGAACAGCCACACCCCTCAGAATGAATGGCTGAGGGTGTTACGAGCGAGGGGAAGCAGAATAATTTCAGTACGGCAGCAATCTTTGGTAGCAACCGCAAAATGGCTGCAACTATAAAGGTAGGTTAAGTATGGGGTCTACCAAGAAAATCACAAGATGGGATTAACAGATAAAATATCAAGTAAATTTGGAAAGAACGAAGCTAGTGAGCTCGACAAGCAAGGTGGAAAGGCAATTGGCAAGGACAATGTTTCCGGAGAATTGCAGAAGCAGTATAAGGAGGGAAACGTGAACAAGGCCAATGCTGGAAAGTACGCCGATGACCTTGATAAACAAGGAGGAAAGGCACTTGGCAGAGAAAACCTTTCTGGAACAGAAAAGGGTGTTGGAACTCATTACTTGGGCGCCAAGGATGGTTCCACTGGAACTGGAACTGGAACTGGAACTCACGGAACTTCTGGTACTCATGGTTCCGGAACCGGTGCTGGAACCGGTGCTGGAGCCGGTGCTGCTGGCGTAGGAGCTGCTGGAGCTGGAGCTTACGGTGCTAGCCACTCTGGTCATTCCAAGAATAGTGAACAATTTGGAAAGACCGAAGGTAATTACGGAAAGACGGAAGGTGACTATGGAACTACTGGTACTGGAGGATATGGTTCAGGAAGTGGAACTCATGGAACCCATGGAACTACTGGAACTCACGGTACTACTGGAACCCATGGAGCTACTGGAACTCACGGTACCACCGGAACTACTGGAGCTTACGGTTCCTCTGGCTCTGCCTCTGGGAACCACACCACCGGCTCTGACCCTTACGGAACCACTCGTGGTGGAAGCGACACATATGGTTCATCTGGACATGGATCTGACGCTTATGGTTCTGGTCGTGGAACCAATACCTACGGTTCAGGACAATCTGGACACACTTCTGGCCATCACGGTAAAGAAGCTGCTGCCGCTGCTGCTGGTGTAGGTGCTGGTGGTGCTGCTGGCTATGGTGCTTCTCACCACGACTCGAGCCATGGAACTCATGGAACTTCTGGAGCTGGTCAATCTGGATATGGACAATCTGGAACGACTGGACAATCTGGATATGGACAATCAGGAACTACTGGACAATCTGGTTACGGTACCTCTGGAACTGGTCAATCTGACTATGGAACTTCTGGCACCGGCCACACTGGCTCTGGTCACACTGGAACCCATTCTGGAACCCATTCTGGAACCCATTCTGGAACCCATTCTGGAACCCATTCTGGATCTCACACTGGAGCTGGCACTGGCGCTGGTCTTGGTGCTGGAACTGGTGCTGCTGCTGGTTACGGATCTAGCCACACTGGCTCAGGACACACTGGTTCAACTCACACTGGCTCAGGACACACTGGAACCGACTCCAGCTTTACTACTGGTAACCTGAAACTTGATTCCAAGATTTCAAAGTTGGAGCCCCATGTCCAAGAACAAGCCAAGGACGCTTTCCACCAAGGCTACAAGGATGCTCAAAAGGCTTTCAACCAGTAAATTCAATGTCTTATGTTGTAATAAAACTGCTATGTCTCAAATCATTCCATCTTGTAGTTCCCTTCTTTATCATACCTTCACTTTCTTATTCTTTTTTAACTGCTACAGCTGCACTGCAACATGGCATACTCATCGCCCTGGTCTTGAACCTTCCAAGTCTTCTCCACCTCTTTAAGTTCATCTCCCCATTTGCTCTCATCGAATGGATTCAAACTCATTTTTTGCAATTTCATAAGATAACTCAAATCCTTTCCTTCACTCTCTTCTGTCTTTTCTATGACTTGGTCCAAAATCCAATTTCGTGGAAGAAACACTGGATTGTAAGATTTGACATTGGTTTCGTAGTATCCTTGTTGAAGTTTCTCAGACTTCTCAAGTTCCTCGTGGTACACCTGAACCCAATTGGATATCATTTCCGTAACCTCGTCCTTACTATACTTGACATCGTTGTAGTTGCAATATGGTAGAATGAACTCAGCAACCTGCTTGGGCTCTTTTGTAACCACTCCCAGCTCCTGCAAAATCACAAAAAACCGGTTGAAATCGCACCCGAGTTCCTTCAACATATCGAGCATGGGCACTATAAGTTTCTGACGTTGTTCTTCGGGCAGCAGAATGTTGATCAATTTCGTGTTCAATCCAAGACGATTGTAAAAACCGTTCATATAACTGACAGTATGGGCATATTGATAGATATCCGCAGCCACCTCAATGAGTTTTGTTGCTCGTTTGATAATCTGGTCTTCCCATTCGGGCTTTATTCCTTCGTTTTTGAAATGACTATCGTTAATAAGTTCTTCGCCAGCGCCAATAAGTTCCGCTAAATTTTCCCCGAGTCTTGTCAAATTCCACCAGATGGCAGTCGGTGTGTGTTTGTAGCTGTAGCGCTCATCATGGTCTTCTGAATTGGGTGTGTAATCAGGATTATAACGATCCATGATTGAAAACGGTCCAAAATCCATCGAGAGTCCGAGAATCGATGTGTTATCAGTGTTGAGAACTCCATTCAAGAATCCATACACTTGCCACTTACCAGAAGTCGAGGCATTGCGCACAACCGTCTCCAAGTACATCTTGTCGTAATCTGTCAAATTGCCCAACGACTCTGAAGCTTGCGAGAAAAAGTCAGGACCATTCTGAAGGGTTCTCTCTAGATTGTGAAACTTCTTTCCGTTGACAGTAAAGAGTTGGTTGATAACATAGTCGGAGAGGTCTCTAATTCCCCCACGGTCTCCACGCCATCTGTACAAATCAAAGGTACCCAAACGAATCCACAGCTCGGCAAATCTCGACACTATGGCACATTTCTCTACCCTGTGCCTCTGGGCCAAAGTCTGGGGGAGATAGGTGAGCGAAAGTGCCCTGGTGGTGGGAACTCCAATGGTATGGAGATGCTCAGAAATGATATACTCTCGTATAGACGAACGAAGCACAGCTTTTCCGTCAGCAAAACGAGAGAACGGCGTCATTCCGCTACCCTTGAGCTGGATTTCATACACTTCGCGGTTTTCGCCATCACCTTTAGGCTTATTTATCTCGAATAAATTGTGCACCCTGCCATCGCCAAGCTGCCCAGCAAATTGGCCAAATTGCCACCCAGCATACGCCTGGGAATAAGGGAACGGATATCCCTTTTGTAAAAACTCCTTGTCCTTCAAATACAATTCTCCCGAAACAATCTCTTGAAACTCTTTTGTTTCCGGGTCTTTAGGGTCCAATCCAAGGTCCTCAATTGCACGAGGACTCCACGTCAAAAGCCTGCTTTCCTTACGCTCCTCAGGTAAGGACCACGAGAAGCCTCCAAATTGAAGAATCCGTGGCCGGTGAATGATGTTGTCTTTGTTTTCCAACGCTACATCGGTGGTTTCTATGCGAGCATCGGGTTTAATGAATTTGGTGAACGACGAGGATTTGGGAACCTCGCTAAGTCTAACTGTCAGCATCCGTCTTTTAAGTGAGTGCATCAACGTAGAAGTCAGTGTGTTTTCTCCAAATACCAAAATGTGAACAATTGGTGTGAATAAATGGAGATGTATTCAGATTTAAATGCTGCAACAGTATTAACAAAGTTTCGCGATCACAAATCGCATGCAGCAAGCGTGCATATAAGCCACCTATCCCCGAGACAAGTAAGTGACTTCCACCCTAAACGAGGCTAAAAGTAACAATTATGAAGCCAATTGAGCCCAACTATCAAAGAAGAATACCGATACCTCTTATTTTTCACCTTTTCGTTTGGTGAAAGATACGGATGGTTCAGACCAAGTCACGTGACCACCCGCTACATCCTTTCGCGACTCTTGTTAACAACTAGTTTACCATGCTCTGGCGACGTGTTCTCGTTCGCCATCGAGCAAAACTCGTGGCGGTGGTGTTTCTAGTGGTCATATTCACCCACATAGCCTATATAAGGCCCCAGAAGTCACTTGTGTCACAAAATAATTCCTATAGTGAACAAAAAGCACCCGTGTCTGGTGACAAAGATGGAATCAAGGAGTCGATACAACGTTCCATCAGAGATTATCGCGTATTTTTCGATGGTTTGGAAGAGTACAAGATTACTGCACCCTCAATCAAGGGCCAATACAAGGATAAAAAGGCACCAGAGGTGTTTTCTACTGCAGATGATATTCTTTTGTCGAAGGAAGTACTTGAAAACGTGTTAGATATACCCGACGAAACATACCAGCAACTCAAGACGTCGCATTCGAGGTATGTGGACGAACAAATCAACAAATTGACGGAAAATTATGGCCTTTCGACGTTTGGTAATATTTTAAAAACAGATCCCGAATGGGGTACTTACCAAGGGTCTGCAGGTTACGTGATGGTGGGAGGCCATCAGTTCAGTTGGCTTTCGTACCTCAATATCAGACAATTACGTTCAACCGGCTCCAAGCTTCCCGTGGAGCTTTTCATTGCCAGCGATGCAGAATACGAGCCTGAGTTTTGCGAGAAAGTTTTACCTCGTCTTAACGCTCGATGCAACAGATTTAATCCTGATTTTATCAAAGAATTGGGAGACCGGTTCAACTTGGGCGGGTTTCAGTTTAAGATGTTGGCTGTTCTTAGTTCTCGGTTCGAAAATGTCATGTACCTCGACTCCGACAACTTACCTGCCCGCAATCCGGACGGCATTTTCGAGTCAGATTTGTACAAGAAACATCAGATGATTCTTTGGCCTGATGCTTGGGCTCGTACCACCAACCCCAAATTCTACGAAATTGCCGGTATTGACGTGAAACCTAACAAAATTCGGTATTCAGCATACGACAAAAAAGAAGCAGAGAAAGCCGGCGAGTCTTCGGTTCGTCCACCCTCTGCGTACGACTTTACCAACTCCAATTTCCACGATTTTGAGGGAACAATTCCAAACCCCACTTCGGAAGCTGGAGCTTTTGTTATCAACAAAACCAGCCATCTCAAGACGCTTCTACTTTGCTTGTACTACAATGTTTTCGGTCCCGACTACTACTATCCACTTTTCACCCAGGGATCCGCCGGTGAAGGCGACAAGGAGACGTTTATTGCTGCTGCGCATGTAATGAATGAACCGTGGTTCCAGACACTCAAACAATTTAAATGGGTCGGGTATTTCCGTAAGTCCAAGGGTGGATTTGATTCGAAAGCATTGGGCCACTACGACCCGGTACAGTCTGCTACTGACGCCGATAAAGATATCGACTTTATGTTTATGCATTTGTCGTATCCGAAATACTATTGGTCGTGGTTGAGTGATAACCATGAATTGTACGACTCCGATGAACATGTCAGGATGTATGAATCGATTTACGATAATGTGGGGTACGATTTTGATCTTCGGGTTTTATACTCTTTCACTCTGGGGTTGTGTCCTAATCTTTTCAACGAAGATGGATCTGTCGTTGTTGGACCAAAAGAAGCTCACAAGAACAAAGATTACATGGGTCCATATCTTCGCTATGCCCAGCCTACAGCACAGATATCCGCTCTATGCAAAGAACTATTCATACCACATATCAAGTGGCTATTGGAGACCACGAAATATCCTAATTCCATTTCCCCATTTCCAGGTCTGGACCCAATAGCATAAACGAGTCAGATTTGACTAAAATAGCCGTGCACGTCAAACCATTACTAACCCTGCATACGACCATGGTGAGCTTGGTCTTGCTACGAGCCAATAATTTATAGAAGTCTAGTATATTGCTACCTTGCTACAGAGGCACGAACACTGCTTATCGTCCTCTGTTTTAGCTACACTTTTGTTTGCTAATTCGCGTTTGCTATCGTCTTTTTTGCAACTCCAATTTTCAGGGCCCGGCCCGAAGTCGGTAAGCCGCACGATTTGCAATCGATTTGGATGTCAATTTCAAACATTGCAAAGTATATAAAGTGCCAGCGAATTTTTTTCATCTCATGTCGATGAGCAGTGAGCGCACTACGCTTGAGCATGAACCACAAATACTTGCCATGAAAGAAGAAGGAGAAAAAGATGCCCACACGAATGCCGTACCGAGCTGCGATGAGATTGGGTTTTTTCATGAAGTGGTTTTCGTATTTTGCATGTGCTGTGGCCAGCTCTTTTCTCAGGCAGCTGTAGCACAGGCAATTGCAGCCACCAAAGGAATTGCCAACACTTTTGGGGTGGAAGATCTGCCCGGTGAGCAAGCTTGGTTCACAGCGTCATTTTCTCTGACGGTTGGAACATTTATTTTGGCATCTGGAAAATTCGGCGATATGTTCGGCTACAAGTTTATGTATATCACAGGTGTGTTGTGGTTTGCCTTGTGGTCGCTAATTTGTGGATTTAGTGCATATGCCAAATCAGCCGTTTTCTTCGATGTTTGCAGAGCTTTACAAGGAGCTGGTCTGGCGTTACTTTTTCCCAATGGTATTGCAGTTTTGGGCCATTATTATCCTCCAGGGTCCATGAAAAAGAATATTGTCATGTGCTTGTTCGGCGCTGCAGCACCTTCTGGATTCAATATAGGCGCTCTATTTTCCAGTCTTTTTGCTATGAAAGTTTGGTGGCCGTGGACATTTTGGGTGTGTGGAATTGCCTCGGTTTGTCTTGCCGTTTTGTCTTACTTGTTTGTTCCCAAAAAAATAGGAACTCCATCCAGAAAGGAGCCTTTCGATTGGATAGGCTCAACGTTGGGAATCAGTGGCTTGATCCTCTTCAACTTTGCATGGAACCAAGGGTCCAATGTGGGCTGGAAGACGGTTTATAACTATGTCTTGCTCATTGTTTCAGTCGGTTTGGTCGTTGCATTTGACATAGTCGAGGTTTACTTGAAGCATCCAATTGTGCCTATAAAATCATTGAAAGGTGAACCGTCGTTTGTTTTGGGATGTATCGCAGCTGGATGGTCCTGCTTTGGTATTTGGCTTTATTACACCTTTCAATGGGCTTTTTACGTCGACAACGTTAACCCTGTGGTTGCGTCAGTTCAATTCATTCCCTGTAGCATTTCAGGGTTCATTGCAGCATTGACCACAGCCTATCTTCTTCACAAAATACCGCTGTCTTTTGTCATGATGTTATCGATGTGTGCCTTCTTTGCGGGCATAACCGTCATGGGAACAAGGCATGTGGGTCAAACGTACTGGGGCCAAAAATTCGTATCGTGCCTCATCCAGCCTTTTGGAATGGATATGAGTTTTCCAGCAGCCACTATCATTCTTTCCAACCACTTTCCTCCTTCGAAACAAGGAATTTCCGCTTCATTGGTTGCAACAGTCCAAAACTACTCTGTTGCATTAGGACTTGGATTCGCAGGTACGGTCGAAAAGTACAAGACCGACCATTTACCCCAGACTTTTGATCTGAAATTGTTAGGTATCAGAGTTGCATTCTATATGGGAATGGGACTTGCGGGCCTTGGAGTTGTGTTTTCAGTAATAGGTGGTATTCTTCAGTGGAAAGAGGACAGGAAAGCAAAAGTGGACAAGGCACAAGCAATAAGGAACGAGGGATAAACCCCTAAACCTCATGAACAGTGAATGTCGAATACACTACTTCACAACATGAAGAATGTGCTAAACACCAAGGAATTATAAACCCGAATTTATTAGTGCTAAGAGCCCTTATACCAGTGAGCATTATCACTCAGAGCTTATACCAACAAAATAATGACAAGCCAAGACGATAGAACTGGTATGGTATGACTATTATATGTGACTATTTATTTGACTATTTATCTGACTATTTATTTGACTATTAATTTGACTCTTTATTTGACTTCATACACCGTCAATTTGCAGCCGCTACACACGATATCCTGCACACCAACTGCCATATCGCACCTCACATTTTCCGTTCCTTATCATATTACCAATGTCAGTATTGAAATCGCCATTGACCAAAAATCTTCGTATTGCACTTATCCAGCTCAAAGCTGGTGCAGACAAGGCTGCGAATCTCAATTCTGTCAAAAATCATATCGAAAAAGCCATTTCCACTTCCACAGTTGGACCTCTAGATGTGGTTATGCTTCCCGAATGTTTCAATTCTCCCTATGCTGTGGACCAATTTCGTCGCTATTCCGAGTCTATTCCTGGCGGAGAGACCACAGAATTCTTGTCGAGTCTTGCAAAAAAACATTCGGTGTATATTGTAGGAGGATCTATTCCTGAGCTTGCTGACGATAAGGTGTATAATACTTCACTCACGTTCGATCCCAATGGGGAGATCATTGCCAAGCATCGCAAGACCCATTTGTTTGACATTGACATCAAGAACGGTATCACCTTTAAAGAACTGGACTCATTGAGCGCCGGCGATAAAGCCACAGTTTTCAAGCTTGGAGACTTTGGAAATGTGGGACTCGGGATCTGTTACGATATAAGATTCCCTGAGTTGGCCTCAGTTACTGCCCGGGCACCTCACAACTCATTTGCTATGTTTTATCCTGGAGCATTCAATACCACTACTGGTCCTCTTCACTGGCATTTACTCGCAAGATCTCGGGCGGTAGATAATGAAATGTTTGTCATTTTGTGCTCTCCAGCTAGAGACGTTGGAGGTGACGGGTACCAGGCGTATGGGCACTCTTTGGTGGTGGATCCTTATGGAAAAATTGTGGCAGAAGCTGGAGAAGGCGAAGAAGTTTTGTTTGCTGAATTAGACCATACTCTTCTACCCGCGGTTCGTCAGGGCATTCCAGTGCACTACCAAAGGAGATTCGATGTGTATGGCGACTATGTAGGAGAGGGAAAGGTCAAGGTGAGCGATAAGTAGAGAAAAGATGGACTAGAAGTAAGAACTAGAGAATTAACTCCAATTCAGAAGTGACAAGCAAACTAAACCTTTTGACAGAAGCGTAACAGTACAACTTCTCAATCGTTCTCAATTGTCCAATTGTCTTTTCTCTCCATTGTTTCAATTGTCCTCTTCTTTCTCTATAAAGTCCACCAACACCTCTATGAATTCGTTGGGTTTCTCGCTGATCACCCAGTGTCCCGATTTGATGTCTCTAACCTGGAAATCAGGAAAGTATCGACCTATATCTGGTATCAGCTCGTCAGGAATATATGCTGATTCGGTGCCTCGAATAAAAAGAGCAGGGCCTCGGGTCCACCGAGACACATTGCAGTCATAGGGCCATGATGCTATCTTACCAGCCACAATTGCATCTCCAATTATATCAAGAGGAATCCTAGAAGTTATAACTTCTTCCGTTTTGCCTCGGTTGAGGTTGGTCAATAAAAATTGTCGGACTTCTTTTCTGGGCTCAACTGCTGCTAAGTCTCTATCGACGTCCTTGATATTGGTATACTTGTGATGTTCAAGGGACGTTCTGAGCAGTTTCACGTACTTGGAGAACGCAGAGGTAGATCCCGTAGAGAGATCTATGGGAGCATTGTCGACCGAAACCACCATTCCTGGAAGCTCGGGTCTTCGAAGTGCGACAGCCATGGCAGTTTTTGCACCCATTGAATGGCCCACAAGAATTGGTTTTTTTTCAAACTTGGCATCCTCCACAAACTTTTCCACGTCTGCCGCCAACGCAGGATAGTCCAATCGTGGATGGTGGGGAGAATCGCCAAAGTTTCGTAAGTCGAGACAGTAGATGTCACGAGTGAGTTTTGTAGCTAGTTGCTTCGCCACGGTTCTAGTGTTGGACTTGGATCCAAACAACCCATGTAAGATCAATAGTGGCGCCTTGGCCTCCAGAGAAGTTTTTTTTGGACTATGCTTGTCAAAAACCAAAGGAACGGTTTCTATGGATCCGTCTACCGCTAGGGCATCGCCGAGATAGGATGGTGAATTAACGTACGAAGCTAACTTTTTCAGCGACGACAAGACTCTGAAGAAAGAGAGAGGCTTGTTATTTCGAAGGGTGATGGGAATAGTTTTGAACATTTGAGTGTTGAGCTTATGTCGGCAGAGTTGCATTTAAATTCGCTGCATTGGACTGCGGTACACCACCGATGAGCGCGGGGCACAGTACCGAGAAAGTGAAGGAAATTGGGGATTGGGGAGGTTACGCAAAAGCATTTTTTTACATAGTAATGGGTAAAAGCCACACGAAAGCTCTTGAAATCAAAGATGTTTCTTTTTTACGACTCAATGCTTTTTTGGTGTTTCAAGAATTTCAGAATATAAATTTGCTCTGTGGTAATTGGAATGGGGAATGTTCATGATTCTGGGTGAAAGTGCTTCTACACCACACATACGCCAATTTAAACAATTGGTTGCAGTTCTGATCAGTTCCGTTGTTGTTTTTGAATCAGTTTAGTGTTAGCTCGCACTGGTTAATTTAGCACTGATTCCGTATTTCTACCCAATTCACAAATTCACCTTGATACTACAGCAATTATACAAATGAGGATCGGTCCCCTTGGGTCCCTTTTCATGACAATTGCTCTAGTTCATCGTGCTTAAAAAATTTGCAGCCATTCTAGTAAATCTTGAAGAGCTATTTTGACAGCGAAAAGTCATCTTTACTACTTCTTCCTCTAACTACACTTTCAAGCTCGCTGGCACTTTAGCTTCAAGCTCATTTTGGCAGCGGAAAAATTACTTGGTCAATTTGAGTAGTTGGCATTCTAATCCATTACTCCTCGCAATTGACTTGAGTAAACAGTTGCTAAGAAACAGTAAACTTAATCTAAAAACCATATAAGTATAAACCCATTAAGAACCATATATAAGTGCTGCTTTTTGCTTGAAAGTAGGTGCCTGTACCTACTCTAAAACAGCCGCACCGCAAGCGCCCCGCATTAATTTCGCCGAACCCCAGACGAAATCTGTCAAAATATCTCGATGAAAATTCCATTTTTCCTTTTATGGGGCTTTACCATAGCCCTAGTAACAGCATCAGCAGACACAAATTTGGGTCACATGTATATTCTGGACCATATGTATTTGGAACTAGACTCGAAAAATTCGCTTACCTGCCAGTCGATTCTGATGAAAAAGAGAACTGGGTATGAATCACTCAATTTGAAGGTTCTGGCATCAGAGACCATCAACGACAACGCTGAATTGTCGGTGGTTTTGTTTAGAGCAAAAGAGATCGAGTATCTCAATTTTTACTCGGGACAAAGTCCATCGCAACTCTTTACTATTTTCAATCGTGAAACTGAAATTTTCAAGGGTGTTCAAAAATTGAGTAAATCATACAAAACAACGCTCAAAAACGAGTTTGCAGTGCTCAAAAAAGGTGAAAATCATGTTTTTCAACTATTTTTGGAACAGTCTGGAGTCTACTGTGCGATGGTTGCGGTGTCTCCCAAGGTACCCCCAAAGACATTATCGTTCCAATTGAGCACCAAGAGTCCGAATGGAAGCTTGAATAGCCAACAAGTGCTTGGGTTTGACATCTTGTTGCCCCTGAGTATTGCTGGAATTGTGTTTTTGGCAATTGCTGCAAAAAAGTATTTCGACTTGAAGTCACAAAAATTGGCCCGAGAACCCATAATCCTAAAGTCGATTGTGTTTTGGATAATAGTACCACTCGAAACAATTCTTTCAATTTGGTGCTTGTTTCTTTGCTTGCTGCGTAATGCTGAACCATTCACTTTTGCATCCTCGGTCTGGAATTATTGCAATTCTTTTTTGCACTATCTTTTTCAGGTGCAACGTTACTTTGTCCAGTATGGTCTTTTATTGTTTGCAAATGGCTATGGATTACTTTACAGCTTTCAAAATTCTTCTACTTATTCCAACTTTCCTCCTGATAAACTCAAATGGCCAAGACGCTTTCTCATTGCTGATATCATCAACAGACCTACTTTATTGGTGGTTCAGTTTGCTTTGGGTAAGTTACCCGAAAAATCAAGCACGCTCTCCATGTCCCTAGGAGCCGCAATAGTGTTCTTTCTGGTAATTATGGCTGCGTTTCAAAGTATAGCTACCATCTGCCAAATATGGTTTCCCTACCGTTACCACAAACAAGTTTTGAAAACGATTGCAATCAGTAAGCAGAAACATGAGAAAGACGAACAAAGAATTAGGGACATTCTGAAAACAGAAAAGGCATTCAAGAGGAGTATTGCAATTGGCTTATTCATGAATGTGTTGCGCCCAATTATAAATGTGATTTTAATGGTTGCAACTCCAGGAACTGAGTTTGACAAGTTGGAATCTAGCTATGGTTCATACTTGCGAGTTGGAGACATTGCCATTGACATTATTCAAGTATTTCTGATTGTGGTTCCATTTGTATATATATGGAGTTCTGAGCTGTGCCGTCTGGTATTTGTGGAGAAAAGCAAGGAGGAATAATAAAACGGACTCATCAACCATGGTTCATTTCTCAGTGTATGACATTTCAATTGCTCAACCAGTGATGTTAATTAAAACCCTTATTAGCTTGATTAGCTGAAAATTGTGCTGTTCTTCTTCCTTTGAATATCATGAATGCTACACTTTAGTGTCTATACATATTGGATCTGGAGCCGCACGCCGCACGCCAATGTCAAAAGTGCATCGAGTATTAACGCTTAGCGTGGAACGCACCATTACAATTCTATGCTTTTTCTATGTCCTCTAAAGAAACTTTAGTTCATGAGATTCTAAGTAGCGTTTTGTAGAGTCGAATTTAAATGCTGAACATGTGGCTTCGTAAGAAAAAAAGTGACAGGAAACTATCAATTGAAACCATTGGTCTACAAAGATACAATGTAGACGTTTCTGCTTTCTTGCTTAGACATCCACAGCTTCGACTCCATGTTATACAAGATTCGCAAACTATAAGATTTGTCAATTTGCAGCCGAATTATTTCTGCGATAATGAAACTCCAAAGTATTCAAACCACGATTCATTTGAGGAAGATCACTCGCTACGTCAAAAGCAGTTGCCAGCCTCGGCATTGAGCATGAATTTTTCGAAACACATAAATTTTGTGAATTCGTCGGTTGATATTTGGAAGCAGGTTTGATTGATGATGAAGCTTTTTGATATGAAGAAGATATTAAGCTAAATCTTGCGTGCTCATGTGGTCATTTTTGGTGAGAAACTGGCGGTCTCTATGGTCAATTGCCGAACCAGTGACAATTGCAAATTCGAAATCGAGCAGATTTTCGTGAAAGGCTCGAATATTGCGGAGAGTGTTGTTCAACAAAACTGGTGGCACATCACACAAATACGTGCCAAATTCATGAGCGGGACACCATGCATCTTTGTTGAAGATATCCACGTAGTTTCCCTTTTCGAACTTTCCCCGTGAATAGCTGCTGTTGAAAAATGAAGCTACGCCGGTTTTAGTGTCGCTAACATGCATACTATAACCTTCTGGAGGACAATTGAAATTGGCAGAACAAGGAGAACAGCACAAACTTTGTGAGCAATTTGCTTCAGAAGCCACAGCATAATCTGGTTGAAGATTAATATGACCAAGATGGAGCACATTAAACGACTCACCACTTTGTACCGGAGCAGAATAAGATTTTGGTTTTGGTGGCCACATGGTATCAAGATTGATTTCCGGGGTTTTCTGGCCTTTCGAGGCATTTGGATTCATGGTAATAACAAAAATAATCTCCATCCAATCCTTCAGGACTCATTGATTGAAGCATCAAAATGAAGTCTGAACCAAGGGTAGATTTGTCGGCAGAAAAGGGACTGAAATTCATCTCACATTGCCCAGCATCATGCATAGCTTCGGTACACCACCGCTTGAACACATAGGGAACAATATCGGGCCGGGTCAGTGAAAGAACCTTGCCAATAGAAAGCCTTGATTTGCAAGCGGTACAAGCATCGGCGGCCTTACAGGTTAATTGTAATTGCTCGATGGATCGCCGAATAAGTTCAGTATCATCCAAGGGAGTCACCGCGGTTTCATGGCAGTCATAGATACCCTTGACTGCAGAAACAAGTAGGGAAAAAATTAGGATCAGTTTCATGAGGATGAAGTAGTTTTTCGCAGCCATTTTCACATACACAAATCGCGGGAGTGCAGACAAGAACAAGAGAGAAACGACTGATTACAACAAAATACTCATGAATCCAAGTCGAAGCATATAAACTCAATTGTTGACTTAGTGGTTGACATTAGTGAGCGAGAAATTAGAGCTGAGTACAGAGATATTATTGGTTACTCATCACCTTGAAGTACTACCTGAGTAACCGAGATTGTTACCAGGTATCAGCTGAAATCGGCTTAAATCTTGGCTAGATCCGGTGAGGAGTACTGCCGTTCTGAAAAGGTTGCATTGTTCAACTTTTCCACAAGTTTTGGTCCCCAATTCTTTGAATGATTTATCGATATCACTTGCATTCCCCCTCATTACTGAGCGCAAGTATTTTCTGGTTCTTAATAATAAGGTTCAGAATATTATTGAGAGCATGCACGACGGGCAAAAATACAAGGGGTAATTTGCCGGGCCATCTTGATAATAAAAAGATGCACCAGGTTACGGTACCAACTGAAGGCAATGAAAATCAATCATTTCAGCTTGATTCAACGAATATTCGGATGCGCATTTACCGCTGGTGAAATTTGTCGTAAATTTGACGTGAAACGGGCTGCGGCATTTCATGTCTCTTGTGCAGGCATCGAGCTAACCGATGTTGGACCGTTGGTGCCGAATTAGTAATGAGACAGGGTCTGCGACTATAAAATGATCGCAAAAAATATTACCCAACAATGTCTACAGTTTTTGTTTCTGGAGCAACCGGCTTCATTGCCCAACATGTGATCAAGCAGTTAATCGCCAAGAACTACAAAGTTGTTGGTTCTGTGAGATCAAAGGAAAAAGGTGAATCTCTTACTGAGAAGTTTGGATCGTCGTTTCAATACGAAGTTGTTGCTGATGTAGCAGCAGAAGGTGCCTTTGACCAAGCGTTGGAAAACCATCCAGAAGTGACTGTGTTTCTTCACACTGCTTCTCCATTCCGTTTTGATGTCACTGACATTCAGAAGGAATTGTTAGATCCTGCTACTCAAGGAACTGAGAATGCTCTTCGTGCAATCAAGATTCATGGTTCGCAAATTAAAAAAGTTGTGGTGACTTCGTCGTATGCTGCTATTATGGATCTCAATACCGAGAGAAATCCTGAAGTTACAAACACTGAAGCCTCGTGGAACCCAGGCACTGCCAAAGATGCTCTTCAAAACCCAATTGCAGGCTACCTCATTTCCAAAAAACTTGCTGAAAAAGCTGCTTGGGATTTCGTGGAGAATGAACATCCCAACTTCACCTTGACCACGGTGAACCCAGCTTATGTATTCGGTCCTCAAGCTTTTGATTCTGATGTCAAAGATACGCTCAACACATCGTCTGAGATCATCAATAAGGTTTTAAAGTTGAAACAAAATGAAGAAATTCCAACGATGACTGGCGCTTTCATTGACGTTCGTGATGTGGCCAAGGCACACTTGATTGCTTTCGAAAACGAGACCGCTAAAGGCAAACGATTGGCTCTCGCTGAAGGAAGATTCAGCAACCACGATATTGCCAGAGTTGTCCACGAACATTTCCCAGAAGCTGCGATTCCTCAACCAGACGCTCAGAAATCTGCACAGGAAAAATCCGTCTTGTGCAAGTTGGATTTTTCTGAAACCCAACGTATTTTTGGGTCAAAATACATTGATTTTGATACCAGCGTTGTGGACTCTGTGAAACAAATTCTTCAAAAGTAGGGGAAAGGCACTATTTATTAATATCTGTTAAGGAACTAGATGTCAGGAAAAGACTTAAAATCCCAAAGCATTTATTCATTTCTTGGTTTTGCATCGATTCTGTTCGATTGATATTTTAACTAGTTTGTGGTATACTATGTACATTTTGATTCGTCTAGACATTGCTAAATCTTTCTTTCGTCTATTTACATCATACTTCGGTTGGCCCGAAGGTTTCTGAGTAGATGTTGAAATTTACACTTCCTCTTTTTGCGAGTTCGTCATTGACAAAATGCATGTAGCCGCTTGGTCCGAGAAGGTAGACATCGTATTTTTGGTTTGGTACGATGAAATCAAAGTCACTGCTTTGAAGACGATTGGAATTTTCAGCATCTGAGTAAAAATCAGTAACCGTAAAATTTGGGTATTTTGCAGCCAATTGAGAGAGCCATTCTCCAAACGGACGATGACTCTCAGACCTATTTGAATTGTACATTTTCACTTTGCGACCCTTGGAAAGAGCTTGCTCAATAATACTGACAAGTGGTGTAATTCCAATGCCTCCAACGTAAACCAACATTTCCACACTTGGGTCATTTTCATGATAAGTAAAGCTACCACCTGGTGAAGCTACTCTGATTTTGTCACCGACTTTAAGTTGTTCATGAATATGGCTGGAAATCTGTCCACCTTCAAGCTTGCGGACGGAAATTCGATAATGGTTTTCTGTTGGAAATTCAGAAAGAGAATACTCTCTACTCTTTTCAAACTCCAGCCCTGGAAGTTTCCAACGAATACAGACATACTGACCTCTCTGAGGAGTTGCAATTGCACTTTTATCGGTTGGTGAAAAATAGACTGATTTCACATCGCTTGCTTCATTTTGTATTTTTTCAATGGTGAATTCCTTGAACCCGTTCCAAGGTTGTTTCTGGTAACAAGTATCCTCGGCGTTGATCAACAACCGAGCCAAGTTTCCATAGGCAGTTGCCCATGCTTGAAGAAATTCAGGTGTCGCTAATTCTCCCAACATATTTTCCATGGTGTTGAGAAGACAAGTTCCAACAATTGGATAGTGTTCTGGTTTGACCTGGAGTCCCACATGTTTCGTGACAATTTGCTGAACAAACCCAGTCAAGGGTTCCAAATTTTCAATATTTTCGGCATATTTCAACAATGCAAATGCAAGAATTTTGGGTTGACGTAACAGTTTTTGATCAGATTCATTGAAAAACGGCTTTACTTCAGGATAACTGGAGAGCATTTTCTGATAAAAGTTCTTGGTGAGTTCCTGACCCAGAGCTTTCAATATTGGAACTGAAGCCTTGACAATGTTAACTTGTTCTGGACTAAGCTGTTGAATGGTGTACACTTGATTTGCAGCCTTTGTCATTATGAAAGTGAGGGAGGTGGTGCGATTATTCTGGGTATTTATGCATCTGGTATATCCGTGGAAACCGTTTGGAAGTCAGCCACATGCGTGTTTGAAAAATATTTGGTGTGGTATGATTTCGGGCAAAGTCGGAATGGATGAGAAATGAGAAAATGAGTATGAGTGAATATTCGCGATGAGTAATGAGTGCGATTCGAGTGGTTGAAAAATAAGACAAGAAACGACGAGAAACTGGGGTAGTTGTGTATAGACGACTCCACATTATCAATTATCTATATAGTTTATCACTCGTGATACTTTATCAATTCTAGTTCATCATTCTTGAATAGTTCACCTACCAAATTACTCGTGCCAAGCTCGTCAAGGTTCGGGTGTATAAGCCCGTTGACTCGGCTGCAAATTCGTAATTATAGAACAAGTGGGGCTGAGAGAACCCTTACAACTCCTTAAGAAGCTTCTACCAAACGTATCGAAAATTCTTGGCCTTTTGCTTATCTGTCAAATCTTTGGCATCCTCTTCAAAATCCAATGATGGTGGTCCGTAGAGCTTGTCTCTCCTAGCATTTTCCATATAGCATCCAGCACCATAAGCCAAAATTGAAAGACAAGCTGCGGAGGTAAAGCCTAAAATAGCATGATAACCAGTAAGGTAATGAGGTGCCTGTTTGGCGAGAAAGAATTGTGGAGCAATGATGTTGGACACACAATAAGACACAAAATTCACCGTATTGACGATAGTCTTTTTTGTATGGCCCGAGGTGTTGGCCATGGACAACGACGTCATACATACGTAAGGACCCCAGTAGAAGTAAAAGAAATAGTAAGCAACGAGCAAACCATGTTTGTTGTGGAGAGTCATCATCAATGCACAGCAAATCAAAGGACATAAGCAGATGGTACCAGCACATATGGTACGGAATTTCTTGGGGAAGTAGAGACCAGGCAAGGCAATGAGCCAACTGCTTAATGTCATAAACACTCCAGTGGGCATTCCAAGCAAGGTAGTTCTGATCGGTGAGTAACCTAAACCTGAGACAATTTGTGCTGCAAATGTCACCAAGGCACCATTGCTGATATTGATGGACAATACAAACACCGCCATGACCCAAGTTTTCCAGTCTGTCAAAGCCTCGATAACCTGATCTTTCTTGAAATTTGTGTTTTTTGTTCCGGTTTTGTTTTCGATGGTTCGGTGTACCGCAATGTACTTCTCTCTTTCATTAAAGTAGCGACAAGTTACTGGACTGTCGGGCAAGAGAATGAACAACACACAAGTGAAGAAAATGGTTATGGCTCCAAACACAAGAAACAAGAGTCTCCAGTTGGCGATGGAGGAGTGGGCATGTCCTACGGCATAAGACAAGATTCCAGTGATAAGCGACGAGAAGCCTGAAAACCAAATGGCAGTACGGAACGGCTGCTCTGATTTTTTATAGAACATGGTAGTTATCACGGTTAATGAGGGAAATAAGAACGACTCGCCCATTCCCAAGAGAAACCGCATTGCACCAAGTCCAGCAAAATTGTTCCCAGCAGCCATACACATCAAGATTGCGTTCCACACAACGAAAGAAGTACATAGTACCTTTGCCACGGGAAGTTTTTGGAGCAAATAGTTGGCGGGAAACTCCATAACCAAATACCCAAAGTAAAAAATCGATCCCAACCATGAATATTGAGACCCCACCAAATGGGCATCTTCTCGCATTCCGTACACAGCAGCATTAGAAATTATGATCTTATCAGCGGCAGCAAGGGTGATAACAATTGTCATAATCGGCATCAATAACCAGTCGATTTTTCGCAAAACTTTGCGGGCTTCTTCCTGCGAATAGTCGGCATGTTCAGGATGATCCAAGAGGTATTTTGCACCAACGTCAACATCACCATCTTGGGGAAGCAGAAAACTGGACTCCTGCACCTTCAACTCGAGTTTTTCTGTCATTAAATTCAAAAATAAAGTTTAAGTTTAAACGTTAATCCGACTCGGTTATTGGTTCTTATGCTAAGCGGGTTATATTGGCTCTTATATAATAAGCGGCTGTTCTGATCTTCTTATACTGCTTATCTACGAAGATCACTCTTCATGTTACGGGTCGGTTGCAACCAATAAACAAAACGGCAGTTGGGAACGCAGAGGGGATGACGCCGATAGATTATTCCGTGCGACGGGAAACTTTATCGCGCACTGAAAGGCAGGTCGGTGCGCCGAGAGCCTCGCGCTGCGGCGTCGTCTCCTCTCCGCATATGCACCCTCGAGCGCCGCGATATCAAATCGGAAAAACCATCTTTTTATATTTATACCAAAGTCCGCAGGTCAATTTTTACGCCACCACAACATACGCGTGTCTAGTAACGACGGCGGAGCGTGTGAATACTATAGCAATGTCTTCGGTTCTTATCGTTGGTTGTGGCGTAATGGGACTTTCGTCTGCCATTGCTCTAGCAGAAAGAGGTCATAAAGTGGTTGCAATGGACTCATTTCCGGTTCCTTCGCCTTGGTCTGCCGCGTGTGACTTCAACAAGATCATCCGGACCGAATACACTGACAAATTATACACGGAATTGAGCGTCGCTGCTCTTGATGAATGGAGACATAGTCCAGTTTACAACCACACTTTCAAAGAATGTGGACGAATTTTAATCACTCCCGAGAACCACGAGGGTAGAAGGGAGTTTGAGAGACTCAGTATTGCCAATCTCCAGGCGATTGGTGGCGGAAAATATATCGAATATTATAAAGGTGGTGAACAATTGGGTGGAAAATTCAAAGTCTTAAGCCACAATTCTGTCAAAGATTCCACCGAGATAAAATGGAACCCTGAGTCGGGGCTTGCCCACGCCGCGAACGCTTTGAGACTGGCTCACGCCAGAGCCGAGCAATTGGGTGTGACATTTGTATTTGGCGACGCAGGACGAGTGGTTGCTACCTACACCGAAAACGGAACCGTTTATGTAATTTCGGCTGACGGATCGAAAAGAACAGCTGACCAGGTTCTCTTGAGTGCTGGTGCAGCCACGGGCTATCTCGTGGACTTGGGACAACAACAATCTGCTACAGGATTATTTATTACCCACATCAAGCTAACACCTCAAGAATACGAAAAATACAAGGACATTCCTGTTGTGTTTGATGGAGAAATGTTGGATACTTTTTCCCTCCAGATCCAGCTACCTACGTCCTCAAGATTGCATTGCCGGGTTCTGGAACCTCAAACTACGTTAATGATCCATTTGGAGTCTACGATAAGAAATCGCTTCCTCGCTACAAAAATGATAATCCCAACGACACCGTTCCTTTGGATGGATATGACCAGGCAAGACGGCTCCTACCCAAATACGTTCCAGATTTAGCACACCATAAGCTTCGCGACAGCAAAGTGTGTTGGATAGCAGACACCTCTGATTCTCATTTTATCGTCGATGCGGTTCCAAAACTACCCAACTTATTTGTGGCTACCGGCGACAGCGGCCATGCATTCAAGTTTCTTCCCACCATCGGAGACCTTATAGCTGATAAACTAGAGGGAAAACTTGCGGAAAAGTACCAAAATGCCTGGAAATGGAGAGACAACATTTCTCCGTTTGATCCTACAGATTGCTCATGGAGAGTGGTATCTGAGCCGTTGGACATTTCTCAAGTTAAATGGGCTAAAGAAGACTCTCATGGGACGGTTAAGCTATAGACATCGTAAACATTTTGTAAAATCGAATACTTTATGCTCTTAAGACATTGAGACGAACATAGTAGCACGGAAAAAGTAAACAGAACATACGAAACTCTAAATCAAACTCTAAACTAATTTTGTGGGAAAATACCAAGTATACGAAAAATAGATATCAATTGATGCGGTGCCTCTTCGCTACCCAAAGATCAGCTGTTTTCCCCTCCATTCAATACGAGATATGTTGACGGGATTGCAGCCATTCTCGGCGTTCCCCATTGCCTTGAAAAAATAATTGATAAACGCCGGATTAGCTCCCCATAGTCATGCACGGCGCATCCACCTTCCCCAAGCCAAAAATGAAGACACGCGGCTAGATGCAGGCAAAGCCGGAATTTACTTCGATAAGCTGCACCTCCAGATATAAATGTCATCCACCCCATATAGCATTGCAACAAACTAAAGTTTTCTATCAAAATTTATCATGACACTAGGGGAAGGGATCAAGATTGCAATAGACAGAGGAGGAACATTTACGGATGTTCTTGCGGTTATTCCCGGACAGAGCGAATACGTTTTCAAGTTACTTTCGGTCGATCCTGGAAATTATGACGATGCTAATATCGAAGGAATCCGGCGAGTTTTAGAGTACACGAGTGGAAAGGAGATTCCTCGTGGCGAATTGTTGGATACTAGTGGAGTAGAAAGTATCAGATTAGGAACCACAGTTGCAACCAATGCACTTTTGGAGAGGAAAGGTGTTCGTACTGCGCTTGTTACTACTGAAGGATTCAAGGATCTTTTGTATATTGGGAACCAGGCGCGGCCGGATCTTTTTGACTTGAATATTCGCAAACCTGGAGTCTTGTACGAAAAGGTAATTGAGGTAGAAGAACGGGTAACGCTTCCTGCTTATTCTGAGGATGCCACTGGATATACCGCTGAAGACAAGGTTGATGGAAAGTATTTTGTACGAGGCTCTACTAAAGAAGTGGTGAAAATAATCAAGCCTTTAAATGTTGAAAAAACCAAAAGCCAATTGAAAGCTTTGAAAGAAGAGGGTATAACCTCAGTTGCAATTGTCTTGGTTCATGGATACAACTTTCAGGAACATGAGCTTCAAATTGGCGCGTTGGCAACCGAACTTGGGTTTGAAAACGTTACCATGTCTCACAAAACTTTACCCATGATCAAGGTCGTAAATAGAGGACAGTCGTCCGTGGTGGACGCATACCTCACTCCCATTGTCAAGCAGTATATTGAAAGTCTTCTCAGCGGATTCAAAGAGGGATTTGAAAAACACACTAGAATCGAGTTTATGATGTCCGACGGTGGACTTTGTCATTATACTAAATTTACCGGTTTAAAGTCGCTTCTTTCTGGCCCTGCTGGTGGAGTGGTAGGACAAGCGCTCACATGCTATGATCCCAATGAAGGTACAGATACAATTGGTTTTGATATGGGAGGAACTTCCACGGAATGTTTCTAGGTACGCTGGTGCTTATGACCATGTTTTTGAGACGACTACAGCCGGCTTAAAAATTGCTGCTCCTCAGTTGGACATAAACACTGTGGCTGCTGGCGGTGGATCTATTTTGTCTTACAAAAACGGGTTGTATCAGGTTGGCCCTGGACAGCGCATCTGCTCATCCTGGTCCAGTATGCTATCGTAAAAATGGACAAAACTTGACGGTGACAGACGCAAATTTGATGTGTGGAAGAATTCTTCCTGAATACTTTCCAAAAATTTTTGGTCCCAATGAAAATGAACCACTTGATGGTACCGCCGTGGTGGAAAAGTTTCAGCAATTGGCGGATATAATTAATGCTGAGCATCCTGATAGCAAACCCAAATCGGCTCATGAAGTAGCCCTTGGGTTCCTCAATGTTGCAAATGTTGCCATGGCAAAGCCTATAAGACAATTGACAGAAAACAAAGGTTTTGACGTTACGAAACACAACTTGGCATCTTTTGGAGGTGCCGGTGGCCAACATGCAACATCGTTAGCCAAGGTTTTGAAGATCAAAAGAGTAATAATTCACAAATACTCATCGATCCTTTCTGCCTATGGAATTGCTTTGGCGGATGTGGTTCATGAAGAGTTGGAACCGGCTTCGGTAAAGTATACGGAAGAATCAGTATCATCGCTTTTGCAAAAGTGTGAGGTGTTGAAGGAAAAAGTGGCTCTCGAACTTGAAGATCAAGGAGTTACAGCATCGGATTTCCAAGTCTACTTCAATATGGGTTATAAGGGTTCAGATTCAAAACTCATGATTGCAGAAGACAAATCCAAGAATTTCTTACAGAACTTTTACGAGACTCATCAGAGAGAATTTTCATTCAACGACAAGCATAGAGACGTCATTGTGTCGGATATCAGAGTCAGAGGGTCCGGTAATGCTGGAAAGATCACCGAGAGATCAGCTTATAAAGATTTGGCCAAAATCAGTCCCAAAGTTGTTGCACCAGGAATCGAAAAACTGAAGTCAAGCGTTTATTTTGAGGGAGGATTTCAAGAAGCAAACGTTTATCTCTTAAATGACTTGGATAGTGGAACAGTTATTCCTGGTCCCGCATTAGTGATAGACTCCACTCAAACAATTTTGGTCGAGCCAAATTCCCATTTAACGGTTCTTCCTAGGCATGTCATTATTGATCTTGACGAGTCCCAGTCGTCACAAGAAAAAGATGCGGACCTCAAAATCGATCCAGTACAGTTGTCAGTCTTTGCTCACCGGTTTATGTCTATTGCTGAGTCCATGTGTACCACGTTACAGAAGATATCTGTGAGTGCCAATATCAAGGAGAGAATGGACTTTAGCTGTGCTTTATTTGACGAAGTTGGTAATCTAGTAGCCAATGCTCCTGCTGTGCCAGTTCATCTAAGTTCGATGTCTTTTGCTGTGAAATATCAGATAAATCATTGGGGTGATGATATCAAAGAAGGTGATATTTGGGCCACCAATCATCCCAAGGCGATGGGAACACACTTGCCTGATATCACTGTGATATCACCAGTTTTCGTGGACGGAAAGATTCGGTTCTATGTTGCTTCGAGAGCACATCATGCTGAAATAGGAGGCACTGTTGCGGGATCTATGGACTCGTCAGCGACAGATCTCAAGGACGAAGGTGCCCAGTTCATCGCCTGGAAGCTTGTGAACAACGGAGTTTTCGATTATGACGGAGTTGAAAAGTACTTTGTGGATGAGCTTAAGAAAGTTCCAGGATCGTCTCCTTCGAGAAAAGTTGAAGACAATATTGCCGATCTTAAGGCTGAAATTGCAGCCAACCAGCGTGGAATCAATATGTTAACGGATGTTTTCACGGAATACGATACGGACTATGTTTTGTTCTACATGAAGGGTATCAAAACCACATCTGAAGCCGCAGTCAGAAAGTTCCTCAAAAAGTTGGCACAAGAAAATAAGCATCGACTTCCATTGCAGGCTGTTGATTTCATGGATGATGGAGCCAAAATCCAACTTACCATCGATATCAATGAAGAGGATGGTTCGGCGGTGTTTGATTTCGAAGGTACCGCAGACGAAACTTTCAACTGTTTCAATGCCCCTCGAGCAGTTACTTATGCCTGTATCACCTACTGCTTAAGATGCCATATTACCGAAGGTGACTTGCCCATGAACGAAGGAGTGCTAGCTCCAATAGAGGTACGCATTCCCGAAGGCACAGTATTGAACCCCAGTGTCACCGCTGCTGTTTCTGGAGGAAATGGTATTACTTCTCAAAAAATTACCGACACAATTTTAAAAGCTTTTGGTACTGTTGCTGCATCTTATGGGTGTATGAATTGCTTGTGTTTTGGCCAAGGAGGTCTTGATAAAAAAACAGGAGAAATGGTTGCTGGGTTTGGGTTCTGTGAGACAATCGGCGGAGGTTCAGAGGTTTACAATGCAATTTTGACAGCTTTGAAATCCGGTTACACGCATATTGACACTGCAGATGCATACGGCAACGAAGATGTCATCGGAAAAGCCATCAAGGACTCCGGAGTTGACAGATCCAAGATTTTCATCACCACCAAATTGTGGTGTATCGACCATCGTCGTGCTGCAGAAGCGCTTGATGCTTCACTTAAACGTCTTGGAACCGATTACGTGGACTTGTATTTGATGCATTGGCCGGTTCCCTTGAACCCCAATGGTAACGATCCCAAGTTCCCCACGCTTCCAGATGGAAGCAGAGATATCGATCTGGATTGGAACTTCATCAAAACCTGGGAATCCATGCAAAAATTGGACAAATCTAAAGCCAGAGCAATTGGAGTGTCGAATTTTTCAGTTAAGAGAATTCAAGAATTGCTTGCGGCTCCCACAACTAAAGATGTTCCTGCTGCAAATCAGGTTGAATTGCATCCACTTCTTCCTCAAAAGGAGCTCTTGGACGAATGCGCCAAACACAATATTCTTGTGGAAGCTTATAGTCCATTGGGGTCGACAGACTCTCCTCTTTTGAAGGATGAAGTGGTGACAAAAATAGCCAAAGAACACAATGTTGAACCAGCAACCATTTTGATCGCCTGGGCGTTATGGAGAGGTACGGTGGTTTTGCCCAAGTCGGTAACACCCCATAGAATCGAGTCCAACTTTCAAGTGGTGGATCTTCTGGACCAACAAGGTGAAGAATTGGAACAACTCTACAAGCGCCAGGGAGTGAAGAGATTCATCAACCCCAACTGGAAGCCAATTGTTGTGTTTGACTAAAATAAAACTCGTAAATACCATTTATACAGAAACAATAACAGATGTTCCCACACTATGAGTCCATCGCATACCTAATATTGTACATCTTTACTCGATCAACTTGACGTAGTTCGAAGGACAGATCCCCACTTCTCCCGTAGCCCGTCTAGCCTGCCACCACTTTCCATCGATATCGTCGACATCCAAGATTTCGTCTTTGGTGAACGAGATCTCGTTGATATCTTCAGGGTTGGCCGAGTAGCTATAGAGTGCTCTTGCCTTGTAGCGGAATACTGGGGCGTCTTCCTCATCGGCAATCACCGTTTGTCGGCGAGAATTGGTGAGATCACGCAGCTGGCGGACATCGGCGGAAGAAAAGTTTTCCAATCCATTCAACTGCGACAGCAGCATGTAAGGTGTCTTGTTTTGCGATTGGCGTAAATTGTTGTCTTGGAATGCTTCCGGAGCTGGGGCTACGCGAAGGTCATCGTCGTGTTTTTCGTCACTCGACAACTGGCCGTGGTTATGTGTGTGCAGCTTGATCAGGAAGGAGTCGATAAACTGGTTGGTGGGCGACTCAGGGTGGCCTCCAAAGTATACAATCCAGATCAAGTTGAGCATGGATAATAAAATGCACCCCGCAGCGCAACAAAGCTTGCCGGAATTGGACTCATAAACCAACCCGTTGGCGGAATTGGTGGTATACACAAACGCCACGGCTATGAGACCCACAAGCGTGAATTTGTAGAGCTCGATGGTGTTTGTAAGATATAAAAACGTGATGAGCAAAATGATCAAAAGTTCATATACGATGCCCCACCAGGTAAACCTGGGGAAATGTGACTGTGGAGAAGAGCCCGCGCCTGCTATGGCCACTATCCACGCGATGAGGCCGAACGACACCGTGGCAATGGCAAAAGGGTCGCCAATAAAGTTTGAAAGTCTGATTGCCATGGATCACAGGTGGAAATTTATCCAGTAAAAACGAGTGATCTTGTGATAATATATGATTTCACAGCTTGTGCAGGCTGTGTATACGACGTGAGGCCCGGAAAAAATGGGTTTAAATGGCCACAAATCAAAACAATAGATATCAGCTCCTGAAGAAAAGCGTTATAAACACAGGTGAGAAAGTTGTGTTGGGCGCATGCAGTCGCGACCGCGTCGTTCTAGACCGGAATGCTACGGCGAAGTTGGTGGGTGGATGCAAATCAACCACATGTTGCGACATGGACTGCATGCGGTGATCCTGATTAGCTAAGCACAGCTTAGCTAAGTAGGTCCCAATGCGGAGTGGCTCAAGCAAGAGGCGTCGTCGGTCTGTGAGCATATAAAAGGCGAGTATATCCGCCTTAACAATAATCATTTCTATCATATCTATAGTGAGTCACGTATAATAATAAGTCCCATAGTTGTCTATATTACGTAAGTGGTGTCCTAAGGGTGTACGTTTCAACAGGTTATGAGCCGCTTTAAGTTACCCTAGGCCATATCAACTTATGATAATGTAGTTCAACTTGAACTAGCTCCACGTCACATCAAAGCTAGTATACGTCGAGCTTAAATTTTCGATATCAAGATTGGTCCTTGAGGTCATAGGTTCTACTCATTCTGCGTTCCCACTACTACGAATACTTTAGCACACATTGCTGATGTTCACGTCAAGGAAAGAGGAAACTGGACAGAATGGTTGAATATGAAGTCAAGAGTCAACTGACTGCGGTAAGAAATCACACGTTCAAAAAGTAAGTACGAAAGATGGTACCGTTTTAACTACAGAACAAGTCGTCAAAAGGGCCTGGTGTTTATGATTGTATAGTTGCTCGGGGTTACTCATTAATCCTAGATGTGCACTATCACGACACTCGCTCTCCCGAATGGATGTACGACTCTGTCAACTACAATCTGCATAATGAACCAATCCATCTATGAACAACCTCAAGGCGTCTAACACACGCTGGAGTGCCGACATAATCGAGCTTCATTGAATATTAGACTCCTTCGGCATGTCTCAAAATGTGGGTTCATATTTAGCTTGGACGTAATGAAAGCACTAAACGTCAACCATTTTTTCCTTCAGCGGGTCGGGAAGATGGAATACTGTACCCAGCAACCTTCCTTTAGCGGGACGGGAAGTAAAATAAAATACCCAGTATCTTTCATGAGCGTCAAACGCCGGAAGATTTTACCTTGGTTAGATGACTAAATTAAGGATTTGCTCGTCAGTTGTGGAGTATTACATTCCCCTAGACACGCCATCCATGTCTCCCAAGTCAACGACTTCAACAATAATCGTAACCGCCCGATGATGTCAACGTCCACTGACGAAATAAACTCACGGCCGTTATAAGAATTCATGTGAAGAGGTACCCTACCTAGACGTAGTAATCCGTACTTGTGACCCAAGTCAGCCATCAGTATGTGCCTTGAATTAGGAGCCCGATCAGAACGATTTACGATCAGAAATGCTACCAATCAATAGGCCAACTCAGTATTGCTTCAAATCTTACGGTACAGCGGTTTATGAACTAGTGTCAGAGAGGAACTTCACCTTAATAAGAGCAGATGTACTCCTCCTAGACGTATTGATTCGCAGAAAAGCCCAAGTCAGTAAGCCAGAATTCTGATCAAATTCTGAGTTTTGAAACTGCATTTGACGGTACAACGAATCACGGATTAGGGTATGAGAGGAACTACTCGTAATTTTTTTCTTTTTACAACTACTAAGGACAGCTACTGGCTTTAGAGAACAGCGACAGATATTCAATCCCAGGACACATGAATCAGTTTCGGAGAGCCCTTGATCAAGTGGAAAAGCAGACCGATCTTGCATTTATCGCCGCAATAGAATATAATCAGTTTAAGGGGAGGAAGTTGAAGTCATTCCCTGACTCCGAATAAGATAAACTCACATATTCTATTTGCGAAGTGATTGCATCACAATGCTTTTACATACACTGATACTAGTTGCCTCTTTGCCCATTATCATGTACAAGGTCCTCTACGGTAACGCTCCTATCACATAGAAGCAAGAATTATCCGAAGCAATATGCATCAGTCAAGGGGAGGCAGTTAAGGAAGCGATCGAAGTATCTCAACTCTTCAATGAGATTTCAACGAGACTTACTGTTAATGCAGAAACTTCTCTCCAAAGACAATGACTCACGCAGTTGCTTGCGAAAGGATACCAAATCATAAAGCTTCGAGACATACTGATATCAGCTATTACCATGTTCGTGACTTTGTCCAAAAGGAACTATGAAGTTACATCGCGTCACTCAAGACCACTCGCTAATACGTTTACAATGACTCAAAATCACTTACTAATATGCTTACAATGTCATTACCGCATACCGTGCTCCTGAGTCCCAAATTCCTAGCAACGATGCTTTCCCCACTGACCACAGATAAACCTAAATCAGGATCAAGGGGAGATGTTGCGACATGGACTGCATGCGGTGATCCTGATTAGCTAAGCACAGCTTAGCTAAGTAGGTCCCAATGCGGAGTGGCTCAAGCAAGAGGCGTCGTCGGTCTGTGAGCATATAAAAGGCGAGTATATCCGCCTTAACAATAATCATTTCTATCATATCTATAGTGAGTCACGTATAATAATAAGTCCCATAGTTGTCTATATTACGTAAGTGGTGTCCTAAGGGTGTACGTTTCAACACCACAAAGCTCCGCTCTCCGCGGCTTTAGCGAATGAGGTCTTTCACAAAGCTCCTGCATACAAAAGGGCGCAAACCAAGCCCAAACGGTGGTTGATTTCCGAGCTGGTGTGTGGGTGCTCATCTGGCCGCACATCCGTAGGTAATTTGCTCAAGACAAAAACTCAAATTTCGAGGCAAAGAAAACACGTGGAAATTCGGGGAAGCCGGGTGTATCCTCACCAGTGCCCCAACTTTATATTTCAGTTGTCTGGACAAAAATCCCCCACTTGCAACCCCCACAAATGTGGGTGACGCACCCAGTACACCGGGTGTTGTGACTGTATCCGAAAGAAACGCGGAAAGTGATTACTCCCGTTTTTATCCGCCGAGCGGCTTGCTGTAATTACAAGGTATATATAGCTGTAAGTTCTAAAGAGAAAATCAGCTAGAAAACATGATAAGATTGGCTGAAATGAGAACTGCAAGTGCCATGCATGGTACATTCCGGTCTTCTGCCGTTGGAGTTCCGGTCTTAATGCGCATATCAACGGCTGCAAAATCCACCTCGTCAAACTCATCAACTTCCTTATTAGATATTTCTACCAAGGTGCTCAATGAGTCAGATATATTGAAACATGACGACAAGTCGTTCATCACTCACAATCTCTTTCCTCATCCTGAATTTGGAACCAAAGAATGTGAAGAAGTGAAATATGAACATAGAGAACCTCGTAATGTTTCCGATACAATTGCATTTCGAGGAGTCAACTTTTTCCGGTGGTGCTTTGATATGGTTACAGGGTACAAGAAACCACGTAACGACCACGATTTGGAAACTGGATTCAAGGGAACAAGATGGGAAATGACGGAAAATAAATGGTTGACTAGAATCATTTTTTTGGAGAGTATTGCCGGGGTTCCAGGAATGGTTGCTGCATTTTTACGTCACCTTCATTCTCTTAGATTGCTCAAAAGAGACAGAGCTTGGATAGAAACGCTTTTGGACGAAGCTTATAACGAGCGTATGCATTTATTGACGTTTATCAAGTTGGGACAACCTTCTTGGTTTACTCGTTTTATCATCTATGTTGGTCAAGGTGTGTTTTGCAATGCGTTTTTCTTGTGCTACTTGATGGTCCCAAAGTACTGTCACAGATTCGTGGGTTATATTGAAGAAGAAGCTGTGAGTACTTATAGTCATTTGGTGTATGAACTCGACACAAAAAAACTTCCCAAATTTGACCACATGAGAGTTCCACCAGTGGCCATTCAATACTGGACAGAACTTGACGAAAACTCCACTTTCCGTGATTTAATCTTGAGAGTGCGTGCAGACGAAGCCAAGCACCGTGAGGTGAATCACACATTGGCAAACCTCGATCTGACCGACAGAAATCCATTTGCTATGAAAATTGAGGAAGTCGACAAACCTCAGCCAGAAAATGGATTGAAGGTGCAAAGACCTACTGGATGGGAGAAGAAAGATTTGATTTTGTAGATGATTATGATTAGATATGATTGAATTGTAGATAATGACTTGTAGGTGAACGACTTGTAGGTCAATGCTTCTGGTGTTTGTGATCTTCAGCTTTTTGAGATTTCATACTGTCCTTGTAGTTCAGTCTAGTGCGTTGCTCCCAAGAATATCGTGGCCCCTAAGCAAACAACCATCACCACCACTCCCCATATCGAGAGTGCCAATCCCCCATATTTGCAAAAACGTTCTAATTTGTCCAAAGGTCCATCGGTACGCTGAATCAACATGTACCCAAAAAGACCAGGCAAAATGAATGAGATGGATGTCGACCCAGTCGACCCCACAAATGCCAAGACATGCTCCAAAGATGTCACTGTGATGGCCACGAGATACGCCAAAACAACAATGAAAGTGGTGATGATGTAAAAGTTGCGTTTGGAAAGTGGCACAATCATGGGATCATGGCCGTCTGTATCATGGGCTCCTTCCATAGGAGTTGTGGTGATGAACAGCTCATCAACTTCCTCTACGTTGACTTCTTCTCCCATGTCCTCAATTTGCTGGTATCCACTTTGGCTCTTTATATCATGAATACCATTGGAGATAAAGTAGATGATATGGTTGATGGATCCACGACACGGATGGCATTGAAGAGGAAATGAAAGGCTCACCATGATCACAATACAAAGACGACCAATGAGTGACAGTATCGAATCTGTTGGGTACATGGCTACGATGTTTCCAGTGACTTTGGAACCAAACGAAATGTAGCCACACAATCCCACCACCAAGTATGAGGTGCAAGCGGTTGCAATGGCATTACGAATGATGATATTGGACTGTCTTGTTTGGGAGCCCGATGTTTCGTGAGCCTTCAATTCGTTGATAATGGCAAACATGTTCTGATGGCATGTATAAGCAAACACAAAAACTGGAAACGACCGTAAAGTTCCCAGAAATGAAAGAGGTCCCCAGTGCACTCCTTCGGCCACCGCTCTCTTTACATGGGGCAGTTGCCTGGACATCATTGGAATATAGTGTGACCCACAACAAGGCAAATGAGGTATGCTACCGAAAACAAAGCCACCACAGAAGTATACTTCCCCGAGTCTAAATTTTTC